GGCAACTAGAGAACCAATTGGGGTAGTTAGGGTGCTATTAGGGGCAAAAAGTGAACCAATTGGATAATTAGGGGTCTACTAGGGGCTTCTAGAGAATGAATTGGGAAACAAGGGTGTTATATATTTGTATTTTTCTTGAAAATGAATATTTTATAAAAATGGGGTAGGGATACCATACTTTATCTGTATTATGAAGTAATATCATTTTGGAGAGACTACATAAACCTATGGTATTTATCTGCTGTTTGCACTTCATTTATTATACTTGGAAGTTTTAGTAATAATCCAGTCACTATAAATACATTTAGTCCTTGGAAAAGAGAATATTGAATCTTATTTGAATAGTTATTTTACTTCAAAAATAGGGCAGGTACCGCATACATTTGACCAAATGTAATTATATTTAGACAAATCATGATAACTATGGATGCTAATTGATCATTCCACATTAAATATTACATGTGAGCACTATAAACACCAAACAATATGATAAAAGGTATTATCTATCATTATACGTGTTTTTTTCTTGAAAATCCCTAAATTAGAAGAATGGGGTAGGGGTACCATACTACATCTAAAATATGGAGTAATGTCATCTCGTTTAGACCAAATATGTTACCTGTGGTATTAATATTTTGAAGTTTTAGTTACAATCCAATATATAATCAAATCCAAGTTATAATCCAATATATTATCACGGGTTATTAGAGTATCCGCGTATATCGAGTATGACCGGTTCTAAGCTTACGAGTGTGACCGTATTTCTGTTCCTATAAACAGACGAGGTGAGTACTTGCTTTTATGAACACTTTCGAACGTTTTCTTTTTATCCTACTTGGTCAATGAATGATACTTGGTATACTTATAATGCCAGGCATATCACAAGGGGTCTTAATCAAGAGAAAATCCTAGTTTCCAGCATCTTTGATCAGTTTTTGTGTAACACAACGCAACTTCGAAGAGGATGACACATCTTATGTATAATATATAGCTAGATCTACGAATTAGTCATGAATATTTTAAATAATTTAGCCTGCTCTGTCCAAATATTATACATCTTTGAATTTTTGAGAATACGAATGTCACTGGTGCCCCAATATTGGAGAATACGGTTGTGAAATGTCTTCCATGACATTTCACAAGCGTATCCTCTGGGAAAAGATAAATCCTTCTCTTGCTCACTCTACGGGGATCATATAAACTGAGATTTGGAGATCTTGTTCAGGTTAGCCATAAAAAGGTCTGGGATTTGTTTTTTTCTACTGTGATATTAATGATTTGGCTCTAAGGCGAGAAATCTGTACTTTCTGATTGATATTCCATTATGAACAGTTACATTGCTAAAATAGCTCATGTTTAACATTTTTTTGTTACATTACTATTAAATACAGCATAAACTATATTCAACAAACACAATTTCAAAAAGGATAATATAGAAGTTAACCTTTATTTTCCATTTTTAAGCAGCTGTGCCTCTCATGACTTTCCAAAACAGGTCATATTCGTAGCCTTAGAACCGGTCATACTCCATATACGTGGAAACTCTAGTAGCCCGTGTATAATAATCTAACAAGTGCACCTATTGCTATATTTAAACAATGCGCAGTTTTATACCAGACGCCAAAAACTGGCCAAAATATGATGAAAACAAGGGAAAAAATCAAATCAAAAATATATTGAAATGGCTGTACAGATTCATGCAGCAAAGTACTCAAATTGCATCCGGCAGATTTGAATTAAGGACACCCTAAATATACTGAAAAGTTACAAATATAGCATGCATCCAAAAGTTCCACCATTCTTGAAAATATGGCAATATATTGCAGGACTAGCAGATCACTACTATGCATATTAACATACATGTCTTATATGTAAATAATGCTATAAGTATAGCAGAGCTAATATGGAAATACATTAATATTGTATGTATACATTTAAAATACAATTTGTTTATTCTTTATAAACATATGATTTATCCTAAAATGGATTTTGAATAAAATTAATAGTTCTAGTACCAATATGGTATTATTTAAAAAATATTAACTTCACAACACAGTAAATGAATACATTTTGGTTTTAGTGCATTCTCCCCTTAATTCCTTTAACCTAGAAATGGTTTTTCCGGACAAGTTACCAAGAAGGATACTTTTCACACCCATTTATAAGTAGACTCATACACATTTAAAAGCTAATACTCAAATTATTTCTAGCATCAAAATGATATTTTAATAGTAGTAATTCTACCAGTTTATTAATAATTATAACTAATATGTTATCATTAATATCAAAAACATCTCAAAATTACCTAAACATTGGTTATGCAAATGAGCAAATTGACATATCTTGTTAATTATGAACAGGGGGCCCCCGATAGCTTCATTTTGGTATATATATCATTAAAATCGGACCAAGAACATACGTACTATGTTCAAAAATATAATTTCTGATTAAATTTTGAAAGTTGCCATGGAAACGGCTGCTTTTTTCAAAGCTTGCAGCCAATTTATTTCGAACACAAATGATGAAATTTAGTTATGTCTACCAATACATTTTCAATTACATCTAATGTGCCATTATAATATCAAATATATCACCAAAATACCTCAAATCGGCTCAAGAATCTACTTATGACGTCATAATAGATATGCAAATTAGCTAATTTGCATATTTTCTTGTTTATAAACAAGGGGGCGTCAATAGCTTCATTTTGATATATGTATCATTAGAATTGGACAGATAACAGGTGTTCTATGATCCGAAAGGTGATTTCTGATTTATTGATTATATTTTAAATGGTTGCTATGGAAACGGGTGTTTTTGCAATTTTTGCCCCAAATTCAAACTTAGGTACAAGTGGATTTGAAATGCTTTACAACGATACCTCATTTGTCCTTTTCCCCTTCGTGTATATTAATCACAATTTTCAGACCTCCATTCTACTAGCCTATAATTAAACAATTAAACATAACAGACTATTTAGTGCATTAAATGCTTTGACTGACTAAAAAGGAATGAATCTGACAAAATATGACAAGTACATTTTAAATGTGACAAAGTGAGAATTTGACTTACAGTCTGAATATTTATTCAGACCAAGGATACAGTCTAGGGAGCCCTCCAGATGAAGTTATACAGGGGATGTCATTCATGTACAATATGAATATACTTTTCCATATATTGTTGCACAATGGTCTCCCGATTTCTTATTTTTTGGGTTCTACTGACACAATAAAACAGTGGAAATGGACACTAACTTGGGGTAGACTATATCCTTCGTCTGAATAAATATTCAGACTGTAAGTCACCTATTGTAAAATGTGGTGTTGTATAAATGTTACAAATAAGTTTGTTTAATGATAAAATGATTACCTTATCAGGGCTCTCACCAGAAAAAAATTAGGGTGTGGTGCTTGTTACTGCGAATACGCGATTCGAAGCGTGAGTAAAGCGAACGCGCGAGCGGAGCGAGCCTAAGCTATTAAAAATATTTTGTAACTATATTCACTTGCAAAAGTTCTTAATTTATCCATAATTTGTGTACAATATTAGTAATATACATTATACCTTCTTCTATTGAATCACTGCAAACTTTCTGATTCTGAATTATAACCTGCTGGATTGGCAGGCCATACATTTTGACTTCCTGTTTACTTGCTGAATTATAATCTGCTGGATTGGCAGGCCATACTTTTTGACTTCCTGTTTACCGGCAAGTATAATTCACTCAGTATTTCTCAAATACTGATGATTATCTGTCAATTTCACTTAAGATTTGTCTTCTCTAAGGTAGGTGGGTTCTTGTTCTTTTATTCTGATTACGTTTTGAGTAGAATTTACAATTAGTTTTATAGAAGAGATAGGTTGAATTTTTTTCAATTTTTTTTTGATCTTGGCCTTTGGCCGTGATCTGCCGTGGGAAAAGTGCGTCCAAGTGACTCTGAAGCTCCTTGCGCAATTATTTTGGCGCAGAAGCAGTACCTCACGTTCAATACAAATATGGCTGTCAGGTAAAAGAAATTTGTTTACAAATCGTGATTTAACACGATATTAGCATGAATTTTCAACAATTTAGGCTGTGGTTACTACAGTTTAGACTGTGGTTACTACCTTCTATTTTGGATTGGTTGTGGCGGCACTCAATTAGAGTGTGGCGGGGCGCCACACTCTAAAAGCGTAGCGAGAGCCCTGCTTATAAAGAACTTACAATATTATTTTTTCGTATATTGTCCTCTTACTGAAGATATTCATAAAATGTACAGACGCTTCTTGTAGCGAAGCCATTGATTAGGCCAAGCCATTTTGGCAATGCCAATTCTCACGATAAACGAGATTTAGCCAGTGACGTCAGTCTATTTGTAAACAAATAACACGTGGAGCGGACGGAGCAACATTACGGAAGCGTATTGCTAAATTCCATAATGGAATTTATTAGATCTAGTCATTTATTATCATTATCCCGATTAATTTTCTTCATTTATAGTAAATAGAGCGGAAATATTCATGAAGAAGGCCGAGGTAATCAAGTGGTCATGTGTTGTCAAAGTTCAAAATTTGCATATCTCGTTTGGATCTCGTGAACTCAAATGTCCTTGACATTGATTTCGCGATCTACTTATGAACACATCCTGAGGTTTTGGTGAGTCTGAACATTTCATTATTTTATATCAACTTGTACCCGCCTTATACAAATATTTTTGCTTCTAGTTTAAGATGAACATCTCTTCAACATATTCACCAATTTTCAAGGTGAACATTCTTATAATAAACGAGAAATTAATGTGCAAAAAATATCACCGCGATTTCCACAGGAAATATATTAATCATAACAGACCGAATATTATATTCGGTCTGTTGGATACATACTAAACTTGGGGTGATATAGTCTATATTGAACCCCTATTTCCAGAAAATTTTCAAATGATTTCTAATCCTCGACTCCTAGATGTTTTTAATCCTGCCTTATGAGATATGATTCACCGAAATGTCGTCTTCCTTTTTACCTTTTGTTATCCGCAATTGAGCAGCGGATGCTCTCTTCTGACCACCAGATTTTGCCGGTCCATCGCCCTCCTCTTTCTTTTGCTGTTGTTTTAAGGAAAATAACTTTATCATATCAATTAATGTTGTCCCTCTCTACTTTCTTAAGTGTATACTGAAACAGTTATTGCATAAAAATAGAGAGATTATAAAATATCTAAAAAATTTCCTCTTTTGTTGACGAACAGACAACTTGAACACAGTCCATTAAAGCGTTTATAAAATATTTAATGCTTTCATTTAACTATGGAAAGATTAAGAATTAAATACCTATAAAGAAGCTCCCGATTGAGGTTTAGTAATTTTAGAAATACAATTCAATCAAATCCCATTTGATTTAGAAATAAATATGATCAGTGTCAGATTTAGGAATGTGTATATATGTAATTTCGTCTAGAGTAACTTCATGATTATTCCCGGGGAATTCGGCTTTAAAATATATGCTGTGGTATTCGATCATTGGGTTTCAAGAGAAGGGTGGGCAACTTCCTTTATTTCATACATAGGCATTACCTCGGATTTTCAAAACTGGAAAATTTTCACATTCCAAGAAAAATCTTATTTTGTACATTTCATCTGTGATTTACTTGACATACATACATGTCGATAATTTAATAGAAAATGGAATTCATCATGATTGATTATGGAAATAATGAAAGTGAACATTCTCCCACAAATAAAGTTTTTATTGGAATGTGTTCTTGAATAATTACCCAAAATGCAAGAGGACATTTTGATACCTCTTTTCCTAAGTGGTCTTTTTCAGTAATCATATTGAAAATTGATTTTTAGTCTAGATAATACTAAAACATACAGGGTGTCCGGAAGTAAAGATACAAATGCTCTAATTTCGTTAAATTAACCTGTTGTGAGATGAAATTGCTACAGATTGTAGAATGACATTGTAACAATTTATCCTGCAACTGTCATGACAAATTGATTCAAAATAAAGTTATGGTTGTTATGGTAACATGAGTCGCGGGTATGTGGAGCAGCTTCACAATTATGTTTTATAATTCTTTTCTCCTGTTCATATCATCTTGACGCTCCGTCGTCTGTTGCTATTATGCATCAAATTATGTACCACAACAGCAAAGGGATTAGTACTGTAACATTATCTAATCATTTGACATTGTTATCCAGTATTATGTATTTTCCACCTTTATCTAAACATTCTTGGTGCATTTTGACCGGAGATTCAAAGACCTGACAAAACCTTTGCTGTCAGTCTCTAAGATTGCTGATAACATTGGCTTCCAGCCGAGTCTCATTTTTATGTTGAACTCCTCACAAATATTGCTTTAACATATTCTCATTAATGTCCAACGGGACATTATCAGGGAAATATGGGCCATTGTACAAAAAGGTTAATGTCAAGACATTCAATTGTAAGATTTGTTTTCTTTGCTTTGTGCATTGGAGCATTGACTGTGGAGGTGCACTATTGACTTTCCTATTAATCCAGGGACCCTTTTTCTAAGCACCTTTTCTTTGATTATACTTGTGACATTGCATAGTTCTGATATGTATCAATGATATCGTTATACTAAAGGGAATACTATGGCAGCAAGAATACAATATTGAACAGAACAAAAAACTAATAAGAAATACAATAATAAACACTATTTCAAATGGTTATATTTCAGCAATTTATCACAATTTAGCGATATCCTGGAACTGCTCCGCATACCCCTAACCACTGTAACCATGACAACCGTAACTTTAACACATTTAGACTATGTTATAAAAGTTGGTAGATGTATTGTAATGTAGTTCCTCTACAATCTGTAGCGATTTCATTACAAAGAAACTAAATCTTTTAGAGTATTTGTATCTTTACTTTCCGGACACCCTGTATACATTTATCTAATAATTTTTGAAATATTATCATAAAAAGGGGAGCATGGCACCCGGGGCATGGCACTGCTCATTTGAATTGCTCATGCTTATAACACAGAGTTGCATACCCCCATGATCCGATCAAAATAGGTTAATTTTTACAACTCAAGTTGTCACGATACATTGATTGCCATAATAGGCACAATATAGACACACATTGTAGAATCATACAAAATGATATTGAAATAACGTAAACGTTGAATAATTTATATTTTATTGCCCAACTCTAGCTATTGTGCGTTGCGTCTTTCTTACCTTATTCTTCGGCCAAAGTGTGTAACTTGGCTAGAGACAGCTGAGTAACGTCTTTCTGCTTCAAGGATAAAAATGAATGTTGGTAATGTGTGTTCACTGATGTATATCATCTAAGGTAATGAATGCTATTTCTCATACTGAAATTTAGTCACATATTGACAAATTAAGTGAATACGTCATGTTATCATACCACCTAGAAAGGCGCGACCTGTCTTGCCCCTACCCTATTTGCTTGTGCAAATTTATAGGCTTGTGCCAGAAGGTTTATGCTTAACGTATAAATTCAAGTATTTGCAAACTATGCTGCACGTTTCTGGATGAAAAAATTACAGCAAAACCAAGACTAATATTTAAAACACCCCTCGTACTTAGTCCCGATCAATTGTCTTTGTATTGATTAAATACATTTTTTCAAATATATATCACATCATTGTCCCATTTTGCCCCGGCCTCCCCTACCTATCGTCCACAAATGACGGCAGGGGCCAATGGGGAGAATACCCCAGAATTCATAGATCGTAGAGATGGACCTCTTGGATATCCCCTCCCTCTTGGTAGAGCCCATGATTTTTATCTTTCAAAATGGACGTAATGGGAAATAATACAAAATTCAATGATTAACCTATCTTTAAGTAAAGATCGACGCGTGAACGTAACAATCATAAGAAAACGCTAACCATTCATATTCAACAGGGTGTGTGGCATTCATATACCAGACAGGGAGACGGAGCATCTCTTATTCTACAAAAGATAATCTAGAAATGGCCGGAATCGATCATGGATTGGTTATAGGCTAGGGGATGGTTATGGTGTCCAAAAGTTAGTGAGTAGTGGAATGAACAACAAAATTCCATTAGAGAGAGAGAGAGAGGGGGGGGGAGGCAGGGGAAAATGAAGGTTTTATTCGTGAAGGCTGACTTTTGAGGAATTCAGGTGAACTCAAATAAACATTTGAACATATAGCAGTATAGAGCAGGGGTTTGAACAATATTTTTTCACATATGTAAATGTTTGGGAACGATTCCTTCAATAGAACAAAATATATCACATGTTATATAGATAATGTTTAATATTTTTATTATGATATAAGCAAGTGTATAAGTTAACATTTTTTGTTTTTCTATGCATTTGGAAAATAATCAATCAACAACCATATGTACTGTCCTTACTTCCTGCGAAAGCTATGTGGATTTTGATATAATAGCCGTAAGTTTCAAATTCTAACATGGCTCTCGATTGAGTTATACTGTCCGACTTCTCGACCATTAGAATTCAGTTGATTAACAACTCCAAACGTGTTTTATATTCCAAAATAATCGTTTTTCCATAATAAGGCTCTTGAAGATCAATGGCTGTATCGTACCTAACTCGAATGTATGTTTATTTTCCTTCCTTTCCTGTGGTAAATTAAAAATCTCATAGAGATTAGTCTCCTCTAAAATGGACCATGATTTATCTTTACGTAAATGTACAATAACACTACTAATTAAGTCTTGAGAAGAATAAAGATAATGATCTTTAAAAAGAAAATGGTACATGTAAGTAAATTGTGTTTGATCCCCTTGGATATTGTAAAAATTGTAAGATAATTTGGATATTACAATCAAATATATACAGGAAAAGCCATACATCTGTTAACCTTTTCACTTCGGAAAAAGTAATAAAACGCTTTTAAAAGAGATAAAATCATATCCTATGATCCTAGGCTGTTAAGAATAAAAATACAAATCTCTACAAAATGTAATGTTCAGCTAGTTTACTAAAACGTCGAATTTCAATGCAATTTGTCAAAACCCCGGGGTCAAAACAGTTATCTCCAAAATGACGCTTCGTTACGCTTTAATTATTCCAGAGAGAAAAAATGCTATACATCTTGTCAGTATTTTCAGCGAATGAATATCTATATAATTTCAATATCTATGTTTTAGAAAGAAAAGTACAATGTACATTGTGGTAGAAAAATATATAATCTTGGATTTCGTATGTAAATATCATATGGTTGATATGGTGTTCATAGTATTCACATTGTGGTACTATTGCAGTTGAGTAATATATAACACTTGCTTGCACAAATGTTTTCAACTTTACAACGCCACTAAATCGTGTTTGGGTACGTGTCAGAATCTGTGCAAGAATATCAAAAATGGAGTTTTAAGTATAAAGAAACTATAAAAACTTCGACTACTTAATTATAATATATCTCTGTATTTGTTTATATTGTTCTTGGTTGTGCTCCGTCATCCCGGGACCGTCATCGCATCATATCACCGATTACATCATGTATACAGAGTGATCTAAAAGCAACCCCTATTGCTACTTCTATCCACGGCCATACATGAAATAGTCTTACTCATAGGCTAAAGGCAATAATTTTTAAAGAAAGATGGCACGGCAATCGATCATCGGTGTTTATTTATTAGGTGCCATCTTTATATCGTCCCAAAACCTAAGGTCTTACTTGTATGTCCGTGAAATGAAACTCTTAATCAAACGTCTTTACATATTTCAAATTGTCTTCAAAATCGTAATAAAGTTATATTTCCAGGTAAATCCAGTATAAATGGGTTGTTTTAGACAACATTCTGTTTCTATATTACATCCGACGATTTCGACCAATCAGGTGTTTGCAGTTAGGACAATGGTGTTCGACATCTTGCAAATCAGGCACGCAGAATGGAATGAAACAGCAAAGCCAAAGACTGAAACAATCATTAATAAACAGTTTAAAATACAGGGTGATTATAATATGTAACAATGTCCAGTGTAAGTTTTGAAATACGTATGATCAGGCTGTCAAATTCCAAAGAAATACACGCAGGTTATTAGCCTATACATCCAAAAATCAAATTAACTGTTTTAATCACAACCTTAACATTTATTTGAAGAAGGTTTCAACCATGGTCACTCTCACATCAATCTGATACCCTGATGTTGTACATTTGGAAAGATCACGGGTACTAACCATACCTAAGCATACCGTGAACTTGCTCGGTAGTATCCTTCGCTTGCAAGGTACACGTGAGGCAAGTGCTTACTGTATTAGATTATTAGCCGACTCGCCCAAAATGCTCACGGAAAAATGAGGCCTGGCCTGGCTTTAAGAAGATACTCACCCCACAACACACATTATTATACACAGTAACCAGGCAAGCCCACCAATGTGATGACTGGTCGTTGTAACCACATTGGCGCGACAGGTCGGGCACATTGTGTGGCAGGGGTGTGTTCCAAGTGTCGCACCACTCACAATCATCGTTGCCTGCACTGTTGGTTGAGCCACAACAACGGTTGTACCACCTGGTTGTGCTGAAAGAAAAAATGACATGCGCAACAATAAAGTTAGGCACTTTCATGGAATAATATACTAGTATCAATTCGAATTGTTATGTTGCATGGGCTGACCAGCTGACTGGACACAGGAGGTTGGCATTTTAATTTTAAGAAGACTAAGCAGATAGAAAGAAAGGCGAGGCAAATAGTACCGTTGGATTTCAGTTTCACAGAATGAATAAACACCGACCCAACAAGTTTAGCAATACCAACTCTTCTACTGGACCACGCATTATGCCTGCTCACGTTTTGGCGATTTAAAAAGAGGGAGTTTAAGCTTACTGTTTTTCACAACCTAAACGCGAACGTAAGTTTTTAAGCGATGTATTTGTATGGGCGATTGGTCATACGTATAGGTTGGCGTTTCGATTTTATCATGCAAGCTTAATCTTCCTAATATCTTCATTGTAATTTCCTGGAAAACATTCAAACATAAACAGGCGACAACGTAAACGCAAGTATAGCACTGGGGAGGAACTCTGGAAACGAAGATAGGGTGCTTTCATCCTTCAAATCACAACAAAATATTCGGCAAGCATGGAGTTCCGGTCTCAAAATATAATTACAACTTAGACTGAATTAATTCTGCCATTGCTGAGGTATTCACAATTCCCTCGATTATGAAATGAGGAAAAATTTTCTAATGAAATGTACTTTCCTGGTTTCTTTGAGAAACCTTCCTCCCCAGTGTTTGCGTTAAAGTTGCAGTACAAGTTTGGCTGAAAACTTATATCGAAAGCTCTATATTCAAATAACAGTGACTAGAACTTGAATGAAAAATATGCTTACTTGGCTGTGCTGGGTAGGATCCTGGGGGTGGTCCATATCCTCCTTGTTGTGGAGGCGGTGCGTATCCCCCATGTTGTGGAGGCGGGGCATATCCCCCTTGTGGAGGTGGGGCATGTCCCCCTTGTTGTGGTGGCGGAGCATATCCACCCTGTTGTGGAGGCGGGGCGTATCCCCCTTGCTGTGGAGGAGGAGCATATCCTCCCTGTTGTGGAGGCGGGGCGTATCCTTGGGGATTATAAGGGGGAGGAGGGTCTTCTTTTCCACTCATTGTTTATCCGCTGGTACCAAAACAAAACAAAACAAACAATGAACACCATCTTAAGTCGTTTGGCAAGGACAATATTTTCATCTTTCATCGATATTAACGAATAGATTGCTGTCAATGGTTGAAGAGCGGATGCACTTGATGTCAATGATACTCCTTCGACTTCCCAATAATAAGTGCCATGATAACATTTAATTCGTTTTGCCATCATTAGAGAATGTAGACAAGACACGGTATCGTCCATGTAATATCTTTAGTATACAAGGGTTCTCACCTTCATATTTATTAGATGCTATTATAACACCAAGCCCATTCCGAATTAAGCACCATGCAAAGTTACCGTAAAAGTTTAATATTACCATGTACAGAAGGGGAATGGGAGCCAAGAAATAACGAGGTACGAGACATCTATTAGTAGTAATGCTTCCAAGAATGAAAAAATTTCCCTTTCGTTTTGTATCAATGTCACCTTAGGAGAAGACAAGCCTCTACCCCGGGGTAACCCAGGCGAGGGCTTAAAATTGGTATCCTATGCTACATGATTACTTCCCGGTTGAACTAATAAAAATCTTTACGTGACATTTCGCAATGAAATAAGGAATGACTGATTCATCCCCATGGGGCCTCTCATCTATATACATAATACACACCTAACCTCTCAATCCATATATTAATCTAAAGCAAGGGTAGTTATATTACAGGTTGCGTCCTTATAGTCTTAAGTTTAACATACAATCATAGGCAGTAACTATCCAAACCATATCAAAACATTCAGGACGGCCATCTTAGATTTCAACCTATCTGAATCTCTATATTTCTGCTATATACACCACATCATATTAGAATACAATTAATAGTCTGTATTTGGTTTACAGTCGTTGATATATATGAAAAATCTAACCTACCTCTAAACAAAAATGTAGTATATACTTCCTTGTAAACGTGTTAAGACTGAGAGCTCGCCTTGACCTTAATACAACTAGCTTTTAATATTGGATGTTCATAGGCTCCCTTTGCCAATGTAAATACAAGGCAAATCCAATATCCCTCTGTTTATAAATAGCTCAGCTAGTAATAGCTGTGAAATAAGAATTTCGAATATAGTTTTTCTGGCGCATATTCTGGCCCCATATTTGTATGTTCATTATAAAGTTATTTCAGTTTTTTAGGGGGGGGGGGGGTGGAGGAACATAGCAACATACCATCCATTATAAGAGTTCATCACCGGTGACGTTCCGCCCAATTCACCGTTTAGAAAAACTTTAACAGGTAACTTAAAATCAGGGGCGGATCCGGGAACCAACAAGGGGAGGGGGCATATTTGAATTGAAAAAACGAAAATGTAAGGCCCATTTTCTTGATTTGGTCTAGGATTAAAAGTTGATGCCCAAAACCACCCGCCATCCGCCAGTGAAAATGGTGGAAGGCAAGCAAACACTTTGGATCATGGACCTGCCAAATTTGGCAACAGCTATCGTTTCTACGGGAATCTTTCCTAAATTTTTTCCTGAAATTCAACGGAGGCCTTTGATATAATGATTTTTTATTGTCATTATTGTCATACTGATTACTGAACACGATGTACGTACGTTCAAACAATCAAACATTACGTATAGATGTTTATAAAGATGACGACTTGATTTAAAGACGGACAATGTTAAGTGTGTATTTTCATACTGAACCATAATGTAATGTTATGTGCGTTTTCTCATCATGATCCAAAGTGACTAACCAGAATGAAATTGGTTATATTACAACCGAGATATCACTTAAAATATGACATTACTGTTACAGACCGCGACGATGTTACGTTTTTCAAGACCTTGTAAAGGTTCCATAGTCAATGGATTCCTAGTTTTTAGTTTTATTTTCCTATTTTAATTTTGCATCTATTCATCTTTATGTAAAAGACCGACAGCCAGTCGATGGTCGGCGGTCGGTTTTTCGTAAACCCTGGACGTTACCGCCTCATCACTCTCAGTCGCTGTTATCATTCAATGCGACGTTATGCATGGACGCAACCCTGCACGTATTATCACTAGTAGTCACTCCTACCTCCCAATTCAACCCTCTTCTCAGAATTGAATCCTTATTGTTCTTACTCAACAAACGTCAATGTAGTCAACATTGTTTGATAATTTCTTTATAATGTGAGGAGTTTCCATGCCTGTGTAGTCAAGTAGTGGGGGGAGATAGGGGCTGTAGCAAGACTAACTTCAATGGTATTTTTAAGATAAAATAATTTATTGAAAGACTTTTTTTCATGTGACTAAACATGTCAATTTCATAATTGCATAAATTACATTTTTTACAAAAATAAATCAAATATAATGTACAATCATTCCCAATGTTATAACCATTTACAACTAAATACATCTCAGTTCATACACTGTAAGCATTCCTTAATTACATTTTATTACCCTTTACGATAATCTAATTTGCTATTTTACTCCTACACTCTGAGTCCAAGGAATGAACTACACAAAAAGGAGTTCAAATTCATGCATCTTCAGATATTATAAAAACCTATTTCACAACATACAGTTTTAAGGGTAGTTGATTTACAAGTATAATATAACTATCACTGATGAGTGCAACTTACAAGATTTAATCATGAACCTCTAACCCTGATTTTACCTACTATTAAACATGCAATATACAGTAAAACCTGGAAGTGGATCACTTCTGTAAATGAAACACCTCGAGTGAAAACACCTCAAGTGAAACACCTCAAGTAAAGCACCTCAAGTGAAACACCTCAAGTAAAGCACCTCAAGTGAAACACCTCAAGTAAAGCACCTCAAATAAAACACCTCAAGTGAAACACCTAAAGTAAACACCTCAAGTGAAACACCTCAAGTAAAGCACCTCAAGTGAAACACCTCAAGTAAAGCACCTCAAGTGAAACACCTCAAGTAAAGCACCTCAAGTGAAACTCTTCAAGTGAAACACTTCAAGTGAAACTCTAAGTAAAGCACCTCAAGTGAAAATCTTCAAGTAAAACACCTCAAGTAAATCACCCCAAGTGAAGCACCTCAAGAAAAACACCTCAAGTGAGACACCTCAAGTGAAACACCTCAAGTAAAACATCTCAAGTGAAACACCTCAATGTGACCCACTGTCTGAATGACAGAATTAACCTTTATACTTATAAGCGGAACACCTCCAACGTGAAATGGTTTTTAGCAGAGGATGTTCCACTTATACAGATTTACTGTATAGTTCATTATGTGGGTATAAACCAATACATTTTATTTGCATCTAAAATATATGACACACATTCATTCTATACCTTTGCACTTAGCTTAGGTACACACCCATTGTATATTACAATAAGACTAACATGCAAAGTCATAGTGGGACTCTAATTTAGTACAGCAAAAACTGTATATCCAAACATCTCTCTAATCTGAACAGCATTCAATGTGGACTGCATGATTTTGGAAGAATTTAGACCAGGGGGCACTCAAATCCTCCAACCCCTTGGCTACACGCCTGGGTTTGCTACACATAAACATTACTAAATGAATTTTGAATTTTTGAGCGAACCTCCCCTGCCCAAAAATTCTTTCAAAATTATGCAGTTTTTTACCATTTTGAGCACTTTTCAAGTGATTTGGGCCATTTTTGAGCCAGTTAAAATGACCCGGCTGGATTGTTTTAAAAAGTATATCCTCCTAAGCAAATCCTGGCTACAGGCCTGTGGGTTGACTCAAGTTGTTTGTTCATTCAAGTTTTTTTTGTTAAACCATTTAAATTACAGACAGTCATCTGTTATGTTTTGCAAGTCTTTTTTGTTAAATATTTTATTTTTATATATTTAATATGTACAGTTTTATTACTTATTTTTATTGCATCTACACAATTAAATATGTTGAAATACATTCAACTTGAACGTAATGATTTCAAGAAAAAAAGTTACAATATTAACATTGTATTTTGTAAACTAACTGTAGGAAGAAATGAATCATTTATAAATTCTTACATTTGAAAACTGTTTAACAAATCTAGGATGAAGAAAGGAAAGGATATGCCACTACCCATATGTCACTTTTTAAACAATTTTGAGGCTGTTTATGTGGATACAAGATCTCTAACAGCACAATGCTTGCACCTTTTTTCCTCTTCCTAGATCATACATTGCAATGTACAATAACACATGTTCTACATAAAGAAAAGCTCACAAATTGCACGATATTGAAACAGAAAATTCAAAAGTTATAATAGTACTATGTATTCCATTACTCACAATGGGCTTCATTGATACTGCATTATTATACAACATCTGAATTCTAGCATTGCATAAATTTTCTTTTCCTCCCCTTTAAACATCCTGATTCCAAAGGAAACAGTTTTATTGCAATATAATTGTGTATTTTGACTTAACATTGGGCTCAATGCCTTCAGGATACATGATACGTAGATGACAGAATGTATATCAATTACACACAATTTTGACAAGATGTATAATTTCAGTTTTACTGAAATACATGTCTTCTCTAAGTATACAATCATGTCCTGGATATAACAATAGCATAAATAACAAGAAGTCTTTAACTTCTTAAATAGCAAGAAATCTCATAATTTAAGCTGGAATGTCATTTTTACATTTAAAGTCTGCTATCGAAGCCTATTTGTTTGCTGCAACTTGGGCATGTATGAACCGCATCTTTCAAGTCATTGATGCACAGCGGGATGAAACACAAGCAGCAGACCCATCTATAGGCAGAAAAATGTATAATTTCAAAATTCAACAAAATGCTATTGAGTGAGTTTTGTATAGAGAGGTATAGAAAGATATTCCAAGCAGGAAAATGACTCAAATGGTCCTATTGAGAAATGTGAATTATTGAAAATGGAGTGTAAAAGAGAGGTTAATGAAGCATCAAATTTAGGCAGGGAAAAGTGAAAACTCCAAAGCAGCATGCATAATATAAGTAAATCTTTCCCCCAAAACTATTAAATGGGTAATTAAAAATACTTAATTTTGCTCAAGGGTGCTGTTATTTGAGAGGTTGGCCCTTTCACTGTACATTTTGGAAGGGTATAGGACATATTTCTGTTTATATTGTCCAGTAGTCACTATAGATAGATGCATGCCAGCTGAGTGCAATCCCCATTTAAGGTAGGCTTATCAAAATGGACCTACCTTAAACGACATCAAAATTGTGCATTTGAGGGAATGGGGTCTTAAGAGAATGGCATTTCTAATTTATGTCTAATTATAACCATAAAGACCCCATTCCCTAATCAAGCATACAGATTTAAGCATTCCTCTTAGAACAAGATGGACATAACCCAGCCTTAGACACAACCTCAAGAATATTATTAATTATAAGGATGCAATGTCCTTATGAAGCTGCGTTTTCATAGGGTTTAGAATTAGCAATACCCATACTGTATGCATCAAACAATTGTATATTTCTTTATTACATAAAAGAGGCACTTATTCATGTGTACTCAACTTTCTCTTATTTGATTAGTGTTTAATGTACTAATTTAAGGCACTTCTCATTCTATTGCATAGGTGTCCATAAAGTCTACACAAACTTTGTATTGTAATTTTCAAGAGACTTTATGGTCACCCTGTATATCTACTTGTTTAAGGTAGGTGGAGTATCATATGGTGACTAGCAAACTGGCATTGAAAAAGGTAAAAATCATCCAACAAATCCTACCTTAACTTTACCTGTACAACTGTCTATCTAATTGGAAAAGTGTTCAATTCAGACCTGTTTTACTGTACACCTTATATTGCTATTACAACTACACAAATACAAGGGGCGATCCATATATTCTGATAGAAATGCTCTCATTTTGTTATCTTATAACATATTATATGGATCGCCCCTTGTATAATACCCCTCTTAATACTGTAGTTATTGTCATAGGCCTGTAGGGACTGTTGTCATGGATGCTTATTAATCCAATATAATGAAATTAACATTAAACATTGTGAAATTAATTTGTTAATGGTGATGAAGCTAAAGCAATCTTTGAAGCAAAGCTACTTTGACAAAGGGGGAAAGAAGCATATGGCAACATTGTGAAGCTTCAAAAAGCTTTAAAAAATGTAAAACGTCCCTCCTTAAAACCAGAGCAAAAAATAAATAGAAAAATGAATGTGATTCTTTTGCAATGCTAAAAAGGATCAGACATAATTTTTTATTAATATCAAAGCTGAAATTCAAATATTTCATAAACTAGATATCAAAAGGAATTGAAAGATTGTGAAAAATCCACTCTCACATTCAGAAAATGTGGGTTAACCGGTATTGCATTTCATTTCTCATTTTCAAGTATATTTCATGAGACAAATTCAGTGTTTTCAAAAGTCTCTGAATACATGATCTCTGAATAAATCCAGATATTTAATATCCAAATGTGATATCTGGTGTCCTTATGCAGATATTCAAAGTTTATTGCAAGCGTTCAAATGTGCCTATCCTTTTATTACAGCCTGGGCAGTCATGCACAGCATCTTTGAGGCTTGTCACACAAAGAGGTACCAAGCAGCAGAAGCAGCACCAGCTTAAACAATAGTAAAAGAGCAAAAGTAAATAAAAAGGGGTATGAAAATAAGGTACAGTAAAACGTGCTGAATTGAACACTGCCATACTTTATACCATATCACTTGTAAACAAAATCTAGCAAAAACCAAGTAATATTCAGAAATGATACTCCAATGTGGTGTACAAATCAAGTAAGATTCAAAAGTGGTCCTCCAATGTGATGTACAAATCAAGTAAGATTCAAAAGTGGTGCTCCAATGTGATGTACAAATCAAGTATGATTCAAGAGTGGTTCTCAAATGTTTCTCACAAATCAAGTAAGATTCAAAAGTGGTGCTCCAATGTGGTTCACAAATCAAGTAAGATTCAAAAGTGGTGTTCCAATGTGGTTCACAAATCAAGGAAGATTCAAGAGTGGTGTTCCAAGGTGGTGCACGATTTAAGCAAATTCAAAAATGGCGCTCCCAAACACCGACTGTTTTCTTGCAATCGGGGCAGGTGTGGCGTGCATCTTGCAAGCCACTAGCACAGAATGGTATAAGACAGCAAAAACAGCAAAATCTAGATAAAAGGTGTAAAAATAATATGTAGGCTAAGGAATACAGAAGATGTACAGTACATATGTACATACTACATGTAACTAGGTATAAACATCATGAAATGTGACCACTCAAATTATATGGGTTTCTATTACTTTCCAACATAGAAAATACGAGTAACAATCAAATGTTGCTTATAAAAAGCTGATTACATCACATTTTACGGATCAAAATAAAATTTCATTTTAAATCAGATTTTCCTGCTTGGAATTCTTTGAATTAATACCTAGTAAATAAATATATAAAAGTAATATGACAATAAAATAACCCTTTAAACATGCAATCATTTGATAATACATGCATTTTACATGCATTTTATATTTTAAAGCAAAAACTCCGAAAGCAACATGCAAGAGAGAGAGTATAGGAGGAAAAGTGAGTAAAACATAGTCAGTCAGAAAAGCAGTGCTACACTAACTCAAAACATATTATCAAAAATACAAGAAAATGAAGAAAATAATATTAGTAAGCATATTAATATAACACACCAAATAAAGTTAATACAAACATGAAAAGTAAAAAAAGATGGTATAATCTGCAACATTTGGATATCTTAAGGTAAGCCAGTTGTAAAGAGCAAATTGGCTATTTGGCATGTATGCATACAGATGATGTGCCCATTGGCTTACCTTAATACAGATTTGTTGCATGATTCAACCACCATCAATATATTATATATACATAGGTGTAGCCAGTGGGGTACGATAAGCAATAAAAATAGAACCATTTGATATAGATTCGATAGAAGAGCTTAAAAATGCTTTTTATTTGAAGCTTCTTGCCTAATTTTGAAGGAAGTTACATCAATTTTTGTAAAATTCAAAACAAATCTTTTTTTGGCTTGCTTATTTGCACCCCCCTTGAATGAAAACTGAAAAATAATTGGCAATCGCACCCCCTGACTGAAAGCCAGCTACACCCATGATATATGCAATGCAATACTGCATATTGCAATTATTTACACTAAATGCTCATGGAATTTTTTGCATTGTACAGTATAAGCCATGTATTTGCACCTTGGAGCTGCAATAAATGAGGCTGAGATCTGCCATCTCAAACAGAAAACTAGTCTAGCTACAAGCCCCTGTGACCCCCCCCCCCCTGTGACCCCCTTTCTCTACTTGACTACACACCCTTCTCACATAGGTGTTTATGTAGTTAGAGGGGGGGCACAAGGGCTTGTAGCATGTAGCTAAACAAACAGAAAATAAAAATAACATGTTAGTGCCAGTATAAGAGACCAAGTTACCCAGTTACAAGTTACAATCAAAACTATTAAGTTGGTAAAGTTAGATATGTTATCATCAACTCAAGAACAGGGTTAAACTTTGCTCTATTGGTTTAGGAGAAAAGTTGTGTTATGTTAGTACATGATATAATTATTCGTAAGCTTGAGCTCTCAACTAATGTTACCAGCTTAATAGGTGTGAATGATGCAAAGTGAAAGAATGCAAACAACAAGGCAGTCATGAAAAATGTTTTCACATCCTAAAATACCTCAGCTCTCCTGAAAAAGTCTCCAAGACTTGTTTGTCCTGATGGGTCTTAAAGATTAATATTTAAAGATATATACATTTCAGTTCTTATAAATTGTTACTTTTCTTTTAAAGAGTGACTGTACATCATGACTACATTGTTATGAAACTAGATTATAAGAAAGTCAAACATAAAAGGCCATGAAAAAAGTAATTTCATATTCAATCTTATCTAGTTCTGGTTTTCTTGAATTAACTTGTATGATTTCTAAGAATGTCACTACGAGGGGTCAGTACATATGTTCTTATCTGATATGACTGTCATTGATTTTCAAAACCACCCTAGCCCTGTTTCCTTATGATTCTAAATGTTTTTAACATGATTATCATGACATTTCATGTTGACATACACATTACATGATGTTCATAAGGGGCACCACAATACAGCTAATATCAGCCTTAAAATCATTTGCCGCAAAAATCAATGACTCACTTGTGGTTCCCTTAATGCACATGAAAAACAAGTCCAAAATCCATGGTTAGCCCTAAAAGTGTTAGTTAGAAGAAACAATATACATTAACCTGGAACTTACTCTTCGAGGAGTGTTCAAAAAGTGACGATCACAGACTTATAGGCGACGATATGTGCCTAGAAGTCTGTGACAGTTAGGACAGCCGTGGTCGGCATCCTGCAAGTCATCGATACAGAACGGAATCAAACAGCAGCCCATCCAACAGCTAAAATGGGAAATAAATTGATTATTAATACATTAAATAAATTGGAGGATTTCTTTAAGATATGCAGTATTCACCAAGGGGACTGTAAGAAAAATGGGTCAAAGTATCCAGGTTTCACGATTTTCAAATTTCCAAAAAAAGGTAAAATGAATTTTCAATTAAGTGCAGCACCTCGTCACTAAATTCTGTAACAATCGTAGAGGTTCAAAAAATAAATGGATGATTTTATGACAAGTGGAAATTTTGAGATTGACAGAAGGCACTATGAATTCTTAAATACAGGGTGCCAGGAAAAAGGAGGTCGAGCCAAAAACTGCAATCATGATTATTTTTGTAAACCCCTTTAACTTTTCACATATCAACCCTCACAATTGGCCCACCCTGTGTATCGGCCAACCAAATATTTAATAGATAACTAAATATAAATACAAAATGTCACCACCAGCCATTTGTTACAGACGCTGATGGCTAAACACTATTACAGACACCGAACACCACTTCTGGTGGTGACATAACAACAACACTCCTTCACTTACCCAAATAAACAAAGAAGGCCTGCAGATAGCCAAGTGAGGCCTCCAGACTGGTATGTGACTGTAGTTGTTACTGTAGCATGACAATGTGGGCATTCCATCATTTTAGGATGGGGGCCGAGTTGGGAAGACTGCACGATCACTGTCTGTTGTACGGGTTGGGCCATGACTGTCTGCTGTTGGTAACCTACAACAATAACAAATAAAATTTCATGAGTTAAAGACTACTATGCAATATAATGTCTTCTAATTAATTAGTATGGGGTCAAAGTGGGTTTCAAGTTATTACAAATACTGATGCTGACCATTTACACCAAAAGCAAGGCATATAAAACAGCGGCTGTGAAAATATGTCACTTTTTCTCGTTGGTGACAAATATGATATAGAGAATACAATTATTTAGGCCAAAAATTCTTTCGAAATCATGCTATTTTTTCACCATTCTGAGCATTATTTAAAGTGGTTTCGGGCCAAATGTGAGCCCGACTGGAATTTGAAATGTGAACCCCCTTGGCAAAAGGTGACTACGGCCTGATATGTACTTGTATAAAATATAATAATCAAAATGATATGTATACACTGTACATACCTTGAGGGTATGAGCCCTGTGGGTATGATCCTTGTGGAGGATAGGCCCCCTGGGGTGGATACCCAGGAGCTCCCGCACCACCAGGGGCCTCATACTTTGGTGGGGGCTCCTGTGGGTATTCCTTGCCAGGCATTTGCTGTCCCGGTTGGGGGTAAGGTGTAGCATAGGGGGCACCACCAGCAGCTTGGGCACCTGGGGCCTGGAACAGATCACAAAAATAAAGATGAAGTATGGTAAATTAATTGGCAATTAATGTTTACACTTTCAAAAATGAAGTAAGAAAATACGGGCATAGAATCATTCAGTTTCGATCAGCACACAGATTTACAGACTACCATAGATCAAGAGGTAAAAAATTGCCTAAGACATTATTACAATTTGAGATATGAAATAGTCCTACATATACTCTTATAGAAATCCTCAAATATATATACAGAAGACTCATCTATGCTGCATATTGTGTATTATAAGAAGTTTGAAACTTAAAAAAGAATGGTATGATTACATAACTAAACAACAAAATTTCAAGTTTAATACTAGGAGAATACTTATCCTTTTATTTAATATTTTGGTTGCTCATGAAATACATTTGATGTACGAGTACATGTACTTACTATGATGTCATGTACATATGTGATTTACTTTCAAATATGTCTACTTTGAATTAATTATAGCTAGACACACATGAACATACCATTAGGGTGCTTATAAAAACCAATGATTTTTTCAATACAAGAAATAAACCAATTTTAAAAAGTTTTATGGTAAAACTTGTGGTGTTTTTAGAATTATGTGGCTTGCTCGATTGACTAATATGGATTGACCGATTGATTGGCTTTCTGACTTTTTTCTTATATGCTGTCATATGATTCTTGAATAGCTTTTCAATATCATATTAATTGTTTTAGTTTTTTGAATTACTCTTTTGAATCAATCCCCTTAAACTGCATGTATTTTCACAACTATATCAGATTCTAGTGGCTTACAATGCCCCCAGCAATCAAGCATTAACGTAATTGTTATGTATATTCTATGTAATTTATTACATAGCAATTACACTTTCAGAAATTACAATGTTGTGCAATAAGTAAGAAGAAATTACAGAACAATTTGAGATGGTTTCCAGATCTAAAAATCATATTTTGATCATCAATATTATAGTTTTAGTATCCACTGTAGGGATTTTAATTCAGTCAGGATATACTGAATATATTCCTAAACTAATCTCAATACAGATGAGATATCCTGATCCGGTAATACCTCAACCTAAACGATATCTTAAACAGGATAGTCAACAAGTTCCAGGGGATATTCAAACAAAAGTAATAAATTCAGATGAGTTAATATCAAATGATGAGCTAAGAGTTATCAAAAATGGAAAAGAACCAATGACAACAATCCAAAATAACATGAAACTGACAACCCTGAAACCATCCAGTACAAATGGAAGTCTAGAGACAAAAGCAGAAACAATACCATTTAAAGAAATACCAACACAATTGCCGCCAAGCACCATGATACGTAACAATGAAATAACACAGGCTCGCAAGGTAGACTCAGACAAATATATTGTATTTTTGTGTGGTGAGGGCAAGTTATGTGGAGGATTAGGAGACAGGTTGAAAGGAATACAAAGTACATTTCTCCTTGCATTGGTGTTAAAAAGAAAATTCAGGATTATTTCTACAGTGCCATGTGACTTATATAATCAACTTGGAGAAAACAATGAGCCATGGCATCGACCAATCACTCCTGGTCTGAAGAACAAAACTATTAGAATGATAGATAAATACAAAGCATGTGGTGATCTAATATTCCAGAAAACAAATGTAACAATGATGAATATTGATGCTAAATTCCCAGAACCTGTTATAAAAATAAGAACTAATCAAGGATGGACTCATAGATTCCATGAGGAACCCTATAAAACAATTCTAACTAATCTAGGTTTAGATATGTCTAATTTTACAGCAAAATATATATTCTCAAAAATTTATAATCACTTATTCAAACCACAACGAGACGTGTTGACTTTGCTTGACAGATTCTTAAATAGGGCCAGGCCAAAGCTTGGAATCAAACTGGTTTGTGCTCAGATTAGGATTGGCTATAATCCATCAATACCAAGAGAATCATCCAGGAAAAGAAGAAACCACGACAAATGGCTACCTGTTCTTTGGGATTTCTTATCATTATATAACGACTCGTCAAAATACACTATTTTCATTACGACTGATTCTCAAGAAATACGAGATCATTCAAAGAAACTCTTCCCCGATACTATCATAGACACAGATGGAGAAATCACCCATGTTGATAGGTTTGATAACAAAGACGATGCTTGTAAAGGAATGGAGAAAACAATCCTAGACTTTACTATTCTTGCCAATTGTGACATCACAGTTGTCAGTAGAAGCAACTTTGGGAAACTTTCCTCGCAGCTTCAGTCCCCGGCATCCAAGTTGTATACATTTGAAGAGGGTGTAATCCATGAGGGACCAGAATGTAGTCCTGTAGGTAAAGCATTTAACAGGACTACTAAATTGTTCACAGATGATTGCAGCCAAATAAATTGTCCTCCATCAAGAAGTACAAAATGTGCTGAATAAAAGGAACAATGATGACTTAGGTCTTTGACTCTTAGTACTATAGTAACTAGTCATTGTTGCCTAGTTTTGACTTGTTTTTATAGCTGAACAAACCTTGGCATCATTTGTTTTCAAAATTAAGAATTTGTACCTATTCAAAAATAAAAGATATATCAAAAAATTATTTTCTGAGTTTTATAAGGAATCTTTGTGAGATTTTTAAAGTTATTTAGCTTTTTTGTGTAAATTTCAATATTATATCACTATAACCGAACTTTGAAAATTTAATCAAGAAAATCGAGATTATTTTGACTGACATTTAGTCTATTTCATTCACTTGGAACTTTAAATCAATTGCATTTATTCCAAAATTGTTCATTATCATTTAGTCATTTTTACTAATCCCATAAAGAGCATAATAAATATAATCCCATAAAGAGCATAATAAATATGCATTGTTGATGTGGAAGTTAGTTGGTCCTGTAGCTCAGTAGTAGAGCACTCATCTAAAAAGCAAGGGATTGTGGGTTCAATTCCCTCTGTGGTGTGTTTGTATGCACGTAAGTATGTATCTTTTATTCCCGATTTCAAATCTGATTTCATAAAAAATAATTACATTGTTAGATTAAAAGAATAAACATAAACAAGGTCACAACATATACAATCTTCAAAAGTAGTATAAAAAATTCAGATTACAAGATCTTCTGCAAGTTTATGCATCTTTTCACACAATCCCTCAGAATACGATTTCATCAACCAGAGATTTAAATAAAAGAGTATTTTAGATGATTTTATTTGGAATTGATTAACAGTAATGCAGTTTAAATCAAAAAATAAAGTTTGGAATTGTCAATTTTTTATTCGCTGTAACCTTTCAAATAATGTTGAACAAGGACTTCAGCAGCTGTTACTAATAATTAGTTTTTGCAAAATGTTGAAATATTGATTAATAATAAACATTGAGCAAAAAACATGAACAAGTTTTAAAAAAAACTAACTCTTGACAATCTGTTCCATTTTACCAGATTTAAACCTGTGGTCAGCTATTTTGAATAATTTAGATGTGATTTGGGCATATATTTGTCAGGAGATACGAGACCAACAGAACAGCTTTGCAGCCAATTTCAATCAGTGTACAGTACTATGGTACAATTTTTACTATGGTACTGTACGATTCAGTGAAATATGGTACCATCTGATAACAGTAACTGTACTGTATCATACCCTTTATGTACCATATGGTGCTGTGATTTCAGAGTGTAGATTGGGGGTGAACTGTGTTCTTGGACTATTTTCTGAACTGCAAAAGGTGAAAAATTTACCAAATCCAAGTTCACCCCCATTCTGGAGCTGTTCATAAAATGGTAGGTTAATCTGGTAGCCGACAGGCAGTAGTTGAACTCGCGAATCAACTTACTTGTACGGGTGCAGGAGGTTGAACTGCTGGTGGATAGGTGGAGCCACCGCCTGGTTGCATCTGGTTTGATTCGGTTGTGAATGTAGGATTCGTTGCTGGTGTTGCTGCTGGGTTCTGTTGTGCAACCGAACCATAGGTTGGTGGAGCAGCGTCAGTCATGATTTATTGTTCTCTTTATATTGTTCCTAATTGGCCTAGCTGAAATCAAATATGTATACAGGTTAACATTAGGAAAATAACATACTCTGGTATGTTTCCGCCACAGAAACTTGTATCACTATGATATGCCTAGATGCAGAGTCTCAGAGTCTCTATAGCCTATATTAGACTATGTGTCTCTATTGAGTCCATATAAGCCAGCATATCAAAACTATACCATATAAGGTGCCACGAGTTCCTGTGGTTTCCACAAATTTTGATGCAAATATGTATGGTTCTCTAAATTAGAAACTACAACGAAATGTATGGCTGATATTACTAATTGATTATTCCACTTGAGTCTATAGTAATAAAGTAAAGTATCGCAGTACATATTGACTTGTGTATTCTAATACAACATCTGGATAAGCTAGTCAATACATAATATTAGTGTTCTGTGATCTCTTCGAAAAGTTATGTTAATTGCTATGACTGAAAATTTTATCTAGTACCAGGGCTCTCACCAGGAAATATTTAGGGTGTGGTGCTAACATCTTCACAATAACCGTTAAATTGTGATAAATCATATTTATGTTATGTTTTATCCTTTTTACATGCTATTACTGTATATTCAGTCAAGTTTAGACTGTGGAAACAGTCATGATTTGCCATTAGGGTGTGGAGGGAGCTAAATAGAGTGTGGTGCTGCGCCACAGTCTAATGGCCTGGCGAGAGCCCTGAGTACTAACTAAAAAATTGTTTCAATGGCTGAAACAAAATACAAGTCGCAAAAATGGTGGCTATGACAAAATCACATAATTTCTCAGTAGTAATCACAAAAACTGCCCAAAATATTTAAATTTGCTCTTACAATTTGTAATAATGCACAGAAGACATTGAGGCCTGTTCATTAAAAGAACAGTAAAACCTGTGTATATTGAACATTTATTTGCTGAGAAATAATGTTCAATGTTGGTAAGTGTTCACTTGTCAATAGAGTATGTGCAAAGGAAGGGTGTCTACTAGAGAGAGATGTTCACTTAGACAGGTTGTAGATTCATAACTAAATCAGGTAAATAAATAATGACACCAGTGAAACTTGTAAAGTTGAACACCTCTAGAAGTGGTACACTTTTCAGAGTCCAAAGACCAACTGACTTACTGTTAAATAAACCTCTATAAATGAAACAACTCCCAAGTTGAACAATTTTAGAGGTACCAAAGGTGTTTTATTGTAATTCCTTAGTATTACATATTAACCTTCAAAAATATACAATGATGTGAGCCATCATTTACAAATTATGTTGTTTCCGGGATGAATGTGTAGATGTAAATCCCAGTTTTGGTATACAGGTACCTGTAGATGCAGTAAGCCAGACAATAAAGTAGATTATCAAAGGTAAATTATTATTATTCATTCATGAAACCTGTCTAATCTGAACACCAGGCTAAAAAGTTTTTGGATTGGCAGGTGTTCATACATGTATTTAAGGTTGAACATAAAGTCTATGTCAGATTAGAAAATGGGATTGTTAAAAGTGTTTATATGAAAACTTGTTCAAATCAGAGAGATGATACATGCCAAAAACTAGATAAATATATTAGCCACGTGCGACCATAAAAAGGAATCGTTAATATACATGTACAGTACTTTAAAATTGATAAGCCACAAAAGTTGATATATTAATTTGAGTTCACTGATGTTATAGGAGCAGGTGATAGTGAATCATTACAACATATTGTGCAAAATGTCACACTGTCATTTGTTACCGACAATGACTACCGAATACAAAATGACACAAAAAAGTTGGAGACTTATAGCAAAATGTCATCACTTCTGCTGATGACATAAAAATGATATAAATATAAAGTGTATTTTACCTCAAAAACTAAATTGTATTTTATCACATTGCATTTTACAATGACAGACTTCATAAAAACATGCACTTTGTATATATTGTTTGTAGTAGTTATAGTCTAGTAAACTGTAGTTGTAATATAGGAATATTTGTAGGATTATATTACTCCTCTATATAATTGCTATGACACCAGAGATTCAATTAAAAATACATGTGAAATAACAAAATATATAATATGTCAGACAAACCTTGATTTGGTTTTGCTTTAATCCTAATCTAAACAAGATGAAGATTTCCACTATTAAGTATAAAACGAGTTGTATATGAATGAACTAACATATGTTCTATATCATAGTTGCTTATAAGTTATATTATATTTCCTCTGAAAATATGTTATCTCCTTAAATCAATATTTAGCGAATCACTTCTACAGATATGATTCAGAGGGACCGAATAAAAGTATAAATCGTTTGAATAATTAATAATTTCTCTCTAGCTTATTACATTCTTTTATTTCTTTAAATAGTGTTGTACATGTATGAGGTAGGCCTAAATGTCTGATAAAACCATTATGATGTCTGTTAAATATGTCATTTTAGGTTTAATTTCAGTTAAAAGTTTTAATTTGATCCCTTATCATTTGGACTTAGGTGTTCAGTGAACTTTGATATCAGAGTATTAGCAATGTCGTCAATGGTTAATAATCATATGATCAGGAATTTCTTTTCCATTTTATAAACACTTTACCATGTTGAAAATATGCATTGACCTTCTAGAAATTCAAAACATTTACCATGTTGAAAATATGCATTGACCTTCTAAGATCCATATAGAAATTCAAAACATTTACCAAGTTGAAAATATGCATTGACCTTCTAGAAATTCAAAACATTTACCATGTTGAAAATATGCATTGACCTTCTAAGATCCATATAGAAATTCAAAACATTTACCATGTTGAAAATATGCATTGACCTTCTAAGATCCATATAGATATCCAAAACATTTACCTTGTTGAAAATATGCATTGACATTCTAAGATCCATATAGAAATTCAAAACATTTACCATGTTGGAAATATGCATTGACCTTCTAAGATCCATATAGAAATTCAAAACATTTACCAAGTTGAAAATATGCATTGACCTTGATCCATATAGAAATTCAAAACATTTACCTTGTTGAAAATATGCATTGACATTCTAAGATCCATATAGAAATTCAAAACATTTACCTTGTTGAAAATATGCATTGACATTCTAAGATCCATATAGAAATTCAAAACATTTACCATGTTGGAAATATGCATTGACCTTCTAAGATCCATATAGAAATTCAAAACATTTACCATGTTGAAAATTTGCATTGACCTTCTAAGATTTATATAGAAATTCAAAACATTTACGATGTTGAAAATATACATTGACCTTCTAAGATCCATATAGAAATTCAAAACATTTATCATGTTGAAAATATGCATTGACCTTCTAACATGTCTAAGATCCATATAGAAATTCAGAACATTTATCATGTTGAAAATATGCATTGACCTTCTAAGATCCATATAGAAATTCAAAACATTTATCATGTTGAAATTTGCATTGACCTTCTAAGATTTATATAGAAATTCAAAACATTTATCATGTTGAAAATATGCATTGACCTTCTAAGATCCATATAGAAATTCAAAACATTTATCATGTTGAAAATATGCATTGACCTTCTAAGATCCATATAGAAATTCAAAACATTTATCATGTTGAAAATATGCATTGACCTTCTAAGATTCATATAGAAATTCAAAACATTTATCATGTTGAAAATATGCATTGACCTTCTAAGATCCATATAGAAATTCAAAACATTTATCATGTTGAAAATATGCATTGACCTTCTAAGACAGACTTGCCAACCTAAAATGAAAAATTTTCGGGAGATTTAAAAAAAATTGCGGTACTTTTACGGGAGTTTTTTTCAAAATCCGGTAGTTTTTGTTGGAGTTTCTTGGAAAAAGCGGGAGCTTTTACGGGAGATTTTTGAAAAAACGGTAGTTTTTACGGGAGATTTAAAAAAAGGGAGTTTTTGCGATAAATTTTGAAAAAACTGGAGTTTTTACGGGAGATTTTGAAAAAACAGGAGTTTTTACGGGAGATTTTTTAAAAACGGGAGCTTTTACGGTAGGTTCTGAAAAAACGGGAGTTATTACGGTAGGTTTTGAAAAATCGGGAGTTTTTACGGTAGATTTAAAAAAAAACTGGAGTTTTTACGGTAGATTTCTGAAAAAACAGGAGTTTTTACGATAGATTTTGAAAAAACTGGAGTTTTTACGGTAGATTTCAGAAAAAACGGGAGTTCCAACGGTAGGTTTCTGAAAAAAACGGGTGTTTTTACGGTAAATTTTGACAAAAAACGTGATTTTTTATGGTAGATTTATAAAAAAAATAAAAATTTGGTTGAAATTATTATGACGCATGTGCAGTTAATAAATTAATTAGAACTTATGATCTAAGATAGATGTCACTTACTTTCATTATTTCATAGCAGTCCCTACCCATAATGCCCCTTATATTGCGGGGAATATTTTGTTTAGCGCCATATAAAAACAAAATGTATTCTCCCGACAGGAATATGGCAGAATATGAATTGGCCCCCGTTTGTGGACATTTGGTGTGCAAACTTATACCGAACTGATCGCAGAAGAGCAATTTGAATCATGGGAATGAAGTACTTTTAAGTTATTTATGAAAGTATCGATAGTGAACCATGGGAGCCAATCCTTCTTGGAGTAAAAGAAAGAAGCGTGCCTGCAATAATCAAGGTCACAAATTTGTCAAATTCCTTTTAAATATGGTAGATTTCGACAGCAACAAACGGAGATTTGATGGGAGTTATACCAAGAATACGGGAGATTTTACGGGAGTTATACCAGAAAACATGAGATTTTACGGGAGTTACACCAAAAATACAGGAGATTTTATGTGAGTTATACCAGAATAGGGAGATTTTACGGGAGATTTCAGCAAAAATACCCGCTATATTTTTTAAAAAAATTACGGGAGATTTTAGTAGAAATACGGTACGGGAGTTTACGGGAGTTTTTAGGGGAGAAAATGGTACGGGAGTTTGGTATTTTTTACGGAAAAACAAAAAATTTACGGGAGATTCCTGTAAAAAAACGGGAGATTGGCAAGTCTGTAAGATCCATATAGAAATTCAAAACATTTATCATGTTGAAAATATGCATTGACCTTCTAAGATCCATATAGAAATTCAAAACATTTATCATGTTGAAAATATATTCAGTTGCTTGAAAAAGATTTACAGAATAAATCGAAATATTGCAAAACAAAATCAATTTGTTATTGAAAATATGCATTGACCTTCTAAGATCCATATAGAAATTCAAAATATTTACCATGTTGGAAATATGCATTGACCTTCTAAGATCCATATAGAAATTCAAAACATTTCTAACACATACGAATTCACAATGACCTTTTGCATATAAGTGTTAATAAAGGTTTAATTCAAAGTAAATATATTTACCTGTATCTAAGAGAGGGATTGTATTGATTGAGGTTCTGCTTTAAATGAACTTGCTAGCCTTTTGCAGATTATTGATGCAGATGTAGAAGACCAGAACATTTAAAATCTCTAAGGCATAGAGTTAATAAAACATTGTCAGGATCATTTTAGTGATGAATCTTTAAATGTTAATGGACTAACATGTGGTATTACTACATTTCAGAGTCCTTATAGGTAATATCCTTAAATATATTGAAGCATATCCATGAACATAAATGACAATTGCCACATTCCTTTAACACCATCTTGACTTACAGTTTACCAATTACATTAAAACGTTCATTTCTCTTGATGGTGTATGACACATCCTTTAAATTCTGGGGAGATTTATTGCTCCCAGTTTCATTTTTGAAAAAATGAGAATGGTGGCTGCCCTCATACTTCTTACCTCAACTGATTCTAAAGTTTTTACATTATCTAGTTTTGTCACAATGAAACGATACATCGAGATGTACATCACCAAAAATGGTGATGCAATCAGTGTCTGCAGCAAGAGATAAATGATTTAAAAAAAATTGAATCTGCTAAAAATCACCTTTTCCTTTCTCCTTTTCATGCAAATGTCTTACCTTTCTCATTCCTTAATTCATTTTCCAATGTTCTATAATATATGCTTTCACTTTAAAAATGTTTTAGCTTGTTGAAATGAACCAATGACCTCAATTTTTTACATTTGATTTCACATCACCTTACTGGAAGTATTCCTTATCTGTTGCTTTCAGTATTTCAGTGCATAGATCTATTGGCATTTGGTATTTCAGTAAATTTTTCTCCGACCTTTCCAAGATGTACACCGCGATGTGCATCAATGTTTACTCTAATAAACTGCAAATGCCATTGATATATGATTATGGCACATTGTGACAACACTAGTACAATCAAGGCACATCATACTATTACTAAAATTATCTTTTTCTCATTTTAGGATTAAATGATGTATATAACTATATAGGCCTTACGACGACTTTTTGAGAATAACCATCAATTTGATTCCTTTTCATTAATTAAATGTAATAAATGCTCTTTCGATTTCCAATCGAATGTCAAGTGCTCTTATAACGAAAGTGAAAGTGTTTGGCCGTTGTCAGGAATCCCCCAAAACAAATGTCACAATGAATGTCTCCATATCAATCAACGTATATTGATGACGTAATACTCGTAGCGTACTTTTCAATCATTGATGTGAATAGACGTGGGAGCCCCGCCTCTGGTGACCTTTTGACTATAGGAGTTTTAATAGGGTCACTGGGCCTAGACTCGTGACAAATTTCATAATAAAACCACAGATGTGCATTAATGCACCTACATGTATGATGTGAACCAGAAGAAGTGAGTAGCTCCCATAATTTCATATTCTATCGTATTTGGGGATTCCCCATTATACAATCTCCAATCAAATTGCAGGATGTGATCAAGTGAACAATCATGAGCACATGCTTTCTCAGTGCCACACATGTGCAAAGTAATATTTGAAATCGTTGAAATGGCGTTTATTTCAGTTTAACATCATCATTTCAAAACTACGGTAATACTATTGAAGTTACTCGAACTAAACTTTCAGAGAATAATCATAAAACACAAATCATTGAGAGATCCATTTCAATGACAAATGAGGCCTGTTTATAAAATTGGCTATCGAACGTGCCAATTAGGTAAATATAATCATACTTATAAACGTATTGGGAAATCTCCCACAGATGGCAGAATTTTTCTTACAATACATCCTAAAGAAACACATTAATTTCTGTATTTCTTTAGGATGTATTCTAAGAAAAATTCTGCCTTCTGTGGAAATCTCCCCCCCACCCCTGGATGTGAACTGAATGATGATAAATGATAAAATAAATTTTATTCTTTAAAATTAGGAAGTAACTCAATAGTCCTGCCAATGGCAGCAAACGTATTTGAAAAGGATAACATGAACATTCTATGTATACATCTCACATACAAATCTACTTACCTAAGTGAGCGAAAGTATATGATTTCTAATAAATTCTCGATTTTACTCTTCCTGGTTGTTTGACCTTGAGACAAAGAACGCACCTGTTGATTTCAGATCCCTCCGCTAAAAGGAACACTACTTCTTTATCAATTAACGATAAACTCAATGCAACATCGAGAAGGAAATATACTTAATTCTCTTTTGTATTATTACTTACTATTTGCTTTTGAAATCAATATAAAATGAGTGTTATAAATTATAATTGAGAACTATAAAATAAATTAGTCCGCAAAATGACGTCATGGTCATGTGAGCAAGTGTCATGGCCGACATAACAAAAGTCTAACATTTCTGATTTTAGATTGAAGACACATTTTATAGAGCAAACGCTGCACAAGGTCAGTTGGTTTAAGGAGGTAATGTTGAGATAGTATCATGATATTATCAGACGTATTCTTGGACAATATGCACCTTTAAAGTGAGTTAATTTGAACAACATTGCAGATTTTTCATTTTTTTGAAAAATTGACTCGGCTAAAAAATGAAAGTTTGTGTGACAGTGAATCAGTATGTAGTGATTGAGAATCTATGTGCAGGTGAATCAATGTGTAACATAAAGTGATAAACATGACGAAGATGTACATCCCTTTGGAACTGTTTTTTCATAGGGCTAGTCACATAAATCCGACCGTTGTATGCTGTTGTTCGATATTCCTTGTTCTTATTTGGATATTTATTTTTTTTATCATTTTCTTTGCATACACGGTCGTAGATATTATATAGAACAAATTATGGTAAACGCTTTTCTGGCCTGTCTTGGTAACCATAGTTACCATACTAACCAAAGTCACACAAATTATCACGTAATTATTTAGCTCCAACATCAAAGTGTTAAATCTTACCTTAGACATGTAAAACGCTTGATAATTGACGAAATATAATCAATTGAATTATATTTTCATTATCGCCCGCCATGTTGCTGAATGTTGTTTCCAGTAGTCTAAATGTATAACATGTATCGAAACGGAATCATAATTATTTATTACACAGAGATCGATTCCAAAGCCGTTCTCTGCCACTTATCACTTTTCTTATTTTGAAACAATAACTTTTCCAAATAACTTCCCTTCTCAACGACACTGCTTCCCTTTCAACTGAATATTCGTGTAGCAAAAACTTATGATTTTGTTTGATATAGTTTTACATCTAGACTATCAGATTAACCCGGAAGTGACCTTGGTAGGCAAAATGAGAAAATTTTAAAATTTAGCAGCGTGCTTATATTTCTTCAATTACCAAGCATTTTACGTGCCTAAGGTAAGATTAAATACTTTAGTTGAAGCAAAGAAATTAATTTATCATTTGTGTGAATTTGGTTGGGTAGACATGCCAGGAAAGCAATTCCCGCAATATAGAAGCGCTAGTGTTTATGACCCTCGTATGCAAGAAAATAAGAAAAATAAATATCCAAATCAGAAAAAAATAACAACAAATAACATCATACGAGGGTCAGATTTATATGACTACATAGGGCCTGCCATTCTTCTTGATCCCTTTCCGTGCTTTATGGGCACTTTGGCGTTATGGTCACATAGTGTTGACTTTGGACACTTTTTTATTAACTCTTGTACTATAATATCACTTTGTATTATTATAGTACAGTTATCTTGTTCCAACGCCATCCTCTTCATTTCTGGTCTTGGAGGGAATCTATTGAAACACACATTATTTTTCAAAAGTCAAAATTTAACGGCATTAGGTACACATATATTTCTTACCTCTATCGACTCTTAACACCAAAAGAAATGTTCTCCCCAAGCCAGAAAAGACGTGGCTGTCTCAAATTGCAGTTATATACACTTCAATCTTTGAGTCGACCAGTACGTATTCAGCTTATTTCAAAATGTCTCCCATGAACATTTCATCCAGTGCCTACATTTCAATCTCTTTTTCCAAGGAACATTATCATTGTAACGATGTATTTGAATGATTTCACTGGAAATTGCTGTTGTATTTGATGTATAAAACTTAGGTAAAATGCAAGGAAATTCCTGCGGTTGATCGGTGTTAGCCAACGCTGAATGTTTTCTTCATTTATATATTACTGCGCGTCGTGTAAGTTAAAATAGTCCGAAAGTGACGTCATCAAATTCATGGATGACATTTTGGAAAACTGTTCGATTTGAAGTTTGAGGTGAATATTACTGCAATTTGAGACAACAGCAACTTTTCTGCCTTTCTTGTGATGTTAAGAATCGATAGAGGTAAGAAATATGTGCGTAGCTATCGCCGATAAATTCACTGTATGTACAGTGATCGTCTACTATTAAAAGTGCGTGATCAAAGACTCGACAAGATGCGCAAAATTCAAATATTTTGTAACGGTTATTTTTAAAAGATTTATTTGTGTTTATATTACAGGCTACTGGTGATTCAATTAGGTTTTGTAGGAACAAGAACACCCATATGCTTTGAGAAATATATATCAGTTTGACCATTTTTTCGTAAATGTTATTGATTTTACGATGTAAAGATATAAATGCGATGTAACATGTGTTATTTTATTCAAAAAGCTTAAAAATATCAAAAACAATAGAACATTTTTACTCTCTTTTATTTTTAATACTTAGGTAGGGTCTTGGGCTTCCGTTTTACCATGATGAAATTCACGTTTCCGCTCTTAAATAACATGGAATAAATATTCTAACACAGAAACGAATGGATCAGCCTATAGCGTGAGTTTCAGCAAACCATATGCCCTTTTCATACATGCTTTTCACGAGAAGAAAAATGGGATTTCTTTCAAAAAGTATGTCTAAAAACATGTACATCACCGTTCACCGATTCAGTCAATTAAATGGTCACTGTGTGTGCGTACATTTTGTTTCTGCCTAGGTTTGAATACATTACCATTTAATGAAATGTACACTGTACAGTAAACCTGCTACGTGAAACACATCTTGAAGCGTAACACCTTATAAGTGGAACAGTTTTAAAGTCCCATTCCAGTCCATTTATTTTACCCTCTGATTCCAAGGAACGAGAAGTTAACACCTTGGCATCCAAGATGATTGTCGAATTGTAATGCAAGAATTGAATAAATTATGAATGAAAATGCATGTCACAGTATCGCCCATTGTCATGGTTGTGCCTGTTTTGGACATGGGGCCTAATAATAAACTTATAAAATATAAAATCTGAATTGTACATTATCTATTTCATTGGGGAGTTAAATCATTCTTTTGCAGCAAGGTATCAAGTTATAAGTTATACTAAAATGTAATGACGTAATTATCTCCGGTAGATGCCAGTAGTCAGTTCCCAGTTTCACCACGAGGTGGCTAACTTGGGTCATATATAAATGACGGGTATAAGGGAAAGCTCCTTAAAGTTCAATATTCAGTAGATTTATTGATCAATTTTCAAATAAAAGTCTATCGGTGATTAGCTTGAGAATTTTAGAATTGTATGTAATCGAATGCAAAATAAACGCCAAGTGGGACTTTTTAGGGAAACTCTACAAAGTGTGAAATAAAGACCATGCTATTATCTCTAATTATGGTAATTTTGTTTTATTTTGTATCAGTTGAATCAGAGATTTTGGATGATTTCATTTGATTATTGTCAATCACCTAAATTGTAATAAATTCATCACTTTCTACAAGTATGTTAGCCTTGCCCAAGTCGGTCTCTTTCACTATCTTGATTTCTATTATGACCGCCTTGTACCAAAGAGAAAGCCACGTGCTTTACCGACTCAATGTTTATGTCGGTAAAATTTGACCAATCAACGACGGCCCTGCAGCGTTAGCTCATTATTATGCACGGTCAAAAACAAGTACACTTTACTTTTCGCCGGGACTTTTCACGAACAAATCTTGCATGAATTCATCATGAAAATACAAATATTTTATCAGATAAATATCAATCAGAGTTTAGTGGATGCCGGAGCATCGATCGGTAACCGGAGGTGAGAAGATTTCAACAATAAACGTTGAAACGATCGCTGAGTTAAAATGAACATGTAGGCTGAGATTCAATCACTGATCGACTACACCCGCTACATTGGACTCGGTCTTGCATTTTCATCGCGAAATCAGTTTTAAATCTATTGCATGATTTAATTTATATTAATCACTCTTACAAATTCGATATGTACATTTAATTACATAATATATTGTAACTCTAAAGGAACGATCGATCAGATCATTGAATTTCAAATCGGGAAGATTGCTTTGCTTATGCAGGTCAACCTGATAACGTTTTGATTGGTCAATCAGCCTGAAGTCACACGTTGTGTCCACGCGTATATCTCTTGATCAATAAGGTTTCGCGATACCCCTGATAGCGTAGGTATTATGGAAACCTCGAAACCGTTGAATAACTCTGCATAATATCAGCGCAGGTGTATTGGATTGTACAAGGCGGTAATAATTCAAGATCAGATAAGTAAAAAATACCGACTTGGGCAAGGCTACAAGTATGTGTTTATTTATTGATTTTACTTCATTTGGTATTATTCCAGAAAAATTTCTTGTTATCACTCTAAATTTGCCTCTATTTTCAGAAATCTTTCTCATCTTCATCTCTTTACTTCATGATGTTCTACAAGGTGGTTTATAATGATTTGAAATTTAGGAGTTCGAAATGAAGGACAGTCAAATTATGTAAACCAAACCACTCTGAAATGCAAAGGACATATCATTAGAATCCACATGGTAAAATCACTCACTTGGCTGATCATAAATTGTTTTCATAACATCCTTCTTACTCGATACTGAAGGGGAGTTGGAACGACTGATATGCATGTAATGTTAAGTATTACGTACATTAACCATAGACATGCCAATTTTGTGGTTTGGGTAATCTAAAAACAGAAAATTTGGTGAAATATACATTTTCGTTCGGCAGTTTTCTGATTTTGCTTCATTTATCAACTCAGTTCAGGTATTTCGGTTGAGCCAATTACTGAATCCTGTTGCCAAATGAATCTTGAGTCTCTTATACAGCATATGGAATACCATCTGTAGGTAAAATGACGTTAAGGTGGTAAGGAGAAGTGAAACAAACATACCTTTCCTCCGACATTTCGAATTTTGCCCATCTTGTCGAGTCTTTGATCACCCACTTTTAATAGTAGGCGATCACTGTACATACAGTGAAATTTCAACTTTTGAAAAAGAATGTGTGCTTGAATGGATCCCCCCCAAGACTAGAACGTAGAGATAGTTTTGGAACGAGATAATAGTACAGGACTTTACACATCAAACTCAAATGTCAGTGTCAACAGTTGAACTTCGGGTGTACAGTGGGGAACATAAAGAATTACTATAGCTATGAAAAATACATGCTGTCGCACATGTAATAAATTCTTACCTCAGTATATTCAGTGCTCTATTTTCTCCGTCCTTATAAGTCCAAATATAGTGGAATTTGTGTCCATAATGACAAATAGGAACTTAAAAATTTGAAGTGGATATTCATATGTTAATGCTGAATATTCAAATGTTGAGGTGATTTTGGAGCCCGATTACGCCGCAAGGAGGATTGGCTCCCAGAATGCAACATGACACATGCCAGCTTTCAAAATGCCGTTCTGCCATTTTGAAACAGGTCACGAGTTATGAGTAAATAATGAGGTTAACTGATATTGCATTCTGGGAGTCAATCCTCCTTGGATCACAAACATTGCCATTCATGAAAACATTCGTTCGATTTGGTAGGAATTTATCCATCATTTGCAGGTATGAAGCTTTGGATTCATTTATTGTGCTACTTAAAGTGAACGGGAATTATTTTTCTACTGCTTGGGAGAGTTTGAGACACGAAACTTAGAATTTAGCTCATTGTGACAACTTTTGGTGGTTGAGGTTTATTAATGTCTCCCACTTTATGAAGACCGACCTTTGACCAGTCACAAGAATGCCATCATATCAGAAATATATTGAATTTCAGTAAAAAATTTAGGATGGATTCTGTCCGTAGAAATGATAGATTGGCAAGTTTTAAAAAAAAATACAATTTCATTCATTTTCCGTTCATTATACATTTATTTCCATTATTATGCAGTTACACAGGTCTGCCACAACCCACATTTGGCACTACAGTATCAATTTTTGTTTTAAAAAATTATACTATTATTTTGTACAAACTCTTAATCAGAATTTCCTACTGGCAAGTCAGAATTTTAATTGGCAAGTGAGAATTATTCTTCTCTAGACAAATTGTCTAGTAAGGTTAAAATCTTACATACTGCCAATGTATTTTCTTTGTATTTGCAACTGTTTAGTCAAATTAGCAGGGATGTATTAATTTAGCCAAACCTCACTGGCAAAGTTATCTAGCCTATCCGTGATAAATCTCCATCATTAATAATAAAACCATAATAAAAATAGATGGATTTACATTTGAAATATGACTCTGCTTACACACAGATAAACATGTACTGTATGCAGTAATACTAAGTAATTATTTGTTCCTTGTACAAAATATAATATTTCTCATGTGTTTTCATTGCTGGATGGCCAATTCTTCAACGTGAAATGATTAATTTTGAAGTTGTGTGTGGAATATGTGATTATATCCTAAACTGCAGGGGCTTTCTCTTTCTCACCACCGCAAGTGGTTATAGTCTCCAACTTTTTTTGTGGACTGTTTCAGCATTTGGAAAATGGTGTTCAGCAGACTGCATTCAGCATCTGTAACAAATGGCAGGTGTTGACATTTTGCATGTTAATGCCTTGTTTAATAATTTGCAGGTGCAACAACATACACACGAGTGAAACATGTCTAAGGGTGACTTTGGTTATGGAGCAGTGAGGGAGTACAGAGATGACCCGGGGTCTAGAAGAGACTATAGAGACTCTGTACCTCCACCCAGAGGAGGGCCTCAAACAGGTAAACATTGAACGAGATCTTTGGTCATTTCATAAGTGCTATAAGATCATAGTAAATTCAAACATCTATAGTTTTATAACATATGATGCACAAACCCCCTAGCCAGGAAGTAGGGGTTCAGGGTTTGCAAGCAAAACTGCTCCCCCTGGCCAAGATTCTTTCAAAATCGTGCAGTTTTTCAACATTCTGAGCACTTTTCAAGTGATGTTTGGCCATATGAGAACCTTCTGGAATTTTTTTAAAAGTGAACCCCCTTGGCAAAAGCTGGCTATCCATTTTCTTCAAAATTACACAATAGATGTAAATGGCTATAATGCAATTATATCCTTAAAAGTTTTATAATTAGACTCCAGATTGAAAATTAGGTCAAATCTTGGATTTTCACTAATTCACCACTTTTCTCAGTCGTCTTTCAATATTTTCGCTCCGGGTTTTTTTCATCATGTTCCTTGGAAAAAACGCTAATTCCGTAAGGCAAATCGTTTTTTGATTACTCTTACCGATTTTGAGATATTGCGTCCGAAAAGTAGGTCAGAACAAAAAACTCTCCAGATTCAACATGTGAGTTATGAAATAAGTGTAGAATGATCTCAGGAATCCGAATCTGCAAACCAAATTTCGTTCCGACTTTCGGTTCTGAAGTTATGGCATTTTGAAAGCTCAAAAATCGCTAAAGTTGGTGCCTATGTTAAGTCAATGGGAAAAAAAACTTTTTCGAAGTGTAAAATACAAGATATAGACTGAGTACAGCTTAACATAATGAATGCTTATAAAAGAAGGGGACCTCAAAAGCTACATAGCTTCAAAATTTGGACACCAAAATGCCTAGGTCAAAATCTAGGTCAAATTCATAGTTTTTCCTTATTTTTACGATTCTGACACTACACTTTAATAATTTACTTCAAAATTTTGTATACAGGTAGCAAAGAGTGTGCTTATAGTCTTAGCCTTTTGCCGTCAGAAAATATTTTGACCCACTTTTGAGATATGGTGTCCGAAAAGTAGGTCAAAATAAAAAGTTCTCAAAATTTAACATATGAGCTATGAATTAAGGGTAGAATTTTCCCAAAAATCCGAATCTGCAAACCAAATTTCAATCCGACTTTCGGTTCGGAAGTTATGGCATTTTGAAAGCTCAAAAATCGCTAAATTTGGTGCCCCATGTTATGTCAATGAGAAAAAAGATTTTTTTGAAGTGTAAATTACCAGATATAAACTGAGTACAGCTCAACATTCTGAAAGCCTATAAAAGAAGGGGACCTCGAAGGCTATCTAGCTTTAAAATTTGGACACCAAAATGCCTAGGTCAAAATCTAGGTCAAATTCATAGTTTTTCCTTATTTTTGCGATTCTGACATTACACTTTAATGATTTGCTTCGAAATTTTGTATACAGGTAGCAAAGAGTGTGCTTATAGTGTTAGCCTTCTGCCGTCAGAAAGTATTTTGACCCACTTTTGAGATATGGTGTCTGAAAAGAAGGTCAAAATAAAAAGTTCTCCAAATTTAACGTATGAGTTATGAATTAAGGGTAGAATTTTCTCAGGAATCAGAATCTTTAAACCAAATTTCGATCCAACTTCTGATTAGATAGTTATAGCGGTTTGAAGTCTCGAAAAGTCGATGTGATGATATCCCCATGTTAAGCCAATGGAGTCGACGATAACATTCTTAAGAGTTGTCTAAATGTCTATATTCTAGCTGACTCAGCTTATTCTGAATGACTCAGCTTACAAGTATTTGGATGACTCAGCTTAAAAAAAGTCTGAAATCTGGAGTCTTAAATTGAACTTGTTCAATTTACATGTCTAGTTATTCTTCTTCTTCCTCCTTCCCAGATTTCTCACCAACTAGAAGAGCTTACTTTAAGCTGCTTACATGATTTACTAGGGAATGTATCTGGCTTTCTGGGAAATTAGGTCAAATTTTTATCTAGGTCAAAGGTCAAGAACTAGGTCAAATCCAGTACTTTGTCACTTTTTCCCATTATCTCGGTCGTCCTTCAATATTTTTGATCCTGGTTTTTTTCATTGTGTTCCTCATAAAAAAGTAGAAAACCTAGGGTCGATTTAGTTTTTTGGTATCTCAAACCGATTTCAAGATATCAGTGTCCGAAAACGAGGTCTAAAAAAAATTTCACCGAATCCAATGTCCAGGATATTAGTCTTATGGGAAATTTTCTCAGGATTCCGAATCTGAAAACCAAATTTCGATCTGACTTCCGGTTCAGAAGTTATGGCGTTTTGAAAATTCAAAAATCGCTAAATTTGGTGCCCCATGTTAATTCAATGGGAAAAAATATTTTTTTGAAGTGTAAAATACGAGATATAGACTAAGCACAGCTAAACATAATGGAAGCCCATAAAAGAAAGGGACCACAAGACCTTCTTTTCATAAAAATTTGGACACCAAAATGCCTAGGTCAAAATCTAGGTTAAATTCAAAGTTTTTCCTTATTTTTGCGATTCTGACACTACAGATTAATTATATTCTTCGAAAATTTGTGTACATGTAGCCAAGAGTGTGCTAATAGTGTTAGCCTTTTGCCGTCAGGAAGTATTTTGACCCACTTTTGAGATATGGTGTCCGAAAAGTAGGTCAAACTAAAAAGTTCTCCAAATTTAACGTATGAGTTATGAATTAAGGGTAGAATTTTCTCAGGAATCCAAATCTGCAAACCAAATTTCAATCCGGCTTTTGGTTTGGAATTTATGTCGTTTTGATAGCTCAAAAATCGCTAAATTTGGTGCCCCATGTTATGGCAATGGGAAAAAAGATTTTTTTGAAGTGTAAAATACAAGATATAGACTGAGTACAGCTTAATTTAATGAAAGCCTATTAAAGAAGGGGACCTCGAAGGCTACTTAGCTCCAAAATTTGGACACCAAAATGCCTAGGTCAAAATCTAGGTCAAATTTATAGTTTTCCCTTATTTTTGCGATTCTGACACTATATTTAAATGATTTGCTTTAAAATTTTGTATACAGGAAGCAAAGAGTATGCTATAGTGTTAGCGTTTTGCCGTCAGAAAGTATTTTGACCCACTTTTGAGATATGGTGTCCAAAAAGTAGGCCAAAGTAAAAAGTTTTCCAAAATTAACGTATGAGTTATGAATTAAGGGGAGAATTTTCTCAGAAATCTAGATCTGCAAACCAAATTTCGATCCGACTACTTGTTCTGAAGTTATGGCGTTTTGAGATCTCAAAAATCGCTAAATTTGGTGCCCCATGTTAAATCAATGGGACCGAATAATTTTTTGAAGTGTAAAAATACGAGATATAGAATGAGTACAGCTAAACATAATGAAAGCCCATAGAAGAAGGGGACCTCAAAAGCTACTTTCCTTCAAAGTTTGGACACCAAAATACCTAGTTTAAAAAATCTAGGTCAAATTCATAGTTTTTTCTTATTTTGCGATTCTGACACTACACTTCAATGATATTCTCCGAAATTTTGTATACTTGTAGCAAAAATTGCAATCCGACCCCAGGTTTAGATTCTACGCCATTTTGAAGTTTGAAATTTGCACTTGCCAGTATTCACGATGCAGATTGATCAAATATACTTTCAAAAATTCCTGCATACCCTACTTTACCTCTCTACCTACTCAGCTACTTATTTGACTACTTACTCAATTACTTAATTAGTTATTACTTACTTAGCAACTTACTCAGCTACTAACTCAGGTACTTACTCAGCTACCTACTCAGCTTTTTACTCAGTTACTTACTCAGCTACTTACTCAACTACTACTAAGGTACTTACTCAGCTAATTACTCAGTTACTTACTCAGCTCTTTACTGATCTATCTAGGTAAAATAAATCTGGAGTCTTAAATTGAACTTGTTCAATTTCACAAATCTAGTTATTAGACTCCAGATTGAAAATCTGGAGTCTATTGTTTTTGCCTGTTTTCTTTATTATTATTATTATTATTATTATTCTTCCTCCTCACCAAATTTCTCGTCAACTATAACAGCTTACTTAATCCAACTAACATGGTTAACTAAGAACTGTATCCGGCTTTCTGGGAAATTAGGTCAAATTTCTATCTAGGTCATAGGTCAAGAACTAGGTCAAATCTTGGATTTTCACTAATTCACCACTTTTCTCAGTCGTCTTTCAAAATTTTTGCTCCGGGTTTTTTTCATCATGTTCCTTAGAAAAAACGCTAATTCCGTAAGGCAAATCGTTTTTTGATTACTCTTACCGATTTTGAGATATTGCGTCCGAAAAGTAGGTCAGAACAAAAAACTCTCCAAATTCAACATGTGAGTTATGAAATAAGTGTAGAATGATCTCAGGAATCCGAATCTGCAAACCAAATTTGGATCGGACTTCCGGTTCGGAAGTTATGGCGTTTTGAAAGCTCAAAAATTGCTAAATTTGGTGCCTATGTTAAGTCAATGGGAAAAAAGACTTTTTCGAAGTGTAAAATACAGGATATTGACTGAGTACAGCTTAACATAATGAATGCTTATAAAAGAAGGGGACCTCAAAAGCTACATATCTTCAAAATTTGGACACCAAAATGCCTAGGTCAAAATCTAGGTCAACTTCATAGTTTTTCCTTATTTTTACGATTCTGACACTACACTTTAATAATTTACTTCAAAATTTTGTATACAGGTAGCAAAGAGTGTGCTAATAGTGTAAGCCTTTTGCCGTCAGAAAGTATTTTGACCCACTTTTGAGATATGGTGTCCGAAAAGTAGGTCAAAATAAAAAGATCTCCAGATTCAACGTATGAGTTATGAATTAAGGGTAGAATTTTCTCAGGAATCTGAATCTGCAAACCAAATTTCAATCCGACTTCCGGTTCGGAAGTTATGGCGTGTCCAAAAAGTAGGTCAAAATAAAAAAATTCCAAATTTAACGTATGAGTTATGAATTAGGGGTAGAATTTTGTCAGGAATCCGGATCTGCAAACCAAATTTCGATCCGACTTCCGGTTCGAAAGTTATGGCGTTTTGAAAGCTCAAAAATCGCTAAATTTGGTGCCCCATGTTATGTCAATGAGAAAAAGGATTTTTTGAAGTGTAAAATACCAGATATAGACTGAGTACAGCTTAATATTCTGAAAGCCTATAAAAGGAGGGGACCTCGAAGGCTATCTAGCTTTAAAATTTGGACGCAAAAATGCCTTGGTCAAGATCTAGGTCAAATTCATAGTTTTTCCTTATTTTTGCGATTCTGACATTACACTTTAAGGATTTGGTTCAAAATTTTGTATACAGGTAGCAAAGAGTGTTCTTATAGTGTAAGCCTTCTGCCGTCAGAAAGTTTTTTGACCCACTTTTGAGATATGGTGTCCGAAATGTAGGTCAAAATAAAAAATTCTCCAAATTTAACGTATGAGTTATGAATTAAGGGTAGAATTTTCTCAGAAATCAGAATCTTTAAATCAAATTTCAATCTAACTTCTGGTTAGATAGTTATAGCGGTTTGAAGTCTCGAAAAGTCGATATGATGATATCCCCATGTTAAGCCAATAGAGTCGAAGATAGCCTTCTTAAAAGTTGTCTAAATGTCTATATTCTAGCTGACTCAGCTTATTCTGAATGACTCAGCTTACAAGTACTGGATGACTCAGCTTAAAAAAAGTTTTAAATCTGGAGTCTTAAATTGAACTTGTTCAATTTACATGTCTAGTTATTATTTTTCTTTCTTTTTTCTTCCTCCTCACCAAATTTCTCGTCAACTATAACAGCTTACTTAATCCAACTTACATGGTTAACTAAAGACTGAAACTGGCTTTCTGGGAAATTAGGTCAAATTTTTATCTAGGTCAAAGGTCAAGAACTAGGTCAAATCTCACATTTTCAACATTCTTCATCATATCTTCGTCAACATTCTTCGGAACTCCGTCATTTTTTTTCATCGTGTAGCTTAGAAAAAGGCGAATCAAAGATATGACATCAGAATTTTGATTACTCTTACCAATTTTGAGATATGGCGTCCGAAATGTAGGTCATGCCTAAACATGCTCCAAATCGAATGTGTGAGCTATGAAAAAGATGTAGAATTTTCTCAGGAATCCAAATCTGCAAACCAAATTCGAATCGGACTTCCAGTTCGGAAGTTATGGCGTTTTGAAAGCTCAAAAATCGCTAAATTTGGTGCCTATGTTAAGTCAATGGGAAAAAAGACTTTTTCGAAGTGTAAAATACAGGATATTGACTGAGTACAGCTTAACATAATGAATGCTTATAAAAGAAGGGGACCTCAAAAGCTACATATCTTCAAAATTTGGACACCAAAATGCCTAGGTCAAAATCTAGGTCAAATTCATAGTTTTTCCTTATTTTTACGATTCTGACACTACACTTTAATAATTTACTTCAAAATTTTGTATACAGGTAGCAAAGAGTGTGCTAATAGTGTTAACCTTTTGCCGTCAGAAAGTATTTTGACCCACTTTTGAGATATGGTGTCCGGAAAGTAGGTCAAAATAAAAAGTTCTCCAGATTCAACGTATGAGTTATGAATTAAGGGTAGAATTTTCTCAGGAATCCGAATCTGCAAACCAAATTTCGATCTGACTTCCGGTTCGGAAGTTATGGCGTGTCCAAAAAGTAGGTCAAAATAAAAAAAAATCCAAATTTAACGTATGAGTTATGAATTAGGGAAAGAATTTTGTCAGGAATCCGAATCTGCAAACCAAATTTCGATCCGACTTCCGGTTCGAAAGTTATGGTGTTTTGAAAGCTCAAAAATCGCTAAATTTGGTGCCCCATGTTATGTCAATGAGAAAAAGGATTTTTTGAAGTGTAAAATACCAGATATAGACTGAGTACAGCTTAATATTCTGAAAGCCTATAAAAAGAGGGGACCTCGAAGGCTATCTAGCTTTAAAATTTGGACGCAAAAATGCCTTGGTCAAGATCTAGGTCAAATTCATAGTTTTTCCTTATTTTTGCGATTCTGACATTACACTTTAAGGATTTGCTTCAAAATTTTGTATACAGGTAGCAAAGAGTGTGCTTATAGTGTTAGCCTTCTGCCGTCAGAAAGTTTTTTGACCCACTTTTGAGATATGGTGTCCGAAATGTAGGTCAAAATAAAAAATTCTCCAAATTTAACGTATGAGTTATGAATTAAGGGTAGAATTTTATCAGGAATCAGAATCTTTAAACCAAATTTCGATCTAACTTCTGGTTAGATAGTTATAGCGGTTTGAAGTCTCGAAAAGTCGATATGATGATATCCCCATGTTAAGCTAATAGAGTCGAAGATAGCCTTCTTAAAAGTTGTCTAAATGTCTATATTCTAGCTGACTCAGCTTATTCTGAATGACTCAGCTTACAAGTTCTGGATGAGTCAGCTTAAAAAAAGTTTGAAATCTGGAGTCTTAAATTGAACTTGTTCAATTTACATGTCTAGTTATTTTTGCAGGTGTTGGTGACAGATTACTGACAGAGTTATTTGAGAAAATAAGCAGCAACATATTTAGAATTAACAATAATGGTAAGTTGCATACATACAAATCAAAATTGAAACTGAGGGAATATTTCTATAGCATTGTTGTATATGATAGTACATGTACAATGTAGGAGTGTCATTAGAATTTCGAACAACAGGCAAAATGAATGAGAACAATGGGCAAAATTATTGGAAGTTTTAATTTAAAATTGTATCCTTAAAATTTGGCAAAACAGGATGGAGAAAAAACCTGCAGTGTTTCCTGCTTCTAAAGAAAACATATAATGTATAAACAAAGTCGCTTTCTGGAAATCTTCTTTTTGTAGGTTTTTGTGATGAATAAAAAAAACATGGTGAATAAAAAGCTATAGAAAACCCTGTTTATATGATTTTTACTGTTGAGTTACTTTTAATTAACAAATAATGAGGTAATCCGTAAAATCCCATCTGTACGCTGGTTGCTTGATCCTGGTTATTAACCTCTTGAATACCCAGAGTGACGGATATATCCGTCACAAATGAAATAAGACTGGTGCCCAGAGGGACGAGAAAATCCGTCACAAAATTTTTCATAAAAATTGCTCTCATTTGAACAATTTTCATCCAATTTACACAAAAATTGTTTTAAAACGTGTTGAAATGATCTCTGCCGTCCAATTTTACTAAGCTGAGCATCTAAAGTTGTATAGGTATGTAATAAAATGTCAAAAGGTGGCAAAAAATGAAAAATTCTCTGGTTTCATGCCAATTTCAGAGCCTGGGATTCAAGAGGTTAAAGTTTTGTAGATCTCTATTCTTGTTCTTGAAATTTTTCTGGTTGCTGGGTGCGATACCCTCCTTCACACAAATTTTTCACCAAGGAAGAATTCGGTAAGAAATATCCTTAAAAAAATTCCTGGTTAAATCGGCATTTTATTGATCAAAATTAGTTTCCTCAAAGATCCCTCTCTTGATTATAGCTGGCTATAGGTCTGTACCTCGTCTGTGTCCCTCTGGCAAACTTTTCAAAAATTTGAGCTCGGCTCTAATGTGTGTTTTAGATGATACAATTAAATTTTAATTCAGACATCTTCCAATATGACAGCTGAAGTAAATTGTAATATTTGTTTACATATTTCAGCTACTGTGCTAGAGAGAGCCTTAAAACAAATTGGAACTGCCAAAGATAGTGTTCAACTCAGAGACAAAATGTAAGCATATAATTGATGTTATCCTAAGTGGTGTAATTCCCGAGTCAGTAACTCAAGATGAACTCGTCAGGGCTGCCTGGATAAGGAAGAAAATTTCCTTTTAGAAACGTGACAGATATTTCAACGCATGAGTCTTCTATAATTCCAGTAAACTTGCATTAGTCAACTTGTTAATCCAGGATCCTGAGATTAATAAGCACTATCAAACATGTTTGAAATGAAAGTACAAGATCTTAAGGTATTTTCATTGCAAATGCAGTTTTAAATCAACACATTAATGCATTGTTTGATATGTATTATGCATGTGCTGCTCATTTAAAATGATGACCTAATGTTGATATTTTTATACCTGTGTAAGACAAATATTGAGGAAATTAAATCAAGGTGGGGGGGTGTAAAAAGTACCAAAAGCGTATTTATTGATATTGTCATAACTTGACTATGATTTTGAACCTGTGATATCACTAACTTGAGGTTGAACCGTTTGGTTGTTAGCTTTTTCATAAGTGACAATGGTTTTACAGTCCTTTAGCTGTGTACAGTATAGTCCCTGATTGCTTCAGGACTATTGAGACCAGTGTTATCCTACAATACAGTCAGTGCCTCCTACACAGCCAGAAAAGAGTCTCTGATTGATTCAGGACTATGGATTATGGAAACCAGTGTTATCCTACAATATTGCCTCATACACAGCCAGAAGAAAATAATTGTTATTGAGGAAATTCGAAACTTCATAGAGCTGTGAAATAAGCCATAAAAATAATAAAATATTGTCTTACTATGTGTAGCTATCAAACTTCAACCCATTTTGAAATGAAGAAATATTGCTTGAAATCATCATCTTCACAATAATGTTCTCTGATTTTCAGTCATGATACCCAACAAAATTCTAACAGAGTTATTGGAGAGACAACAAGATGTTTCAAACAAGCTTCCACAGTCAGTAAACAACACATAGAGAGAGTAAGTTAACAACCATCATCAATCTCAGGCCCCTAGCTAAGCACTGACTGAAATATTCTTTCCAAATAATGCAGTTTTTCACCATTTTTATCAACATGATTGTCAAATTTGAACCCCCAGGAATTTAAAATAATGAACCCCTCTTTGTAAAAGCTGGCTACAGGCCTGAATCTATATTTACTTTGTTACAGCCTATTGTTGCAGTTAGTTTCAGTAGATAAGTTGTCCTCTTTTATATATAGGGCAGCTAACATGTTAATTGAATATATTACCTGATACAAGTTGATTGTTTTATGTCTTACACAAGTCTGATATATGTTCTGGGCTGTCATGGGCAGAGGGCTATATTTTGAGTTGGTACGCCCACTTGGGAATGTCTGATCTTGGGTGGTCCAGGAAATTTTTTCCCAAAGACATTATTTGATGCAATCTGTGTGTTTTTATCAACTTTAAATAGTTCTATTCTGATAAAACTTAATGGTCAAATATACAAATACAGAATCACATTTTTTTTTTCAAATTCATCTGGTACGTACGGGCGTAGTGTGCATAACAGCCGCTATTGCGCCTACATTGTTGACCAGTAATTTAATTAAACATGTATAAATTAAACTGTTTGCCTGTACCAGTCACACTATTTTTCAGCAACAAAAATTACAAATAGAAAGATTACGTGGAGAGTTTGAAGAAACATTAAAAAGATATTCCTCTTTACAAAAGGTATGTTTTTGTATATGTATTATGTACTCGTATGTAAGTGTTCAAAAGTTTGGAGCATTAATTAATATAAGGGGATTGTAAGCAATGAACAGAAACAAATCATGTTTTTTCTTCTGTAAACAAGATTTTTATCTACACTCTTTGAATAAGAGATAACCTTTGATTTAGCTTAACCAATCAGAAACTGAGCCTGAAGTTACTTTAATGGAACCTTAAAATGTTTTTCAGCGGGTTACTGAAAAAGTGCGGTCGACGGTATCTTTATCTAAACCTACCACCACTCCTATGGGAGACTTAGTTAGCTGGGTAAGTACTTTTAGCAAGGATCTGATGTACAACATCTTCATCCATCATTAGGAACCATCATTAGGAATACGTTTTCTCCACTGTGTCAACGTATCATTATACCATCACTCCAGTAAATGTCTATGTCTCTTTAAATGGGCACTCTTGCTTTATGACTTATAACCTAAATAAAAAAGATGATCTAAAGATATCCTTAAAATTACTTAAAATCGTAACTTTTTTTGCTTCTGTTTGCACATGAGTAATATGTAGTTTAACCAATATGCAAAAGGTCATTTGACCAGACAACTCATTCTTCTCTGTCTACCTTGAGTCAGATCACCCATTCTACTCTGCCTGCCTTAAGTCAGATTACACATTTTACTCTGTCTACCTTAAGTCAGATAACACATTTTACTCTGCCTACCTTAAGTCAGATTACACATTTTACTCTGTCTACCTTAAGTCAGATTACCCATTTTACTCTGCCTACCTTAAGTCAGATTACACATTTTACTCTGTCTACCTTAAGTCAGATTACACATTTTACTCTGTCTACCTTGAGTCAGATTACACATTTTACTCTGTCTACCTTAAGTCAGATTACACATTTTACTCTGCCTACCTTAAGTCAGATTACACATTTTACTCTGTCTACCTTAAGTCAGATTACACATTTTACTCTGTCTACCTTGAGTCAGATCACCCATTCTACTCTGCCTACCTTAAGTCAGATTACACATTTTACTCTGTCTACCTTAAGTCAGATTACATATTTTACTCTGTCTACCTTGAGTCAGATTACCCATTCTAATCTGCCCACCTAAGTCAGATTACACATTTTACTCTGCCTACCTTAAGTCAGATTACCCATTCTACTCTGCCCACCTAAGTCAGATCACCCATTCTACTCTGCCTACCTTAAGTCAGATCACCCATTCTACTCTGCCTACCTTAAGTCAGATTACCCATTCTACTCTGCCTACCTTAAGTCAGATTACCCATTCTACTCTGCCCACCTTAAGTCAGATTACCCATTCTAATCTGTCTACCTTAAGTCAGATTACCCATTTTACTCTGCCTACCTTAAGTCAGATTACACATTTTACTTTGTCTACCTTAAGTCAGATTACACATTTTACTCTGTCTACCTTGAGTCAGATTACACATTTTACTCTGTCTACCTTAAGTCAGATTACACATTTTACTCTGCCTACCTTAAGTCAGATTACACATTTTACTCTGTCTACCTTAAGTCAGATTACACATTTTACTCTGTCTACCTTGAGTCAGATCACCCATTCTACTCTGCCTACCTTAAGTCAGATTACACATTTTACTCTGTCTACCTTAAGTCAGATTACATATTTTACTCTGTCTACCTTGAGTCAGATTACCCATTCTACTCTGCCCACCTAAGTCAGATTACACATTTTACTCTGCCTACCTTAAGTCAGATTACCCATTCTACTCTGCCTACCTTAAGTCAGATTACCCATTCTACTCTGCCCACCTAAGTCAGATCACCCATTCTACTCTGCCTACCTTAAGTCAGATTACCCATTCTACTCTGCCTACCTTAAGTCAGATTACCCATTCTACTCTGCCCACCTTAAGTCAGATTACACATTTTACTCTGTCTACCTTGAGTCAGATCACCCATTCTACTCTGCCCACCTTAAGTCAGATTAAACATTTTACTCTGCCTACCTTTAGTCAGATTACACATTTTACTCTGTCTACCTTGAGTCAGATCACCCATTCTACTGTGCCCACCTAAGTCAGATTACCCATTCTACTCTGCCTACCTTTAGTCAGATTACACATTTTACTCTGTCTACCTTGAGTCAAATCACCCATTCTACTCTGCCCACCTAAGTCAGATTACCCATTCTACTCTGCCTACCTTTAGTCAGATTACACATTTTACTCTGTCTACCTTAAGTCAGATTACACATTCTACTCTGCCCACCTTAAGTCAGATTACCCATTCTACTCTGCCTACCTTAAATCAGATTACCCATTCTACTCTGCCTACCTTAAGTCAGATAACACATTTTACTCTGTCTACCTTGAGTCAGATTACCCATTCTACTCTGCCCACCTTAAGTCAGATTACCCATTCTACTCTGCCTACCTTAAGTCAGATTACCCATTCTACTCTGCCTACCTTAAGTCAGATTACCCATTCTACTCTGCCTACCTTTAGTCAGATTACCCATTCTACTCTGCCTTCCTTAAGTCAGATTACACATTTTACTCTGTCTACCTTGAGTCAGATTACCCATTCTACTCTGCCCACCTTAAGTCAGATTACCCATTCTACTCTGTCTACCTTGAGTCAGATTACCCATTCTACTCTGCCCACCTTAAGTCAGATTACCCATTCTACTCTGCCCACCTTAAGTCAGATTACACATTCTACTCTGCCTACCTAAGTCAGATTACCCATTCTACTCTACCTACCTTAAGTCAGATTACCGATTTAACTGAATATATTTACTGTATTTTAGGAGGAAAATGAGGATGATAAACGGAGACTTGTTGAAGAAGATAATAGAAGAGCTCAACTCATGCAGCAACAAGAAGACATTGAAAATGATGTTGCACTCATACAAGAGAGAGAAGATAGAATTAGGCAACTAGAGGTAAAGATACGGTTTTCATTTTGTATATTGTCACTAGATGTTTTTTTGTCATTGTAAGAATGAAGATCAGAACATAACATTTAAAGGCAAATATCGGACAGTGCACCATTCAAAGGTCTTTTTGGGTACGATTATGCAAGTTGTCTTCCAGTAGTACCTCCTGAAACATGAGTCTTGAATTACCCTCCTTTGAAAGTTTTTAAGCTGTTTTTTTTATAAAGGAACTTGCAAATTCATAAAAATCATTGACTGATCTGATGCCAAAACATTTGTTTGATGATTCTCTAACAATATTTGAATATGGCATATGACCAAGATAGTAGTACATGTAGTTCCTTATATATCCCATGTTCAAGTTTGACTCAGGATTAAATCTGTGTGTAGCCCTGATTTCTTCAACTGGTGTTGTTCTTTCAGGGTGATATTTTAGATATCAATGAAATATTCCGTGACTTAGGTGCACTAGTTTATGAACAAGGAGAAGCGATAGGTAAGTTTGAATACCAGTCATTCTAAAATACTTTATTCTTGCAGAAATGATGTCATACATCAGTCCAATGCCCATCTTCTGGAAATCTTCAGTTCATACTTATAATTCAAAAAAATTATAGATTTCAAAATAAATTGTATGTTTTATTTATGTATTTTTATGTTTGTGGGCTATTTTGATAATAGTCATAGATTTCTTTTATGATAGTGAAGCATACATTGATTAGTTAATTGTAAATATTCTACTCTATTCTATTCTATTCTACTATGTGTGGCAGATTCTTCATTTATCAAATTTAATGTACAATAAAACATGTTAATTCGAACACTTCACTAATCGGAATACCTTTCAAATTGAGCACCTTTTTGGCAAATTTTTATGTCATCTCCAGAAGCGTTGACATATTGTCTCCACATTTTTGTGTTCGGCAGTTGGCATTCAGCGGTTGGTGGTCGGTTTTTGCATCAATTATAACAAGTGGTAGATGGTGACATTTTGCATGTTAAATTTGCCAAAGACTCCCATGCATGTTAGAAAACATCAAAATGTGAACTCCTTCCAATCTAAACACTTTATTGGTCCCTGGCAGCTGCATTTTGCTAAGACAGTTTATAGTTTTTATTATATATTCTTCTGCTACATTTCAGATACTATAGAGGCGAATGTAGAAAAAGCATATGACAATGTCGAGTCAGGGAATGAACAACTGGTCCAAGCTTCCATATATCAGGTAGGTGAAATTCACATATGAAGTGAATATGTCAGTGTGAATGACTATTATATTTAAGGTATGGTTTCCAAATGTCGTCGGTAGACTAGTGGAATAATGAGGTTATTTTGACAGATGGAGGGTGGTAAATGTAAGTGATGATTTCATTAGGAAAGAATTAAATGTTGATTTTTTGAAAAACTCAAATGAAATTCATATCTTGTTGAAGGATTATGGGGAGGGGGATAAACCATACTAAAATCAATTTAGATTTTCCACAGTTGTCTACATTTAAACATCATCTCTGAGTCTCTTATTTTCTGATTTTGAAGTACAGTGAAACTTGTATATCACACTTTGCAATTTGAAGATCAATATTTGTTCTTAAAGAACACTAAAGTACATGTAAGTGTGTATTGTAATTTGAACAACCTCCATTCTGAAATCTCTCCATTGTTTTTATTTTCAGAAAAAATCTCGGAAGAAAATGTGCTGTTTAGCTGCAATATTGTTCGTAGTTGCTGGGGTCGTCACTCTAATCATAGTTCTATCTGTTAAACACTAGGGGGAGCTGCAATCCATATACGAGCCATACATCAAGATAGGAATGCATAAGGAGCTTTTAATAGTTAACATGGTTTAGTGCACACACATTTACTTGAATGACAAAGAAGCATTTAATAGTTATGTGAACACAGTACATATGTAGTGGACAAACATTTCCTTAAATGTTCAGTTAATATAGCGGAATCATTCTGTGGCTTGAAATTAACAGTTACTGACCAGTTGCCAGTGTCAATCATTTTAACTAGATGGATTTAAACTTGAAAGAATGGTTGTTTATTGGGCAGTGGACTGAATGCCAATATCATAAATATAACCACACATGATTTCAACCTACTGGTGGACCCAGGGCAAGGGATATCCTAAATTGAACTAAATCAACAAAGAATGGAACAGATCCTAACAATATTGAACATTTAAGTTATAGAAATAATGGAATTCTGAGTATATAGCCATGTTAGTATTATCCATGCAGCGTTTCTTTATCTTTTAATATGTACCAATCATATAATACTGCTACATTCCGATATCTGCAGTGCAACATCCCATGAAAACAAACGAGGATTTTATCCAATGATTCCCCGCAATATTTGTCTGGGGGTGGGAGGTCTTGACTTGTTTATACAATTTTTTAAAGTTTTTCAGAAATCTAAAAGCAGGTATTCTCAATCTAGACTATAGGTCTATTTGTAAGGTATATATTAAGTAGTCTATTTGTAAGTAAGGGCATAAATGAGGACAGAAAGGTGATTCAAATCTGTTCCCTTTAAAATGTAGTCCTTAGAAATAAAAAGTGCAATATCATGTAATAAATGTGTATATATGTTGCAGGTAAGAGCATGTATAAAATGTACTGATTTACTCTGTCAATAAATAAATTAAGTATTTTTATTCACCTGTTTGGTAATTAAGTCACTTGTTAGGAATTAACGTTTCTCCAAAACCGCTAGAGGTATCAACTTCAAATGTTCAAGGATAATTTTTGGGTACATACAGATGTTCCAGATAAAATACCTATTTCCTGTCAGCCATTTTGAAGTCAAATGCTAAAACCTGTGTCCGCAAACTTATAAAAAAATGGCATCACATTTACTTTTAACATCTTCTCACTTCATTCTAACCATTTGAGAGATCAATTTTAAATTTTCAGGGATGATTCTTTGTATGAAAACCTTGAACTAATTAGTATTTGACATTCTGGACAAATGTTGAGATGGCCATTTTCGAATTTTCATCCTAAAATTTCGTCTCAACTGATTAGTGTTGGGCATTCAGGATGAAAAGTCTATTTAGGGTCACCGATTGGTGGGGACATGTTGTTCAAATTTGGGTCCTATCTATGAATTCTGGGAAATTTCCTCATCGTGATAATATTCCAAGCCCTGATAATATCCTGAGCTGCTCAAGCTTACAGTATAACGAGGCCATAGGGCTCGATACTCCTCATTGTATTTGATTTTTTTCTAATTTTGTAGACTGAATCACTGTACATATCAACATGGTTGTAAATATTAAGTCAATTCAAAGAATAAAAACAGGTCAACAAAATTCAATTTCTTGTTTTGTGCTTATTTTATTAAAAGCTATAAAAATATTTTATGCATGAAACAATATTAATGTAACTGATATGACACGATGCAAATATATTTTATATGCTGATTAAATGCCATATTTTTCATCACAATTTCAGTTCAAATATCACAATTTGTAAAAGTTTATCACAATTTTGAAACTCATCACAATTGATATATAAAATTTCAATATAAAATTGGCAAAAAGGTAACTTGTGAATATTATTACACAATCATATGGCAAATCCAGGTGTCCACATAAAAATGCAAATTACGCATGAAGTTGGATTATACAAACTGTCAGGATACTCTTGTATAAACATACAAACTATACTTCTATTTACTGTATATTCATAAAATATATATCCTAATTCCCCTACTCTATCTTGTATATAGACACTGATAAAGTCTTGCTTGACAAACTCTTACATAAGCAGTGAATGACACTAATAACTATTGTGAAAAACAATCACTTCTTCAACCCAGTATCTATGTCTTTCAGAGTTCTCATTATTTGATGCTTGTCTGTTATTGCTGGCGGGTGTTGCTTTGGTAAACTTTTCCTTCTTCGTATATCCTCAATCACCTCATCATATTTAGGGTTATTAGCGTCATAATGCAAGCTCCATAATAAAGAGCGAGTTTTCACTGGAGTCCTACGCCCAAATATGTCCAGCCTTGTGTTTGAGTAGTCTTTTGGTGGAGGTATTGTGATGTCTGGTGGTGGCGTGAATGATGTGTCATATTTTTTGTAGTTGGTTGGGGGAAGAATGTTACCTGAAAATAGAGATATAGATAATTTAATCAATTGTTGCCTTGTTTAAGGCTAATTTAATTAAAATCTATGAAGCTGGAATTCAATTTTTGAATGGCTGTGAATTTATCCCTAAGATTTAGAGTCATTCAGGAATATCTGACCATAAATAGATTATTGCATTCTGGAGTCCAAAGTCTAAAATACGCTTATGAAAGTTGTTTGCATGTGGGACAAGATAAATCATAATTGGATTTACATTTCTCTCTTAACATCATTTTGGATGTTGAATTTACCTGTTTGATCCATTGGTGGATTCCTTGATTCACTCCGGAGTCTAAGTCTTTTGAATTCAGTTACATCACAATTGGTTCTTTTGATTGCAAGCTTTCGAGAGCGTTCATCTGCGATAAGAGATGGCGTCTCAGTGAGAAACTTTCCAAAAGTATATTTGCCAACTTTTGAAGGTGCTGGAATGTTTATGGGGTACATTGAGCCAATCATTTCAGAAATGTTCTGACCATCCGTGTTTGTTTTAAAGCCATAATGTTTTCTGAAGTTTCTCCAAACGTTACTGTTATATTGTGGGTCAGGTCTGTTTGGAAACGGAGGTTTATGTTTTCCAGCTTCTAACCAAAGTCTATATTCCAAAGCAGAGTTTCCATGTGTCGTTTCTTCCCTATCATTTCTGAGTAAATGGCTGCATTCAATATTCACCATCGTTTTGGGAAGATGTTTTTTGACAAGTTTTTGTGCTGGCCTAGTGTGAAAGCCAGACAAGTTTGGGTCATCCTCCTTCATCAGAGTCTCCCTCTCCTTGATTGTGGGCATGATTACTTCTGTTGTCATACTTCAAATACTGAAATTAGGGGTATAAAAGATAGATATGAGTTGTAATATAGTTTTACAAATTTTAAAAATCAATAGAACACAATATTTATTTATAATTAGGTTTCAAAAATTACAAACAGAAAAGGTGATTCTGACTGGACCTTTTTACTTTTCTAAAGTTTTTAATTTTATTCCATTTTTATAAACTCACTCTACTTTTAATGTCAAGACTAAATGTGGTAGGCCGTTGTGATGAAAGCCACATACATTAAAACACTTACCCTTTTAACTCGTTATTTGTTAGAGTATTAATCCATGTCTCAAATATGGTGCCAATTATCAACTAGTTGTCAAAATCTTATCAGGTAGCCATTTTGAAGCACTTGCTCGTTGCTAAGCATTTATGAGATTCTCGCGAGTTTTGGCTGTTTCATATTGCAAACTCATCGGTCAATTAAACAATATTGAAGTTTAATATAATTTCTAATTTTGACTATTGATGAATTATTTTATTTTTTATCAGATCAAAACGGTATAAAATAGTTTGATATGTAATAATAATTGGTCAAAAATATCAGTAACTGCATTGAAAATCTCATAATAGTTTATATTTTATGGGTAAGTTTGTACATTGGAACAGCCAATTAGGTTGCTAGTCATCACAAAAATGTTTTGAAGAGCAAACCTTGTAAATTGGCTTATGTTCAAATATAACAATTCTATTGATTGACAACTCTATTCGGCAGTGTGAGCTACTGTCTCGAAGACATATCAGCATAGTAGAGCGAAATGAAACAGGTTTTAATCATTTAATACAGGTAAGGGTGATAATAATTGAAATGTCATGAAAAATACTTTCTGCATCCTAAACCTTTTTAGCTAGATATTGGGCTTAGGTGTACTAAACACTGAGACATCAATTATTGATACAGAAATTATATTTGTTAATACTTGAATGTCTGCTTGCTATGGCCATGTTCCTTAGAAGGTGACAGTCCAACGTTGTTAGCCATGTGCACTAATGGCATTTGCATGGGGACTTTATTTTATTTAAATAATTTTACGATTTCAGACAGCCAACATCATGAGTGACGAAGAAATGACACCACGCTCCAAAGAGATGGGACTTTTAAAATCTATCCTTGATAGTAAATCTCAAAGTACAATATCTCAATCATCACTATCCAGTTCCGATTCTGTGACCCAAATATCAAGCAGTGTCTCAACGACTGATGAAAACTCCAAATCATCAAACAGGAGTAATAGTCCTCTTACATCTTCCAATTCATCAATGGAGTCAAAAGATAAAAAATCAAGTGACATAAGTTCAGATTTTGATTCAGACTCTAGCCATGACTCTAAATCTTACAGTAGTGACTCTTCTGATACTGTCGTTTTAGAAGATAGTGCCAAATCAAAAAGATCAAATAGAAGAAAACATTCTCGCAGTGAGACAGACTCTAAAAGTTCAAGTGATTTAGAGGTTGAATCTAACAATAATTCTAAAACTGTTGATGATAATGATCGCTACCTCACACAAAGAAATCGTAAATTTTACAGCATTGAGGAAACTGAAGCAAGGTCATATGAAGACCGTAAACAATACGACAACCAAAGGGATAGACCTAAATCAGCCACAGTCCTTCATATTGAAAATCACGAGGAACATTATGATAAATTTAAAAATAATCGTGAAAGGAGGTCTCAACGTCCCATGAGTGCAAGCTCCCGACTATCATCAACTGAAACATTCGACTCACCTCAGAGAAGACCTAGGCGTAAATTACGTTCATATAAACCACATAAGGAAGCCATAATATATAATGCCTGGGAAGAGTCCGTTAATGATAAACTGTGCCAAAAATATGGAGAATTAAAAGATCTCTTGTTGCATAGTCTAGACATTATGCAGTCAATTCCTAATAAAAATGAGCTTTTATATGATCAAAAATATAAAGCTGCGAAAAAAATCATAAAGAAAACTTTATATGTGCCAAACACAGTAAGCATGAGCCCAAGAGATGTTCCAAGTTATTTCCGCAAAAGTGCTAAAGGCCGCTCAAATGATTCCACGCGGAATTCCAATTCAATATATAGAAATGACTCGGAAAGTCCACGTAGTGATGCAAGCTACAGCAGTAACTATGACAACGATAGTGTTGTCTCCAGCAATTCCTATTATTCAAGAGGTATGTATAAATTGAAATGAGTTGTCATAGAGATTCATATCCATCATTTTAATGATGTTGTACTATCCATTATACAAACAATATTTGTATAGATTAAGAACAATTGAATAATTAATATTGATGTTGTGTTTTTATCACTGAGATTAATTTCTAAATCAATCAAAATAGGCAGATACTATCATCATTTCAACTTCATACTATTGAAATGTAAATTGATTTCACAGAAACATTTGCATGTTATTTTTCTCCAATATATATTATTTATTATTTTATTTCCAGTATCTGCCTCCACGGATACGTCTACCCTTAGAGGATCCAAGCGCGTCACATTTGCTGATGATGGTGGAAGTCTTTGCAGTTTTGACCAATCAGTGACTAGTGACAGTGAAAACCAAATCCGTGGTATTCTAAAACATAAAAATAAATCTAATCGAAGACAAGTACCTCATCGTGAAATGGGATATTTCACACCTCCTATGCAGGAGAGTTCACATAGGAGCCGTCGCAAACAATTAAGCATGGACGATTATTCCATGATAAGATCAGTGAGTGAGGAACACTTGAATCGTCCACGTGATAGGCAAATATCTCGTAGCGAATCCATTGGTAACTTGGACAATAGAGATAACTCTCCATCTATGGGGCCTTCTAATTTTGGGAGCTTGAACAGGAGAAGGAGTTCTAGTCCTAAGAGGAATAAAAGTCCTTCCAGGAGCGTTAGTCTGACCAGCTTGAATGGTAGTTTTGATGGCTCCGATCACCAACTCAAAAACACTGATAACCCTGCAGTCAAGAAATGGTTACGCGAGAAAAACAAGGAGCATAGAATGCAATTAAAACAGGAACGACTTCAGAAGATGAATGAACAAAAACGGGAAGAGGACCAGAGAAAAGTTAAAGATATTAAAACTTTAGAATCTCAAATTCAGTTTCATAAATGGATCACTAATAAACAAAAGGAACTGAGAATTCAGAAACGACACGAAAGAATAAAACCAAAACCAGTTGAGATTGTTACACCACGTAAAAATACTTCCCCCTCTGGACTACGCCCTGCTTCTTCATATAGTGGTTTCGCCCCCAAGGCTCCAAGGGCAAAAAAATCTGGTTTACCTAAGAGATCTTCAAGTATGAAAAAGAAACAACAAGAGGAAAAAGAAAAAGTTAAAGCTGCTGAAGAAACTTTGAAAAAGAAAATTTCTTATGAAATCTGGTTGAAACAAAAGCAAGAAGATGATGCAGAACGACGTAGATCGGCCCAAAAAATATTTGAAAAACTTTCAAAATCTGCAGATGATGATACGAAACGTGTTATTGCAGATGCAGCAAAGCGGAGATTTGAGAGGGTTGTCGATGGAAAGAAAACATTGGACTCTGGATTAAAAATGCCTGCTGATGATACAAGGCCCACATCTGCTCCACCATCCCAAAACACACGGGAGGGTAAATACAAATGGGTAAATGAATCCTCAAAGAACCCAGAAAGGCCACGATCTGCCAGACCACAATCACCAAACAAAGCAGACAGAGTTTCCACATCAAGTCAAAATCCATTCAAAAATCCTACACCACCAACAGAAAGCAAAAAATCAAATAGCCGCAGAAATAAAAACTCTGGAATGTATTATAAACCAAGAGACTTTAATAATTTTTTATTTGAAGAGGCATCGGGGGAACGTCCTGAACCCCAGGGGTGCGATGCCCCCAACAATTTGCCTGCCCATGATACAGAGAGTGAGACAAGCAGTACTGTGGGTGAACCCAAAGCATCAGAGAAATCAAAACGCAAGAAATCAAAATCTGATTCAGGGATTGTTGATGACATTGATACAGACGCAAAACCTTTAGCTATAAAACCTAAGAAAGACACCACTTTCTTAACAAGTATTGAAGCCTGATATCTTTGATAAATATCTGTTGAAACCTTGTGTGTTCCGTAATTAATTGTTTATTTTATACTTGAGGAGGAAAATTTCATCAAAACCAACTAATGGAATTGTGTGTGAATTGTGAATTCATTTTATGAGAATGAGAGAGTGAGATTATATTTTCGTGTCTTGCAAAAGTGCTATTAAGTTTTATGGAAGTACGCATTATAAAAAGAGATTTATTTTATACTTTTTCAATTGATCTCAAACTGAATGTAAAATCTAAGTCATTATGTGCAGTGTTATTATTTGTTGCCATGGCAACATAAAATAAATAATAAAATTGACATTTTAGCGTTGTGTGCTTAATTAAAGTAAATCAAATATAAATCCTGTATGATGAATGCTAAATAATCATAATCCCCATTGATATTTTCCCCTACAGGCAATAGAAAAATATCCTTCAGAAAAACATTGCCTCTAATCCGTTAGACCTTCTGAAAACATTATTAAATTCTATAGGAGATTTATATGGCTTGTGAACCCGATATAAAAGATTTACAAATTGATATAAGACATGAATAATGGATCATGAACTATTCATCGGCAAGTTTTTGAACTTGTTGCTATGTTATAATGTTCGTACAAATATTGAGAATGTTTTATCAAAAATCAAAATAATATTCAATCTAATGCCACCCCATAACACAAACTAAACAAACATACATATCAATTGAATTAGTTTTTTACAGTTCCAAGTTGTGTATGTTGTTCAATGACTCTTCTTTGTATAACAATCACAAGTGTTATTTGAGAGTATAATGTTACATTGCTTTATAATACTTGTTAGTGCACTTTTCTATCAAAAACTTCTAAAAAGTGAACCCAATGTACTGTTTAAGAACCCATATTCTTACTTTTGAAAATGGATTCTACCAATACACTCCCACATGAATCTACTTGTTGAACTCGATCAACTTGAGTTCTTTTGAGAAAATGAGGATTTCAACAAAGGTGCAATTGACTAGCATGGGGATACAATTGACTCTATCTTGCATACAATTGCATCAATGGCACGCATACTGAATTCCTTATTTTCTCAGAAGAATTCAAGTTGATTGAATCTCAACACGTACATTCATGTGGGATAATATTGCTTGAATCCATTTTCAATACATGGAGTAAGAATAGGGGTTCTTAAACAGGACATTAAAGCTTAACTTAGGCCTTTTTGAAAATTTTAGTTCGTAGTATTATTAAACTGTACATCTGTACAGCTCACTATTTTGAACACCACTCAATCTGTAAACAGTTTCTTCAGTCCCCTGTTTTTAATCTACCTAAATTACCATGTGCAAAAGCCTGGAAATGTAAACACCTTCCAATCTGAACAATCTAGTCCCAGTGCTGTGAGGAATGAGGATTAGACAGGTTTTGCTGTATAGCAATTAAGCATTTCATTCTTCAGTCAAGATTGATAAAATGTTTGATCAGAATTGGTGACCATATTTAGTGAAAATTGGCACATTTTTGCAAAATATTTGGCAAAATTTGGAGTACTTAGAAAAATTGGACTCATATTGAAGAAAGTTGTGTCTAAATCCCATCGATTAAAAATCAATGGTTGTCAGGTTACCTTACCATAATCGAGCTTGAAACCTTAGACTATTGGCAACAATCTGAGCTATGGTATTCAATTTCTATTTACAGCGTACACATGGGAGACCTTGGTCATTCAACATAGAGATCCATAATGTTTGAATAGAAGTGTTCAATTTCACTAATTAAACCCATAGCAACCACCATTAACAACTAGTCCCAAATGACAATAAACTCCATCAAAAATCAATAAATATCAAATGAATAAAGATCGAATAATAAATAATTTATTGTTTATTTTTAAGTAAGGTCTAAAAGGCAGTTGGTAAACATTCTAAATATAATTTCCTTTTTGTTGTTCACTTTACTGTTGTATTATTCAGAGCTATACGTAAGGCCCTTGGAAATTAATTGTTTGTTTAGTGGGGTCTGTCTGGGACCCTTCATGCCCAATGCAAGGCAGGGAAGATGGAGGTCAATCAAATCTAAAAAATAAGCAAAGAACCAAAGTGCAATGCAAAATAGTAATGTTAGATGCTAAAATGTCTGTACACTTTGGATTGCATGTAATTTGTCAAAGAAGTGTGCAGTGTCTTGTATTTTAATGCTTCTGACATATTTTTGAAAAAATCATCATGGCTGAAATTCGGTAATTTTCAAGAGGCCACATGTTTACTGCACATACAACTAAGTAATTAAATCTGAAATAAACAAATGTTTTATATCTAAAATATTACTGTGTTTTTCAATATAATATTGCACATATTGGTTCTTTTATTGCTTAACTTTACGGTTTGATAGAATTATATTTTCAATGCCTTGCATTATAAGCTATTTTCTCTAAAAGTCCTGCTAAGCAGATAAAACTACAAAGCAGTGAATTGCGTTGTATGGTTAGAATAACTTGAATATCTATTTCTTTCAATTATTTCTCTGAATATTTTTTTTAAAGTAAACAAGAAGTTAATCCTATTTTGGCTTTAAACTACAACCAATAGATGGCATGATTTACTGGATTGGTCGATAATACAGCAGAGATACTTTTATTTTGGTGGAGCTATATATTGAGTGAAGCATTTGTGTGTGAGAAGGATTATCAAATTATGGGTAATTTAAAAGTGGTGGACTGGCTTGAGGGTAAAATTTCCAATTGAAAATTTGCAAAGACTCAAATCAAAGTATCGACTTTGAATTAATTCAGTTCAAGTTTTAGGCATTTCCAATCATGGTTAGTCTTGCTCAAAGACTGTATCCACTCCCCCCGTCACCTTCACTCTCTTTACCTGGCAATATAGAGAGGGATTAGGGGGGGGGGTTAGTACAGGGTCTTTAAAGCAAGACTAATCATGGTTACAATTTTCCCTCTTATGGCTTCCATTTTCATATCAATTTATGATATTGCAGATATACCTGCACATAATTGATCAACTAAGGATCAATTTGTTTATTACAGAGCTCAATGAAAGCTGCCAATTTAACTTTTGTTACACATGTCAACTAAAGGACAGTATTGTATTTAATTATTAAGTTGTGGTTGTTATGGTGACCTGATTGTCATACTGTATTTGTATCTCTCAAACAACTTCCTTTTTGATCATTGTTGGAAAATATTCAGAGTGAAATACATGGGCTATAGAAATTAATACCACTGCTGCCATCTTTATATCTGCCTAAAACCAATAGTAAAATACAAAACAGATTAATATTATGATTTGCCATGAATGTTTATTCTCACATAATGGCCATACAATAGTTTTGCCAATACCACCAAATAGTTATACGTCTTAATTCGACTTGGCTACAATAGGCTTTGTAATGTTATCAGCCTTAAATAACTTGGTTAAAATCATAACATATCCATGTTCCTGGCCACATTAACCAGCATGCATATTTCAATATGGATATAATAATCAACGAGCATATTAAATGATAAAACAGTAACAATTAGTATATTCCCTTACAGATGTAAGATACCAAAATAATAAGGTCAAAGGTCGAGGACCCAATTTAACCGAAATGTCAGTGAGTCTAGAATTTAACTTGAAGGTCAAATTGAACTTGAAGGTCAAAGGGTCAAGATGAGGCTCAAATGATGAAACACCCATATGCACTCAAAGGGCAACATTTGGGACAAAGCTAACACCTGGAGCTTAAAACTAACAACAAAGCAAATCTCCAATTCAATACAATCTCAATCATATGAACATTTCTCCAACTGTTTTCCACGTTCCAATTCCCATTCCCCTTCTACTAAAATATTTGTCAAGGCTTACAACCATTATTTGCAAAAAAATATTTGCACTCAAATTCCAGTATTTGGATTTTTTTTTAGCGACAACTGAGTCGAATTTTAAATTCGTCATCATACAGTCATATATTCCATAAATTCTCATTACTGATATTGGATTTTCATAATAACATAGTATTTATTTTTGGCTTACATTTCATATTCATTCAATCTGTTCTACTTAAGAGTTATCATTAAAAATGTTTTGCAAAATTTACCAGTTTCCAGCTTTAAGCTCATTTTGATTCTGCAAGAATACTCCATGCTACTTCTGAAATACTTTTCATCAACAGCTACAGGCTCTCTGACTGTCCTGGAATCTTTCAAACTGGTTACAAAAGTAGATCTGTTTCGGAACAAAATAGCGCAGCAACGGAGGTGTGATTTTCATTTTTCAAGGATCTCATGACTTGTAGTTAGAATCTTCAAGACCTTTTTGTCACAATTGAGTGTCAGTATTACATGTTTAAGAAAATCTATGCGTTTGCGAACAAATAAGTTCATGGGATGCAAGAATGATCAAGACAATTCCTCACTGGGATAAAGTGCAGACGTTAACTGTTTAATTTTAATTTCTGATGAACTATTTGTTCGCAAATGCTTAGCTTTCCTTAAACATATGACGCTGAAACAAGTTTGTGCCAGATATGCAGAAAGGTTCTGGCTACACCTTGTGAAATCATGGAAAAAGAAAAATCATACCTCCAAGGCTGCTCCATTATGTTACCGCAACAGATCTGTTTTCGTAAGAAATTTAAAAGTTCCCTCACAGTGTCTCTGGACACTTGCATGTCTGTTGTTAGACACTGGTGACTTTAACATCAATGTGTCTATCAAAGTTGTTGTACATTTCTAGATTACACTACTAGGTATAAAGGATGCTTTTTAACACACCTAGGTGCTAATGATGATGTACTTTATTTTATTTTTGTACTTTCATGGCAATACTATGTCGCTGTTCTCAGATATTGAGGCATTCTAACATCGCTGTACTTCAATAATGCTGTAAGTTACATTGTTGCACTCAAATGTTGATGAATTTACTGTATTTCAACACTGTTGTGCTATATTTCAATAATTTCAATTGCCTTAGAAATGTACTTTGACATTGCTGTACTTCTATATGCCTTAAAAATGTATTTCAACGTTGCCGTACTTCTATATTGCCTTAGAAATGGACTTCGACATTGCTGTAGAGAACATCAATATTGCTGCATTTAAGTACTCTTGTATTTCAAAATTAAACTGATAAACTTGGCTGGACATTCATTCTGTAATGCTATCATTAGAGGAGTTAAGAGTCTATTGTAGTCCCTCGGTTATTGGGCGTTGCTCTGTATGACCCTGGGGTCGGATTGGGGCCTGAAATCCTGGGGGTGGGTTCTGAAGTGGGCTCCAACTTTGGGGGGCTGGAAATATAGTGAAATGTTCAACTGTAGCAGTTTGAAATTCAAAAGTTAGCACATTTAATAGTAGTAATTGTTTTCAATTCTTGATATAAGAGTTGACTAGTAGCCTAGATTATTAACAAGTACTGTACATGTTTTATAACTTTTTGAACAAAGAGGTCATTTTAATCCTTTATAGGCACTATCAAATTATATAGAAAGTATTTTACTAAAAGTACTGGTTTCCAAGCATTTAACTGAAAATAAAACGTGATTTAATCCACCGATTTCTAGATGAACTTTTTATACTACAAAAGTGTAGTCTTCAAATCGCATACCCATACCTGTAAACTGCTGAAACTGTTGTACAAATGGCAATCTGCTGTGATTGGTTGGCGCTGAGTCAAGTTCTGTGAGCTGCTGTAAGGACCTCATCCAGTGGGGATCGCTGTCTGAGGGGTGATTAGAGTCGGGCGTCATTGCTGATGTCACAATTGCAGGATCGTTTAATCCTACAGATATATTATTTGTATTTGACCAGTCTACAAAAAGATGCAGTGTGTAAGGAATTCTGATAATCAAGCAGCACGAAACAACATCTAAACAAGGTATTAACATGCAAAATGTCACCACCTGCTATTTGTTACAGATGCTGAACACCCAATACTGACCGCCAAACACCAACCATCAACTGTCGAACTCTGAGACTATAACAATATGTCACCAATTTTGGTAGTGACATAAATACAAGAGATAAATAAACAAAATATATCAAATAGATGGTGCAGGTAACCTAAAGCACAGACAGACAACAAATAAGTACACACAAGGTGTACATGTCTCAAAGACACACATCATATAACATGGACAACCAGCACAGACAGACAACAAATAAGTACACACAAAGTGTACATGTCTCAAAGACACACATCATATAACATGGACAACCAGCTACCCTGCGTGCAGAGTCTAGTTTAACTACACTCTGCCTAGTAGATACCATATTACAGTTTAGTAGCCCCGCCCCCACGACGAGTATCGGTGACAGTTTGGGTAAATCACTTTTGACCAACGCGTCGACCTTCCACCAATCAGCGAGCTTGAAGAAACATACGCCAAATGCGTTCTAATTAAATATGCGCTTGTCATTGGTCAATTCCGGGCTCAAAGATGACGTCAGAAGGAATGACCATATAAAGAACGCCGGTCAAATTTGGCCGACAAACACTGATTGGCGCGGTGAGTTCACAAGTTTATTTTAGTTTGAAAGAGTGAAGACGAAGCTCTCTTTTAAGAAGTGAAGTCAAACGTATGCAAAGGGTAACAACCAGCACAGACAGACAACAAATAAGTACACACAAAGTGTACATGTCTCAAAGACACACATCATATAACATGGACAACCGGCACAAACAGACAACAAATAAGTACACACAAAGTGTACATGTCTCAAAGACACACATCATATAACATGGACAACCAGCACAGACAGACAACAAATAAGTACACACAAAGTGTACATGTCTCAAAGACACACATCATATAACATGGACAACCAGCACAGACAGACAACAAATAAGTGCACACAAAGTGTACATGTCTCAAAGACACACATCATATAACATGGACAACCAGCACAGACAGACAACCAATAAGTACACACAAAGTGTACATGTCTCAAAGACACACATCATATAACATGGACAACCAGCACAGACAGACAACAAATAAGTGCACACAAAGTGTACATGTCTCAAAGACATACATCATATAACATGGACAACCAGCACAGACAGACAACCAATAAGTACACACAAAGTGTACATGTCTCAAAGACACACATCATATAACATGGACAACCAGCACAGACAGACAACAAATAAGTGCACACAAAGTGTACATGTCTCAAAGACACACATCATATAACATGGAAAACTAATAAGAGGCATTCACATTAAAATGTCACCATCTGGAAATGGTTACAAAAGTGTAACAATAGTTATAGATGTCAACACTGACAGCCAGTCACAAAAGAAATTGCTATAAGGATATTGGTGATAACATTTAGATTTGTGGTAGACAAAAACTTAAGAGAAAACGTGATGCGATCAAAACAACGGCTATTAGGCCATCCAAAGATGAATTTTTTTGTTTTTATTTAATATTATAAAATCACAAAAGAACCTGAATGGTTGACACCTTTAGCTATAATTTGTAGATTCCCAATAAAAAAAAGAAATATTTGTCAGTTCTCAAAGTTAAAGAGAATTTAAGTTTAAGGCAATAGGTTGAATGCATGTAAGTCCCCGAAAAGTAATATGCAATATAATAAATGCATGTATATATGGCTGACTTACTTTTCTGTTGTTGCATGCTATGTATGTGTTGATTATTCTGCTGCTGTTGCTGGTGCTGCTGTTGTTGCACTGGGGGAGTTCCAAAGCTGATGTTGATATTGGGGAGTAAGGCGCGTAGACCTTCTTGCCAGTCTTTCACTTTAAATGGGTCTGTGTTCTATGGAGAAATCAGGTAAAGAAAGTATGCATACATTTTTCTTCGATTTATTTTTCACAAAAACTTAAGAATACATGGACTTGGTTATTTGTACTAACTTGAAGGTTTTTTCAAAATTCTGTAACCATAATTTTCACAATTCTAAAATTCTAAAATTTTGGCCTTCCAGAACTTTTCTGAAGTTTGACACTGCAAAACATTTTCACTATTTATTCCTCCAAATAATTGCTTTCAGGGGCATAACCAGGTGAGTGGCAAGTGGGTGCAAACTTATTATACAAATCACTAGTGAGTGCACTGCCAATTTGCTTCATTGCTATGGAGATCACTGATTGTATGCATATTTCCATTTTAGTCTTTTTTTCAGGACTTTTTTGTCAAGAAATTTCATATGCCTGACAATTGTACCTGATTTAAGTTGACATTCTGTTGTTTATTGTGTAGATGTGTGTGTGACCCCTCAGGGAGCCCATTCCCTGCCATAAGGCCCCCTTCTGGCATCCCCATGAGTCCAAGCATATTGCTGTGTAGAGAGTCTGAAAAACAATAACATATACACATGTGGATTTTATTTATCAAATCTTAGATAATGAGCCATCACTTCAAAATTTTTGATTTAATTTGGTTTTTCACAAATGCATCAACTAAATATTGTACGGAATCAGTATTTTTCATTGAATTCACCAATTCTTAACTTCCATAAAAAAGTATCTTGGATTTCTGTGGATTTCTTCTAAAATGTTGCTTGACAAATTTTTGAAAAGTTATTGAAAAACCCTTTATTTAGTACCATTTTATTGTTATTTCCCCTTGTTATTTGCTCTAAACCCTTTATTCAGTACCATTTCAGTACCAGTCCCCCTTGTTATTTACTCTACACCCTATCATTTCCATACCTGTTCTGTGTGTGGCACTAAGATTTGGTATGTGATTGGGTGTGAAACCAGGGGGTAGACCCGTAGGTTTGTTGTTCACAACATTATGCTGATTGATCACAGTCTCATTTTCCATGATCTCTGACAAAACTTTGCTGGATTCTTCCCATGGGTCAAAACCTACAATAAAACAAGATACATATAAGAATATAGATCTACATTTAAGGAAAAAGTCAATATTTTGTCCTAAGTTGTCCTAAGACTTGAATAATTACATTTCAGATTGAAAAGTACCTGAACATTTACTGATTTCTTTTGAATTTGATGTATGTAAAAACAGACTTTTACCCCCTCTTGGCAAATGTAATTTATAATATAATTGTGGAAGAACATTGAAATATCTACCCCCTTAGTGATAAATGGTCAACGGCTAAATATGGCTACAATATTTTAGAATCTTCCCTCAAAAATTTTAGTGTCAGACTGTCTTAATCATTTTATTGAGAGCATTCTATTGTAAAGCACCAAATATAACATGGCATTACCATTAAATAAATGAATGATCAGCATAAAATGGATTTTAAGTTGAGCCAACTGGAGGATGCGTTGACATGTTGTATGACATTACATGTACTTAATGCAAAAATGTATTCATCTTGGCCTACATTATGTAATTTCTTCAGACTGTCTTACCTAAATCATCATCTGCATTGGAAACTGTTTCTTTCTTTGGAGCAAAGCCGAATGCTGCCTGCCAGTCTGTACTGCTTGATACTGGTATACTCTCAGCTATTTCTGTAGTAGGGATATCAACTGGAATATAACATAGCAATGGGGGTTAACCTGTGGACCATTTTAAAAAGGGGATCCCTTTTCAATCCCAAATTTCAATCTTAAATCTTCAATAATGGGTGATCAATAAGTAATGGACGCTTTTTTACATAGATACTTTTTACACACCAATCCCTTCGATTTTCCTACCAGTGATACATCATTCAAATATCTATCAATTCTGAAGATTTGAAAACAAAATATATAATACATGTTGATATATCCTTATTTCCGTGAAGGAGGTACAGGTACCCCGGGACCGACATTTACGTCACATATTCAGTTTTTAGCCAGTTTGGCAACTTTCAGTTAGGTTTGAACTTTTTATATGCAACAAGTGTTGTGTTGTTTGAAATCTTTTGCTGACTGGTAACTCATAAACAGAAAGTATTGCGATGTCAGAGTGTTGTTTGGAAGGGGTTTGCAGGTCAATTTGAGAATTCATTGTGGAAGAAAGGGATGAAAAGGAATTGTGTACAGTAGCACTTGATGGAACCTATTTAGAGGGCCCTGTGGAATGAATGTGACATGAATACCACATAGTGATGATAAAATATTCAAAATCAACTATGGCATAACAAAATGGGGTAATTCATGACCATAATGGTTTGTTTTGTTAAGCCTGCATCCAACTGCATTGCATGTTAAACAATCTAAAATAGCTTCAGAATATGTGACGTAAATGTCGGTCCCGGGGTACCTGTACCTCCTTCACGGAAATAAGGATATATCAACATGTAATACATATATTGTCTTCCAATCTTCAGAGTTGATAGATAATTGAATGATGTATCACTGGTAAGAAAATCGAAGGGATTGGTCTATAAAAAGTATCTGTGTAAAAAAGCGTTCATTACTTATTGATCACCCCTCGTATTTGAAAAGGCTATTCTCAACACAATTTTAGAAAATTAATATTATGTAAAGGAAAAGATTCTTCCAAAATGTTTAAACAAAGCATCAACATGCCACCTGTCATTTGTTACAGACGCCTAACTGTTAATGCCAAACACCAACCGCCAAACAAAATCCACAAAAGGTTGGAGACTATAACAATATACCACCATTTGTGTGGTGCCGACATAAAAATATTTCTCTGGGTTGTACCCTTCTAATTCTTTTAAACATTCTTTATTTAACAGTATCGCTACATGGAAAAGTAGCCGTAATTGTAGGTACCGATAGTGTTAATGTTTACCAACCTGTGGGTGCCATGGGTGGCTGAATTAAAGGTTTAATTGCACCAGAATATCCACTGTTACTAAACAATGAGAGAGGATCTGACGTTTGGAAGGGAAACTTTTGCCGCATATTTGAGCCAATATTGTTAGTGCATGGAGGTGAAATAGTCTTATTTGAGAGTGTTGGCTGTTGCTGTGGAGGCATGACTGTGTGTGGCGGTGACAAATGGCTTGGACTGTCTTCTGTTGAACTTCTGAAATACATAATCGATGTATATATCATATTTAAATATTACAGTCATATCATGGGCAGGGAAAGGCAGTATGTCTTTTGTACATAGTATAGAAAGTACATATCAGAATAACTTTTCCAGTCTCTAAATTCTCTAAGGAACTTTAATCAAGTTAGTAGAGGTACTAAATGGTCAAAACATGCAATTTTTCATGATTTTTCTCATTTTCAAATTGGTGCATTATTATGGCCTTTCAGACTGGTAAAAGCTTTCAGTTCTGGGAGATTACTGAACACCTCAACCGGTTCAAGGCAGGCATTTGCACAGATTCATATTTTCATCACTACTCCCATATTTTCAATGAGTTACCTGTGTTGAGAATCATCTTCTGTGTTAGTTCTGTGTCTATTTGTGCCTGGGGCTCTGTTTTGTAAATTTTGTATGTTCTGTTGAGTCTGTTGCATTAAGCTGGGTGGCTGGGGTGCCCTATTGCCATTTGTTAACCTAAATAATATATGTACAATATTTTTAATGCAACTCTTCTACAGCAGTGACACTCTCTATTATGGGTGCACAGGTTTTTGGGTTTTAGATTTTAGGCAGTTGACATTTCATCCAAAATCTAAGATAATAAAAACAGTTTCAAGAACAAACCATTTTGATGTAATATATTTAATTTTAAAACTGGCACCATTGCAAGTCAATTCACCAATTTTCAATTTAGTAAAAAGGTATCTACGATTTCAGTGACTTCTACTGAAATGTTGCTAACAACAGAGACAATATTCTAATGATAAGAAGGAGCTAGAAACCTAGTTGTGTCTGTTTTTCCATTTCCACTTGATAATGAAGGCCAAGCATCTCTGTTTGTTGTATTTGGGGGAACCTGTGATATATCTGGAGTAACTGGAGGGGATTCTTTCTTCCTGAAAACAGAAACGCTCAAGGTAGATGGCATCATTGTATAAGTATCCTTAATTTTATGAACCATTCGAAGGCAGACGTTTAAAAAAACCTTTAAAATGCACAACTTGGGGCTAAGTTTTTATCACAATTCTGGCAGAGATTATTCATATTATAATCATCAACAACTGATCATACAAATAATCTATAAACGAGAATTGGCTTACATTATCTTAAGAAACTTTGAACTGGTCAGTTTTTAACAGATTTTAAATCTAGACATGATCGGAAATATCAATTCTTGAATTGCATGAAAAATGCTGGTCACGAGAAACCATACTTTGCCACAGGAGGCTGAGCTGGAGGTTTCCCAATTCCAGAAACTCCAGAACCAGGAGCTGGACTAGCTGTTACTGGTGTCGGAGTTAATAACTGGTCCATGAGTCTGTGTTCGTAGTCTGTATGTTTGCCCTGTTGCATTTCCTCTTTAGTAAAACTGGCCGCCTCCTCCCCCAACTCATGTAAATACATACAATCCTGGAAGAGAAAGGGAAATACATATTTGAATGAAGAAGGAATATTTAAAGGGACAATGTTTAGAATTGACAATTTTTAAAAAATTTATATTTCAAGGAAATATGCATTTTACGAAAACTATCAATAAAATTAATATTCAAAAATTAGCCAAACATCATTAGAAAACTTAAGCTTTAAACAACTCACTTCTGAATGTTTTCTTATAATTAAGCTTCAAAAAAGCAAATTTATTTCATCTTGCAGCGAAAATCCATGCATCATAGTTCATTTTAGACATAGTTCTAATATTCAAAATTAAAAATCAACCACAAAATAATAAGTAAAAAACAGACATACAGAAATATCCAGATGGTTATGTTTTCTACTTGAAATAGAGAGATGTTTCAAAAATAGAATCATAAAACCAAATATCTTTGACATTAACAGTACACAAGGACTTGAAATTTTGAAATGGTAATATGTAATTATTAGTTTCAAAATATTACAGAACTGTATTCTTGTTTCAAATCATTTTTTTAAATTCTAACCCTGCTGACACTGGTTATAAACTCCGAAGACGAAAGCTCTCTTTTAAGAAGCAAAGTTGAATGAATGCATTTAAGGCACTTCATTCTATTTCTTGTGGAAAACATAACAATTTAGATGTTAAATAAAAAGTATTAATAAGTAAAAGCACATACCGAAAGACTACTTACGGGTTTGGGACACTGGCTTCCTTTTAAAAAGTGACTGCAATATTTAGTTGTTCCTAAAGATGCTTTTAAAGTTCTACCATCTATATAGACATTGTTCACTGCTTGTATTGCCCGTAATGCATCTTCCGTTCGTAGATAAGTAACATAGGCACTCGCGCTAGGACCCTAAAAATGCAGAACAATATAGATTATCCTTTGGAAATGAAATATTCAATATTATCAATATTAATAGATCTTTCCGATTAACCCAACCACCTTTTGGTAAGAAGCTAGGATTTATCGGCTAGATTGATGATGTCATTGGCTGTAGGTAGCAATCTGTCAGTGCAAAAATAGGATTAACGTATTGCTAATTTGAAAAAGTACAACCAATGACATCATCAATCTAGCCAATATACCGTAGCTTCTTTGATGCACCAAAAGGTGGCAGGGTTAATTGGAAAGGTCTATTTCTCTTCCTCTACACTTTATATTCAGTATGAATTTTTAAGGTATAATTTATATGTGTAACAAATATTCTTCAATTTAATTACACATATCATGAATGAAGACATTTGTGGCATATCAAAATGGCAATTATCACTCATCAGATAAATATACAAGAATTAGAAATATTATTACGAATACTGTCAAATATTGACAATAAAAAATTTATAAACATTCACCAGAATTTACTTGTAGAGCACAATTCCTGTCCCATACACCTTCTAAATTCAAATCTATGGTATCAATGCTTACACTAATTTGTGTAACATTTGCTGAAGTCAAAATAATCTAAAATGTCAAAGAAATTGTGGGAGTACCAGACGTAACTTGACAAGCGAGACTTTAATAAACAATAAACTAAACTTGGAGAACAAGACTCTCCATGTCATCCTTGTCTTATAGCATTTGCAAAAGGAGGATTGACTCCCAGGGTTCCTGCTCGATATACTGCCATATATGGAGTCATGTCACAATTAAAAAATTCAAAATAAAACAGCTGTCATTTTTTCATTTCAGAATTTGAATGGTGAGTTTTGGTCTTATTTCCAAACAAAAAATTCACAACATAAACCCCCATTGTTAAAGGTTTATAAACCTCTATTGTTAAAGCTCACAAAAGCCTAAATGCTATAGCTCATAAAACCTGCTTTGTCATAGCTCACAAAACCATCATTGTTACAGCTCATAAACACTCATTGTAAAAGAATTGTAAACCTTTACTGTTATAGCTCACAAAACCATCATTGTTACACCTCATAAACACTCATTGTAAAAGAATTGTAAACCTTTACTGTTATAGCTCACAAAACCATCATTGTTACAGCTCATAAACACTCATTGTAAAAGAATTGTAAACCTTTACTGTTATAGCTCGCAAAACCATCATTGTTACACCTCATAAACACTCATTGTAAAAGAATTGTAAACCTTTACTGTTATAGCTCACAAAACCATCATTGTTACACCTCATAAACACTCATTGTAAAAGAATTGTAAACCTTTACTGTTATAGCTCACAAAACCATCATTGTTACAGCTCATAAACACTCATTGTAAAAGAATTGTAAACCTTTACTGTTATAGCTCACAAAACCCTGTTGTTATATCTCACAAGAAATCAGAATGATATTTATTCAGCAACACTTTAATCATTGGTGGGCAAAGTAAGTAATGTTGCAAATAATAGGGAGGTCAAACTACACTTTGTTTAAAAGAACTTGTCTGTGTAAATGTCTAGAATTATGAAGCTTCACTGCTTCAGGGATAAGTTCTCTCTTCCGTAGCATTTACTTGCCCGATGAGTATAAAGGTATAGGATAAATGATTGTAATAAGGTCAACTGAAAATCCCTTTCTAAAAATGAGAGGGAACAGTAATTCATCAGGTTTTAATATTGCGCATTCAAGTGCAAGTTCTATTTGAAATGTGTTGTCTAACCTCCCTAATATCAGACTTATAACGTCAGTGTATAAGCATTAACATGCAAAATGTCACCACCTTACATATGTTACAGACACCGAATACAAAACACCAATTGCCATCCATTTGGAGACTCCTGGTGGTGACATAACAAATGTACAAATGAAGCACTCTTTTAAAGAATCAAGCTTTCAAAATCTGGGGCAACGATTAAAAAAATAAGAAATTATTAACGAGAAAATAGTTAACATAAAAAGAGCAACCTACATTTACCTGAGATCCCGCATACGAAGTACTTTGATTGATCACTACTTTATGGATTTTGCCAAATTTTCCAAAATATTCATGTTTCTTTAAAACTTCTGTGTCTGCCAGCCGCTGAGACAGCCCAACCACAAATACGAGGTTACGCTGTACAACCCTAAAAAAGAGAGGAACATGCATGGAATGAATAACAAGGCATCAATTAATTGGGAGGTTGTGGGTTCGATTCCTACCAGGGTGGAGTGACTTTTAGCATCAGTCCTCAGCATAAGATTTGATCCCATGTTTCAGATTAACATGACAAAATGTCACTACCTGATATTATTGGTTACAAAAGTATAACCATCTGCACAGATGTAAACTGCCAAAATCAAAATAATATACATGTATAGTTTTCTTAATGCATTTTGGAAATTTAATTTCTTATCCAGTTTTTCAAGTTGGTAAAGCATATCTAACCTACACCATCTATTGGCAGTCCTGAAGTCTTTTGTTTTTTGACAACTATAAGTTACTCGATTTATGATATTGCCTTATACTGAAATATGCAAATCATTTGTAACTCATAATGATAAAATTATCCCATAATTACTCCATAATGGCAATGAATTTACTGGTATATCAAAAGTGCAGAACTCTTTGAGGTAAAGCACACTTTGATTTATTGGGATATTTCAACATTCAATCTCCAATAAAACAAGATAAAACAGATCTGTTTTGATTTTTCTGATTAATACACTTACCTGACATTTGCCAAATGTTTTCTATTTTCCGCAGCTTTCTGTTTACGCTGGAGATCTTTTTGTCTTCTTTCTTTTTTGATTCTTTGTAATCTGAAAATCAAAAGGCTGAATGAAAGAAATGTTCATGTAATCTGAATTGGAGGCCGGAGGTTCTAATGTACCCACAGAAATAGTAGTAATCTCTTCATCAAGCTCATTGTTTTTTTAGTTACATGTACAATGTTTAGTAGCCAATTACTCTGAATTATGTTCATGTATTCTTATAAAATTTTTCAAGGTTTCAAAATATCCACTAAAGATCTTTATAAGTTCGAGGCTAAAAGCACATATAATTCTCTCTGAAAAATGAATATTTTTTCAAGATAAGGAGAATTTTAGAATGGGTAATGACACTTCTTTGAATTTGAGTGCATTTGTTTCGTTGACTTTAACAATTTGAACTATTTTTCTACTAGCGTCAGACATCATTTAAACAGAATCCAGTTTGGAATATTTTATCAGGACAAATGTTCACTCAAATTATCAAATGTGACTCGAAGAAACCCAGGCCAGTCGCATTCCTTTCCTTTTTAACAAAAAATCTATGAACCATGTAAGGTTCAAATATGAAGTAATAATTCGGAATATCTTGTTACTATCAGGTTGTGGGTTTTTTCTGCTACAAATTCCTATTCCTCAATATCATAAAAAATTTCTAAATAGGCTTTAAATGTTCAATGTAAGAAACAGATGACGAGTATTTGATTCACTCAGTAATAATGCAATGTACATACATCTATGACTTGACAGCAAAAGTATTTACAACACAGTCAGAATGAATGATATTTTACAGGTGCCTGTTTAAAGGGACTCAACCTCTAGGATCCCCAGTACTACATAGTATAATGTGATCGTAGCGTAACGACTCCCCCAGACCCAGCAATCTTAAGAAGGTGCAAAGAATGAAAGCTATTCTTCATTTAACTGATATTTTCAAACATCTAGTGATGATTCAAATAAAATATCAATTTCAAAATTTTTTTGGATATTTCAGAATCTGATTTAAAGGGTGAGCTTCTTTAAGGCACATTATATAAATGAATCAAACAAACTTACTCATCCTCCGTTAAAGGTTTGAACTCTGCAGGATCTTCTGGATAATGCTGGAAAATATGAAAAATAAAAATTTTAAGACAACAATCCTGTATGTCTAAAATAAAACTATTCTGTATTAAATTATCTAATCTACAGTGTATATAACCCCAGACAACTAAACAGGCAAACATAACAGTATCAAAGAAATAAACTATTCGAGCATGCTCTCGTTTTTTATCCTAAAAAATGCCAAAAGGGAGAATTGAGGAGAATATGTAATAATAGGATAGATCTTAAGTTTTCCGATTAATCAAAAATCAAAAATTTGTAAAATAATACCATAGGTCTGACATGATACAGATCTAGAACATGTTCACTAGTTACTAACTTAATTGCAGCCTTCTGGTTATTAGATGAAAACCGCAGTAAAATGTACAATGCTTTTGACAGACAAAAATAATGGCTGATATACAGGATCATCTAATACAAAGAGATATATGAGATAAATATGATCGGTAATATGTGAGTCAAACGAAAGGTATTCAGTATTCACAAGAGAGCAATTCCATAAAGAGGTGTTCACGAACATTTGTTAAACTGTAATTGTAAGATTCAAGTATAGGCAAAGAATACAGGCAATGGCCCTTGAAAATATATAAAACATCCTCTCTCTATTTGAGCCTATTCTTGATTCTGTGAACTGGACTGAAAGTAAGAAATTAATGATTCCAACTGGGGTGTCTCGTTAGTACATACATCTTCTCTCGTTCCTTCCTGTGAAGATTATGACTGCTTTTTAATAATAGCTCATTTACTTATGTTATGTTGTTCTACAAACCCCATGTTTCTTATTTTTGGAACCAGATAACTGGTGCTGAGATAAGTATGCTCACTGTGCAACATTTTGACAACTAGGTATATTTTACACCTGTGTATATGCAGTTGTTAAGGTGGGCAATTTGGGACAACTGAGAAATATAGCCCTACCATTCCTTCCAGTTATCAATTTCTGTCGAATACAGAGAGAATCTGCTTTGGCCCAGAATTTCTAGAATTTGACAACTAGGTATATTTTACACCTGTGTATATGCAGTTGTTAAGGTGGGCAATTTTGGACTCTGAGAAATATAGCCCTACCATTCCTCCTAGTTTTCAATTTCTGTCAAATACAGACAGAATCTGCTTTGGCCCAAGAATTTCTAGAATTTGACAACTAGGTTTAGTAGGTATATTGTACACCTGTGCAAACTTGCAGTTGTTAAGGTGGGCAATTTTGGACAACTCTGAGAAATATAAAGCCCTTCCAGTTTTCAATTTCTGAGTGCAGGCAGAATCTGCCTTGGTCAAGAATTCAGTATCTTAAATAAAGGTGAATTTCTGCATAATTTTAGGTGGAATTGACTAAGTTTATAACGATTACTGTTCAATTATTTTTGTCATATCTGTCTTATTTTCATGAGATTGGAAGCCTTTAGAATTCACTTGTAGAATTCACCGTTTCACTTGCAAAATTCACTTGTTTCCCTTGCAATATTCACTTGTTTCACTTGCAGATTTCATCGTTTCAATTTGCAGAAAACTGTGAGAAATGCCCTTTATGCGTAACATAAGTAATTAGCCAAATTATTAACTCTCCTTGGACTACCTTAATACATATCTCATATACTACACTTACAAAAAATGGGAAAGTAACAGCTTTAACATTTCTATTTTTACAGTAATCAGATTTTCAGCAGAATAAATGAGCACAAATAGCAAGACATCTGACTTCGGCCTTCTTCAAATATAAAACTGATATTTGTTTATTTATTAGTATTTGATATTTATATTACACCACTACTGTCCAATGGCCATGGGGAAAGTGATATAGCCAAATGCTTAAAGTTCAACATGTTAATATAATACATGTATGAATCTCTTTTAAGGAAGTTAAAATAATGTGACAACTGGTACATTATATCAAATTACGGATCATTGGTAATCTCATATTGCCAGTGTATGACAATAGTACATGTATATACTACTATAATTTCATCTACTATCTTATTTCATTTTATCTATATTTTGTTTCTGTCTAAGCATTGCCACTATATACTTGGCATACATGAAGTTATGCAAATGTATCTTAACACAACGTGCTACTAAGTACGATCGCAAACTAATGAACAGAACAAATGATACCAAATTCTCTCGAACAGGCGCACATAATGTCATATGCCATTCTGTTACATAACTTAACTGCATCTAGTTTCAAGGAGGAAGTTGATGTTTTACCCTATTATCACCCATATATTTACTTTTGAAACATACCGGAGATTTTGCAATTTGAGACATCTCCTAAGGAGAGTTTGGGAGATGTACTGCTCATTTAATAGAGAGAATACGGTACATGTAGTAAAGAACAGGTGCGGAGACTGGGTATGCTGACTGTATAGAACAAACCTGTAGCTACTAAACAATACTTTTATTGCGAATGTCAAAACATGTTTATGCTATACAATTACAATCCATTAGTGATAAAACAGCGCTGACTGATATACTATTCCCAATTCAAATGATTCTGGGATATATAAAAATGTAAAAGATTTAAAGGACATGCCCCTTTAAATTGGACATATAATCAGTTCAGAGTCTATTATAAATTGTTGTTTCATGCCTTCTGACAATTTTTTTCTTCATCCTAAATCAGAATCTTAAACAATCAAGCCTAACCCGCTTGATTTTCTGAAAAAAGTACAATAAAAACCTCTCTGAATTACTGAAAAAATAATTTTTTAACCCCCTTGATTTCCTAAAAAATGCCCCCTCCCCATACTCCTGATTGCATAACCTCGCGAGACCCTACCACAAGGCCCTGTTATCAAGGCAGATGTACTTCATAGTATACACATAGAAAGGTTACCTGGAATATTCAAAGCATGAGTGCTAAACAGGGGAATTCAGACATGTAAGGTGATTTAAAGGACCAGGTGATGGACAAGTGCATAAGCTCTTTACAAATACATAGCAGTTGGTGATTTTTTGTACCATAATGATGTCTAGATGTATTGTAAGTAATGCTATCCTTGGATGTTTATCTATCATTGCAGCATTGCCCATTGTGCTTCATGAGTGAAATGACCTGAGAATGAGATCTGAACAAGTGCATATAGTCTGAGACAATCAAAAATGGCTCAAAATGGATATTCTCATAATAACATTGGGGGGGGGGGAGGGGTCCAGAGACTTGAAGAAGAATTAGAAGAATCCGATAAGAAGGCAGTAATAGGCAGAAAGGCTTCTCCCTTGTGGTGGTGAGACCAGAGTTGACATCTAGGGTGACCTCCCAGTCCCAGACACAAAACATGATATGATCCCAGCTATATACTTTGGCCTTTATCACATGCTGTTTACATATTAACTGATAAAACATCAACATAAATCCATGTGCTCATTAATGTCAACAAAAAGATATTAAGGAATTCATTTTTCTTTTGTTATATAAGCAAAAATTCCATCAAAGTGACTTTCAGAATCGAGTGTGTTTTTGGTGTTCTATATTTGAAATAGAACCTATAAACAAACATTATAAATGATGTGCTCTTGTAAATTGAATGGTCACTTCATTATGTGCCACTTTCTGGGACTACACATCAAACTTATTTCCAATAGGTTACATGTAATATGCAAGATTTCATTGAAGTAATATCCCTTGTGAATGGTCAATCATGGCTTGAGAGTACACAGTGTTATTTATTTAATGAAATTATTACTACTTTAATGCATGTTATCATATTGACTGATGCTCCCCATTGTCTCATCTTCGCACACTCGGTCTTCCCTGCATTCATCGACTGACAGGAGCCGAGTGAACGAAGATACCATTGTCTGACCAAGAAGTCTGTAAATGCCTACAAATGTATCATGTAAGATAGATCTCAAATCTAGAAAGAATGTTCTCAGCTGTTGCCCTCTGAAGCCTGGGTGTCTATTTTTGTTTTTACATCTGAGGGGGAATACATGCTGCATTTTTAACTAAGAGGGATAAGAACATATGTGGACCAATATAAAAAATATAGGGTATAATAGCCCCCCTCCCATCCCCACATATTCTACAGTCTTATCTCATTTTTAAGATATGCCTTTGTTCTTACCCAATACTAACCATCCTTTGGATGCAAGAGTATTCTTGAGTGCCAAATGGTCCTCCTATACTGCCCATATTTTAAATGGTTTCAAATGGAAATAGGTCTGCTTATTTCATATTTCTATTCTACAATCCAACAGAACCATTTATATTCAACATCATTGTATCTCATATGAAAGACACTGAAAACATCAAATGGTCCACCAATGTTCCCCATTGCATTGATTCTTTTCTAGACCCATAAAACATAAGACTAATTTATTATTCAGGCATTCCCCAAACCAAGAATATATAATATTTCCATATGGCGTTTTCTCTACCATAGCAGCTAGTCAATGGCAAATAAATGGGTTATGCCTAGGTAACTAGGTAAACAACAGGCAGGACTAATAAACAACAAGTTCCAAAAGTCAGACCACAGTCTAGGGCAAACGCCTGACTTTTTATCTCGAGTTATGGATTTATGTGGCCTCACTGGCCTATCTGAGGTTCTAAAGCTATGTCTAAGCTACATTTTGACACTAAACTCAATAGGGGCCAACCATCTACTTTTTGAAATAATTGGTCAATTGTGACACTACCCCCTCTCTCTGCCGACACAAATTGAAATTCACAAAAATGAAGGCAAAATTAATACGCCAGTTGACTCGAAAATGTCCTTCAGACAACCCAAATAAACGCATTTTCAGAAGAAATGGCATGTTGTCATTGCAAAAAGATGACAACTGTGCCTACATACTAGCTTACTGACTCGGCATGATCACAATTGTGTTGGGACTACATTTATTTTTGAATACTACTTTTTTCTATTCAGCGGAAGTGACGTATTAGGGCATTTGGGCCAGAGTGTGATTCAGAGGATTTTTACACCTACGCCATATTTAATTTCTCATTCGTCATAACTGATACAAATCATATGAAATCACATACAATTTTGAAATCAATTCTAAAATTAGACTAGATGTATCATGAATACTTAGTATGGCGCATGTGGTTTGTTTTAACAAGATACCCTGGGGTTTGTTTTTGGTACGATCATAACTTACCATTCTGAGAAACAATTGTTTACTTTTTTTGACGAACAATGACTTGCAACCAAATCGTAGGTTACGATGGTTCTAAAAATGGACCCCTGGGTCTTTATTGCGGTTCTAATATGACTCAGCCGTGAAAATCATCCAGAATTTGACAAATGTGTCTGACAATAGGTAGCAGTTGTCATCTTATTGCATAAAAAAGTTCATAAAATTATATTTAACATTGATATATACTACATGTATATTACTTTGTTGAGTTGCTATATTCATGAATTTTGTAGATGTATAATTCTGATACTCTGATAGATGCCAAATACATGGTTAGATCAACTAACAATATTTCAAAATTAAAATCAAATGTCCATTTGAGAAAATCAATCAGTTCGCAAAACAATACATTTTATATTTGAAAACTAAAATAAAAAAATCCTGTTATTACCTTTGTCGCAAATGGACGCACTGGTGCCCCAAATGCATCGCCAAAACCAAATCCAAAATCCATTGGCCGATGAATTAGAGCCATTTTTTATAAATTCTATCCTTTTTTATAATAAATAATAAATAAATAATAACAGTATATTAATTAACTGTTTTTAATGACATTGTCATTTTTACTACCATCTCCATTTAGCTCTTATAGTCTTTAATCTCCAAATGACAAAATAGTAGATCTTTTCCCAAGGATACATTTGGAGGAAACATGTTTTCCTTAACATATATGAAGTAAAATACCCTGTTTTGTACATTTAGGCTCCCCTACAGGAATCACAGGTGCTCCTTACACAGGGTATTACAACAGGGAATGTTGAATAGACTGAAGAAATCTTATCCTGACAAACTATGTTTGGCTGAAATATGTTACACCATATATACAGTAGGAGCAACAGGAGTCTTCTTGAAGTAAACACATGATCTATGATCGTTAGCATAAAACAACTGGGAGCTCACATGATGCCGCGATCTGAATATGAAATGAGATCAAATGTTGTGTTGTGGTCACCCCCTCCCCCTTCCCCGGCCCCTAGTCACCACACGGGATCAAACCATTAGTCACTCAAGAATTTCTCCAAAATCTGCATTTTATCATGAAAAACTAGTGGAAGATTTAAAATTCTATAGAAGGGGTTCAATAGGGCAAACGGGTATAACGTCGACCCATTTCATTTCAGTTTGGGATAACTTTGAGGTATGGGGTAACTTCAATACTTTAATATTTCATTTGCTCCAATTTCCTATTTAGACGGGAGCCAGGTTCTTTTTCTTGCAGAAATCGAGATCTCACAAGATTTTTATTTTCCGAAACGAAACATGGCGGAAAACGTAAATTTTAATTTCTAACAAGTAAGTGTTGAAGTTACGCCATTTCTCATGTTGACATTACCCCACATGTCAATGTTACACCCCTTTGCCAAAACAGTTTTCTAGGTAATTTTGAGAAAATTTAGCAGTCTTGTTGGTAATGTAAAAATTGGGGAAATGGGCCGTGGTCAAAAATATCCAAATTAGTAGAATGGAGATAAAAATAGGTTGTTAGCTGATAATGACACCAGTCTTTAAGGACACAATATCTAAACAGATAAAGAAGCATCCAATAGGCTTCAGCAAATCAGAACAGACCACAACTAGGATCCTAAAGCTGAAACCACGGAAACTGATCTGCAGAGTAGACTACATCCTCCTGGCTTTTTCAGCATATAGGGGAAAGAAAAGCAAGTTGGGAGAAAATATGACACCCACAGTTGTGCCTTCAAAATATCATACAGCAGACAGTGCCTATAAGACCATTTCCTAATGTGATACATCACTTTACAAAAACACAGAAACAGATAGGGGAGAAACTACAATTGAACAGATAAAAACACAATGATATTACTTAAGCAACTAATCAGTAGGCCTATCAGTTTACATCAGACTTTTGGAATTTTAGAAAAAAGGGATTCACAAGATTTATTAGGCAGGCTCGGTTGTGAGTGATACCCTTCATCTCCTGTGTTCTTGTCTACTATCTCTGTTATCAGATGTTACATTATACAATACAACTTTCCTACATTTACCAATTAGAGCATGGTAATAACAATAAATATTCCATAATTTATAAACTAACACCACACACGTTCATTTCCTCAATTTGGCCAAAATGATATATATTTCAATTTATCTAAATCTAATTTCTGATACAAGAAATCTGGTAAACCGAACCTCGATCGATAATAGGGATAACACTAAATGCCAATTGCGAAGATTGAATTACTCTTTTGATTTTAAATGTTACAGCAACTTAAAAAATATTATAGCAATTTATGTTGTTTCAAGACGATAGTGTCTCTGTAAAACTTCATATTTGTACAAAGTATTGATATTTTTAAATAATCAAGTATTACTTGAAAATTCCAGTCTATTTTCTGCATTGAAATAGATTATATGGCCATTACGACATTTTACAAATGGGTTAGGGGTCGGCTCAGTTAGACATTTTATAAATAGATAGGGATCGGGTCAAAATAGATATATCCATTAAAAACTAAACCCCGTCCTTCAAAGTAAAAATATAAATGTTGAAAAATGGTTGTGATAAATAATTATAGCTTTCGATTTATATGGATGTTTTAACCCGACCCCTTAGTTCTTTCAAACTGATTTTTTAGTATATCACATTACAGATAGATAAACTACCAACTGACTTGGTTAGATCAGAACATAAATAGACTATTTTTACACTTTACTGCCATCTTTCAATAGCTTCATATACTAACACCATAAACTGACAGAAACAGTGTCTATCACATCATCTAATTTTCTCAAATTCATCACAAATTATGAATAAAAGATGTAGTCTCACCAAAACCCCCCAAAAACATGGCAATTAGCTTCTGAAAATGATTAAAAGAATGGCTTTTTAGAAGCTGTGAATCAGACTGTATTGAAACCATAAAGACTCAAGCAACTAGTTGAAAGTACATGAACTAGTGAGAAGTGACATCTATAAATATGATTAGGTGTTAAAAGCACACACAGTAACAGTTATGACCTGCTAAGGTTATCTTCGTCATAAATTATAAGCGATAACTATCTGTAAAGCAAATATGTATGAGTCACATTGAGATTGTAGCTTTTATGAATCATGATGTTTAGTGTTTACCATAACATATTCAAAACTGATAAACTGAAAAATAATGAGAGTTGTTTTTTTAAATTATAAATCTTCAAGACTTTTAAGTTGTTTACTTCCTTGATCTAGATATTTCTTACATTAATCATGAACCAGATTGAAATATGCAGACATCATTTAAAGGAACATTCTATTCAATGAAAATCATTGACATATTCTTAAAGGTCCCATAAGTACATTTAGCCATGTTTAAGTAATGTTAATATGAATATCATACTTGCGCGTAGGAAGTTATTATGAAGCTCATTTTAATATTACAATTATATATTTGCTTAACAACACAACTCATCTCTACAACAATTAAGAGTACGCTGATTTACTCCACAGATAGTTAACTCAATAATTAGAGGATACAAACTACCAGAGTATAGTCTGAGAATAAGAACAGTCAGAGGATAAGAATGGTCAGAGAATAAAAATGTCCAAAATATTTTTAGAAACCATATTTTATTGTGAAAACCTCTTTAAAGTAAGATTTTTTCAATCCCAGTTTAGATATCAATTACAGGGTTTCATAATTCATACGCCTCAAGCGACAGGCTGAATTTGTTGGGTGTGTTTTTGGCAAAATCACCTGTTGTTGTTTTGATAACGTTTGCAACTGTTTCCAATTTAATATTATAATTTCCAATAATTTTGCCTGTTCTCATTTATTTTACCTGTTGTCAGAATTCTCATTAAATACCTAAATCAGCTTGGGTTTATAAGGAGCAACCAATAAATGACATCCACGAGTGTTTTTTTTACCAAAAATTGCCTGTTTTTAAGGAATCTTTTAAAGTTAATTTTGCCTGTTGTTCGCATTTGCCTGTTGTCAGAGAGTTTTGTGAAACGCTAGACACCTGTCAAAATAAACAACATCATATTTAAGTATGACTATCTCTCATTATGAAAACTTCAAGCAAAACCAGCCTGGGCAGAATTTACCTTTTCCTGTCTTAAAACTTTATTAGTACTTACCTTTCTACAAGCTGGACACAAGCCATTTTCATCTGTCCGTATTCGATGCCAGCAGAATCTGCAGATCTAAAAGACAAAAGTCAAAACTAAATTGAAAGAGATCTACACGTTAATATTTTATATATTTTAGTATTTTATAGAGAAACAATTCTAATAATTCTATCTAAAATGTTAAACAAAAGGTGAGTTCATTCCAACAACTATAAATCAACTAAAAAAGACATGATAGACTGTATCAAATAAATTAGACAGTAGAAAATAGATTTGACAGCTAGGTTAGACTGTAGACTTCTCAGTGAAATTGTAGAAAACAGATTAGACTTAGGTTAGGTTGAATTGTAGATGCTATAATACAGTGTTCGCGTTGACGCCGTATTTGCCATTTTTACGGAAATTTCAGAAGGTTGGACGTAAAAATCAAAATCAACTTACGTCCCTAGGACGCAAAAATTATAAACTGCTTCAAGATAACTTTTACTGCAGCACAGTAGCGGTGAAACATGATTTTCATCAAGATTTTCAAACTCACTACCTTGATATACGAGCAATGATCCAGGTATATTTATATTGACAAATCTGATTGGCTATCATGACTACCGAAGATTAACAGGGTTTCCAGTATGAGACATGGATTTTGATTGGTTCCGATATATTCCGGAAAATGTCGCAATCGAAATGGAAGATCAAAACATAAAATATTGCAGAAATCCCCTGTGGTTCCCCACAAATTGAAACGATTGTTTTTCACGATTGTCTATATCATTTCCACTAGAAACCATTATGATCTAATGTTATACATCAAGATAAATGTTTAATGATAGATCGAGGTTTTTCATCTAAAAGTCTTCAGAATAAGGAGAAATGTTAATAAAAAGAAGCAAAAGTTCACGACCTTGACATGACCTTCAAGATCGCAGGTTTGTAAAATGTGAAAACAAAACTCTTAATTTGAGCATTTCCTTTATTCATTTCGGACTATTTTGGTATAACATTACTTAAGCATTGTGTAAAAAGGACCCAGTGATAGATATTTATCGGGAGGAAGCATTAAATTACAATATATGTCATTTTTATCCCATTATAGTGTAAGCACTCTATTATCGCCCACTTTATTTTCACTTTCACAATATTTCTTGAACTTTGTGAAGAAATAAGAGGGACGCAAAAAATTTAGATGGGGACTCAAATTTTTCAAATGGGTTGCGTCCCTGGGACTCAGAAATTTTAATGGCCAGCGCGAACACTGTAATAGATTGGAGTTAAGAGAATTAACTGAAGTTAGATTGGAGAAAATAGATTAGACGATAGTTAGATTGGAGAAAATAGATTAGACTGTAGAAAAACAGATTAGATTTAGGTTAGATTGTAGAAGACAAATAAAATGGAGGTTACATTGTTGAAGACAGATAAGACTGAAATTAAATTGTAGACAGAGGTAAATTATGGAAAGCAAATTAGACATGTGTGAAATTGTAAAAGGTATGAGATTATGGTAGATGGTAGAAAACAGATAAGACAGGTAAATTATACATTTTAACAGGTAAGACTAATAGACTGAAATTGTAGAAAACAATAAGACAGAGACGAGACTTCGTGAATAGACGAGAATGTGGTTAAATTGCAGAAGAGATTAGACAGCATAAAACTGTAGATTTTAACTGGTAATGGGTTTCTGTTTTAAGACAATATCTACAGTGACATCTATGGGAAAGTTTATTCAAGTTACCTGATAGCCACAAGTGCATGGAAAGAAATTGATGTCATCCATTTCCAATGGCTCCATGCACAACGGACACTGAAACAGAAGAAATCATCTCATAAAATACAGTTATACTAATACATGTACTCCCTTTTGGGGGTCAAAGCCACTACAACCTGTAAGATTGGCAGGGAGGTAGGTTAGGCAGGGATGTGCTAAATAAACTGCTTCTTGGAATGAGCATGTAACGAATATTTTGAAATATGGCGGCAGCATACATATACATGTATATATTAAAAAGTTATAAAAATCTTATTCGAAAGTTATTTTTTTGCAAAGTAAGTGACTAAATATGTATGATATGTGAACGATATATATTTCTTTGTTGAAATACAATGATACTGCAAAAATTGACCAGAAAATGTAAAGTATTTCATAACGGTGTAGTCACTGTATGCATGGTCACTACATACAAATATAACAAATATCTAGTGTTGGAATTTGAAAAGTATCTCAAACCTATTAGTGACAGATTTTTTTTATTTGCCTCTGGTTTTTGGCAGAAATTATAATCATGATTATAAAATTGTATTTGACACTTAATTTTATGCCTAACGTATTTACAGTTCTTACCTCGGTTTGTTCCTCTCCGATCGACATTGTGAATCACAGCTTTTACAAAGCAATATGAAGATACAAGCAGCTGTAAGAACAAAAAATCATCATTAACATTATCTCAACTTATTTACTTATTAACATGATGTAATTTTCATTATCGCTATGGGTTACAAAAAACATTCTTACAATATTTAATAATAAAAAATATTAACTCGTCCATTACTACTAACTTTTTTTTTAATCTCAATGACATTCATTAGCAGCATAAGACTACAGGCAATTTTCTCTGGTTGTTAAGTAATTTCAAAATGTTGCCTATTCATTTTGGCAGAAATTATAATCGAGACCAGACCCCCTGATCTCATAAAGATATGATAATAGGGAGATTAAGTTTGTTTTTTTTAAATATTTGTACATGAACGTAAAGCAGTAAGGGTCTATTCATATTGGGGCAAAACATGGACAGATCATATAAGGTGATTTAAAACGTTCAAACGTTTAGGAACAGATTCTATGATCAATTGATTCTGAGGAAGTAACCTGATAAGTCCTGAAAGGTCAATAAGTAAGTGGTTTAGGTTGAAACAAGCAGTAACTATTCATATAGTCAGTTGGCAAAATTGTCTGGCTGTATAAATTATCTAGTCAGACTTACTTTATTGTTGTCCAGTTATTCTGTACGTACAGTCAACAATAAATGTCAAGCAAATATTTCGGTAGCATTGTTTCACCATGGTAACATGACCCTTGCCATGGTACCAAGAATGTACTGAACTAAATAATGCAAAAATTTATAGAGCATGTCCATATAAAAATCAATTCTCCTAATCAACTAAACCCGATTTACTGGCCTGACTTCGTCGGTAGAAATTGAAATATAAGAGTTACCTAAAGATAAGGAGTCTTACTTACCCTCTGGAGGTTAGAACACACATTTCAATGAAACCATATCAGCTTTGATTTGTTCATGATGAAGCATAAGCACAGTACCTGATTGAAATTTGTGTAAATACTTTTTTCTATTTTCCTCGTGTTTACTTCCGGGAAGACATTGCCAACAGAAAAACAGAAAAATTGAGGATAAGCACAAACACAAACAACTCTGTTCACCATGACAGATGTGAGTGAACGATACAATACAAGCAATGTGGAATAAGCTTCGGGAATAGCCTACATTTTAGAGGATATTCCCTCTGGGAAATAATTTACACTATAACCCTCAATGGCAGTCACTATTTGTATAATATTGAAACTTCCGGAACTTACAAGGAAATTATTCATTTTCACAGTCCATATTTTACCTCTTGGATATTGTGCTAAATGCTCTATGGTTGAAGCAACAAAGGTGATAGGGTTTCATCGAAATGCGTGTTCTAAACTCTAGAGGGTAAGTAAGACTCCTAATCTTCAAGTAACTCTTATATTTCAATTTCTACCGACGAAGTCAGGCCAGGAAATCGGGTGTAGTGTAAACTCAGGGGTTCGATCTTAGCGGTAGCAAGGAGCAAATTTGCTACCTGATTTCACATTTTGCTCCAAAAACTTCGTGGCTGGCTGGGAGCAAATGCTTGCTACCTCAAATTTATGCAACGAATCTCATGTATTTCAACCCTTCTATCGCATAGAATCAATGGAACTTACCAATCCCGATATTTTTTTATTTTTTCATCGTGTTTCCGATAGCGATATACAACCTCAATGCTGATTGGTTGATACGGATCCCAAAATGAAAAAAATGAAAAAAATAAGATAACATCCCTAATTGGACTTTACTCGCTTTAGCGAAACAGAATTTCTTGCCGAAAAAATGTCGCCTGCACGTTAACATGTTTCATCAATGAATACGCTATAATTTGTTTCCCCCCAATTGATTATACTAACTTTATTAGGATTAGATGATTCATTCTCCTATTTTCAATGTAAATGTGCGGATTTTGGTCTGAAAAACCACAAATTGTTCTCAGACGACTCTTGAACGTAAAAAATGGTTGTTCCGTTCAGTGCAAAAAGGCGAGAAATAACCGGGGATTCGTTATAAGACATGAATAGAATTTGAGGAGCAATTTGCTACCTGATAATGTTTTCTTGGAGCATTTTTGTTGCTACCTGAATATGGGAATTTGCTCCTTGTTTTTGGTAGAAGGTAGCAAATCCTTGCTACTGGTAAAAAAAGTTAAGGTCAGACCCTGAAACTTCATGCTATAAATCAAATATAAATACACAATTTTTCAAACAAGTTTACCCCATTTCTCATGTCAAAGTTACCTCATATGTCAGCATTCATATTCATTGTGAGAGAATGTCATGATGTGGGAATTGTCTGGTTAATCTATTTTCTACAATGGTCCTTGTGACAGTCAATTCGTCGATGCAAACTTCAAAGTTGCGACAACAGACAGTTCAAACAACACAACAATTTCCTCTATAGCTCAACATATTTTGAGAAATGAACTGCTGATTTTTCAAACTTTAATATTGGTTATGAATTGTTAGTCAATTCAACATGTGAAACAAAACTATAGTTCAAATTTATTTGAGGTCAGGTCCAAAAAATTGAAAAATCATAAAAATCAAAAAATGGGTTGAAGTTTCAATATTTCCCAATCAGATTCTGACTGAAATTTGACAAGGTGATTCACATTGATAGAATAGGTGTCAAAATGACACGTTTCTGCTCCTCGTATAAACATTTTACTTCATCATATGACGTAATAAAAGAGCAAAATACTCACAAATGTTGAGTTTACTAAAATTCCGGGATTTTGACGACAAAATCTTTAAGTTGAATGCGCATCCACTTTCGCGCAGGTTGCCCGGATGAATAAAGTTCTCGACATAAAGAGATTTTATAATTTTCTAAAAAACAATAAGTATCTCATAATTATTCAAATAATATCATTTAACTCATTTAATTATGAGAGCAGACGTTAAATTTAGTTTTTTCTGTCGAATTCTTTTCGATTTTTGTGTGGATACCTGGGAAATTATATGCCAACCAGAAAACAATATGGCGGCAATTATGCAGAACTTGGCGCGAGTTTTCCTTGTTTTGCCTTGAATGGGACGATTTATTAGCAGCGAAAGTATTATAAAGTAAAGTATTTTTCAATCAATTTCATTATCGTAAGACTTCTGTCCTAATTTGGTCATGAAGTGCAATACATCGTAACTGCAAAATATATATTCAACTCTATTGAAAAAACAAAAAATTAAAATTTCCTTCCGACCTAGGCTACTTAGCCTAACCTAAGCTCAAGTTTCCATCCACATGTGCCCCTGGGAGTATTCTATCAAGAGGTTCCCCTGGAGACCAAGAGTGTAGGGTTACCTTCTTCTATGGCCATCGTGGCCTTCGTCCAAAGTGGGAGCTTGGAAAGGTCACTGAACAGAGTCTTTTGAATTTTTCAGAAAATGTGCCCAATATATTGCTCTAAATGATACAATCTTTGACAATTTGTATGTCTTCTATATTTGGTTTTAAGTTTTCAAAAACACCCCATTGGCATAGCCCCCCATAACTAATAAAAATAGAACCATGAGATAGAAGAAAAGAGCTTTAAAATGATTTTTATTTGAAGCTTCTAGCTCAATTTTGTAGGAAGTTGCATCAATTTTTGTAACAAATCTCTTGTTTATGCCATAATCCCCCCTCTGACTGAAAACCAAATCTACTAAAGTCTTAAATGTATTTTCAACTGGGTGCATTCAGCATATTATTAATTCTCATCTGGATTCGCCTTAACATATCTGGTCTGCTTGGTCAGCTAGATTGAACTCAAATCAATTTTGCTATATAACCATGTCATATTGAATGATTAAAATAAATGTTTTAATTCTTTTCAGAGATAATGAATCGTCACATCATTGAGAAAGTGGCCTTACCAAAGGGGGATTCCCCCAGGACCAAGCAAATGAAAGAACTTAGGGCCAAACGACTTGCTTACTTTGAAAACAGAGGGGCCTCAAGTGATAGTAGCGCAGGGCCCCAGTTGAATCATTCTCTTCCTGAGAAAAGGTATGTCTAAAATTTATTCGTGTATGGTTAATTTGGTCCCTTTTTAATGAAGTACATTTACATGGGATGTCATCACCTAATTCATTTTTACAAAACTCGTTTTTAACCCAAAAGCTGCTAATTTGCAAACAAAACAAAACAGCACATGCGATGAAAAAGCCAATCATGCTTCTACCCAAAATTAATTGGAAGTCGATTGTTATTATGAAATGCCACAAACATCCTCTATACTACATGAAATGGCCATCTAGGATAAAATTATTTCATTCTGTTGAGGTTTGCAAATATAATCTCAGATACACTGGAATAGATATTATTTATTACAGTGAGCCTCCTGTCAGACACAGAAATCCTGGACTAAAAACAACTCTACCGAACTCTGATGTGAGAATCACTAAAACAACACCCAGAGAAGGAATCAAGCAAAAGAAGACCAACACACCAAGGGGGGTTAACAAAACACTTACAGCTGCCAACACTAGTTCCCCCAGATCTAAAGGTAGCCCCAGAAATTCTGGAAACAAGGGGGTTAACCCTGGACATACAGAGTTTAATCCCTATGTTGGTAAATCTCAAAAGGCAAAAAACTATCCTGAAAATAGCAATAGCACAGCTCATCTGATCAGAAACTCAGTTACTGCTGGAAATAAGAATCATGGTGAGACACAATTGCAAGAAAAGGATTCAGCTTCACTTGGAAGAAGCAATAGAAATAAAAAAGTGAACGCAAACAGAGAGAGGGTAGATGCTGTTAATACATCAAGTACTGATGGAGGATATGTTGGTATTGGAGCAAAATCAAAGTACTCCAACATTAATACTGTGAAGGATGATATACCTCTAACGCAGATAAGTGATGCATTTACAGAGCAAATGCTTTGTAAAGATAAATGTGTTTCAGATATTATACAAAGCAGAAAGCAGCCCGCTGAAATCAAAGTTGACAAAACTCCAAAATATATTCAACATGGAGATAAACAAAAAATTGCTGATAACTGGTTTACACAAGAACAGGAAACTTTGTACACAGGTGATTCTAAGAATAAGGATGTACCAAATAGTGAGGATTTTGACCAAGATGACGTCTCTGATATTGAATTGTCCACTCATAGACTTGATGACTATGATGATTCTATTATAAGTGATGTCATCGATGCTCAGGAATATTCAAAATTGCAGTATAGCGAAAACATCACTGACAGCAGGGGAAAAGGTAATCAAACTTCCCCAAAGACACATGCAGTTGTAAATCCATGGGAAAAACCTGGTGCTGTAAAACACATAGAACGCAGACATACTTCAGATAAAACAAAAGGCAATACCAACGAAACTATGGATGATTTCAGTCAGAGAATTAAACCACGTACAAGCACAGCTTGGACAGATGAAGGTAATTTAGGATTAAGACGAAGGTTGTCCAATCAGCAACTCTCCAGCAGTAGCAATCGATCGAGTGATAGCGACACTAGAAAACATAAACTCTCCATGCAGAGATCTGTAAATAACGAGCCTAAAATATCTAAACAAACTATGAAATATTCTAACCTAAGCATGGATGGTGAGAATGATGTATCTCAGACATATACCAGAGGAATTGATCAAAATGTTTCCAAACAACTTAGGAAAAAAACAAACCCAAACATGGACTGTGATCAAGTGGATGGAGATGGTTTTAAAACACATCGTCCAGAAAATGAACCCTACGAGGGTGATTATTTTTCTACTCAGTGGACTCGTCATAAAAGTAAAAAACCAGTTGCTAAATATGCCTTTTCATCTGATGAAATTTATAATCAAGCAAATCAATTAACAAAAATGAAAGAAATGTCTAGAAATGCTTCAGAAAAAGAGAATGTGACTCATAATTCTGGCCCTGTTTATCATCAACATGCCCCTGAATATGACAGTCCTGACCCTGAATATCACCACCCTGTCCCTGAATATACTCAGGTGATGGCAAATAAACAGAAATATGAACAATCACAAAATGACTCAAATCTAGTCCATGAAGAACCATCTTCTAATCATAAAAATGATGACTTCAAATACGCAACCCTGACAAATGAAGACTTGGAACATATTGAGAGAGTCACCAAAAACATGCATAACAAATTCCTCGGGTCAAAATCAAAGCAATACCCTAGTATATTCATTGAAGAAAATAACAACAAACTTGATCTCAAAACAAAACAACCCACAAATGTTTCACACCAAGAAACAACAATCAACAAAAACAAGGACAATCGGAAAAAAACTTTGGATTTGCTATTTAGTGAAGTCAAAAAACAGGAGTGTTTGGTTGATGCGTTGGACAGACCAGAATCCCCTGATAGATATAGAAACTTTATACGTCATACTCTGACGTCTCCGGAGCCAGTAAAATTTAATCAACTGTCTCCTGAACATAAAAGTAGGACTTACAGAACAAGGACCAACTCAAAGGAGGTAAATTATTTTGCATAATAAAATCTAAACATTGTTATCAAAAAACTTGCAAAAGAGGAGTTAAACTTCCATCAACCTACAATAGTCCTTTTCATTACAATAGTTTGATATCTAAAAATGTATTCATACTATGCATCCATTATACAATCATGATCATCGAATTATTAGAAAAAGTAATCCCATTTTAGCGCTATTTGACTTGCAATATACCCTATACCTTTACATTTTGACAAACATCAATGTCAACTTACTAATATCTTGTCATTAAATAATTTATTCATTTTTATGTCCCCACCACATAATGTGGGGCCATATTGTGGGCCTAGTCGCATCCATTCATCTGTCTGTCCATCCATCTGTTTGTCCGTCTGTCCGTACACCTTTATTTCCATTTTGACAAACATCAATGTCAACTTATATCTTGTCATTAAAAAGTTTATTCATTTTTATTGTAGAATTATATGCATGAGCGGCCAACATCTGTAGAGCCTGGTGGTCACCAGCGCACCCTAAGCTCCCCTGGTCTCTCAGCACTCAAACATATAGATGGCATCAGAGGCTTCCACGAAAATAGGTTTGTGCTTTTATTGATTCATTTATTTGTAAGTTGAATTGCTTCCAATAAAAATGATTTAGAATTCACCTTTGCATGTTCATTTCTGTCATTATGGCACTACCAGAAGTGATGACACATTGTAAGTGATCTTCTATTTTGTGGCTGGTTTACGGTGGTTGGTGTTTGGTGGTTGGTGTTTGTCATCTGAAACAATAAATGGTGGTTGGTGTCTAACAAATGGCAGGTGGTGACATTTTGCATGTTTAAATGCCTTGGGATATAGTCCTGAGTAAGGACATTAGCGGTTACCGTTAGTGATTTGGTTTTCTGAATAAAAAGTCATTTTCTCCTTCCCTACCCCATTGGAGCGCCATCTGGCGTTTGGGCAGTGAATCTGGACTAAATATTTATAGGGTAGGTCCTAATTTATCTGAAAACATGTCAGAGTTCAGTGGGAAATCTCATTTTAAGCTGGCAGCGGAGTGATTTTGACCTTGGTGATTTTACCAGAATTCTCTGAGAAATCTGACGATAGAGGGGGTTAGTGTCTTCAAGTTTATTTATTTCAAAAATTCGGTGGACAACCCATGGTAAGATTGTTATAGCAGGCTAGGCGAGTCTCTCCCGAACACTGTGGTATGTTGCACTAGGCTTGGATACTGATCGTTAATAAGATACAGGGTAAAATGTTATAATGGCTACCTATGGGAAACTCTACTGTGATCTTCAACCTATTAGAAGGCGCTTTTTGGGAGCATTTTGAAGGTTTTATCCCTTTTTGAGGTTTTTTAGTTCATTGAGAAGCCTAATAGCGCATATCATATTAAAGGGCTGTATCTTAGCTGAACAATGCTACCAAAATCGTGACATTTTGAAGCAATTTTGGTGTTTTGGGGGCGAGGCCACTGTGCCAAGTACCCTGAATTCCATTCTCCCGTGCCATTCAATTGTTTTCGGGGCAGTTTTGAATGAACCTTTGTTTCTTCCTACCAATATGACGTCATAAGATGCAATCGAACGCCTTGGCATGGATATCACTTGAAAGATAGTAGAAATCGCTTTCCAATGATACCTCATATGGCCATGTTCACCTCAGTTGGGTGTACTCAATCTGTGATGCAATCTGTAAGGTGTACCCCTACCCTAAAGAAATTTCAAGAAATCTCAAAATCAAATTTCCTGAATTTTGCTAAAAGGACCTGTGTCTATAAGGATTGAATTTTCCTACGTGCATTTTCTCAAATATATGATTGTTATATACTATTGTGATTGGGATAATGCCTACAATGCTAATATAACCATGTTGGAAGAAAACAAACTAATTCAGTTTACTATTAGGATATAGTCCTGAGTAAGGACAATAGTGGTTACCGTTAGTGATTTGGTTTTCTGAATAAAAAGTCATTTTCTCCTTCCCTACCCCATTGGAGTGCCATCTGGCGTTTGGGAAGTGAATCGGGACTAAATATTTATAGGGTAGGTCCTAATTTATCTGAAAACATGTCAGAGTTCAGTGGGAAATCTCATTTTAAGCTGGCGGCGGAGTGATTTTGACCTTGGTGATTTTACCAGAATTCTCTGAGAAATCTGACGATAGAGGGGGTTAGTGTCTTCAAGTTTATTTATTTCAAAAATTTGGTGGACAACCCATGGTAAGATTGTTATAGCAGGCTAGGCGAGTCTCTCCCGAACACTGTGGTATGTTGCACTAGGCTTGGATACTGATCGTTAATAAGATACAGGGTAAAATGTTATAATGGCCACCTATGGGAAACTCTACTGTGATCTTCAACCTTGGTAGGTCATGTTGTAGTCATAATATGGACCTCTGTGACCTCTGTGGTTTTTTGGGGTATACATAAATGTGCATTGTGTACCTGATATGTTACCCAACAAACCTTAAATTGCAATTTGATTAAATAGTAAGGACCAAGCATTTTTTCTGATTTTGTGGCTCTCTAACTCTTATTGTTGGAAGCAAGTTTAAGAGTGAACGGCATTGCAATTTCTGTCAGAAACCATCGAAGATAGTAGCCAACTGGAAATGAAAGTTGCATTTGCACTAGATGTGGCGACATATTGTTATAGTCTCCAACTTTTTTATGACTGTGTTTGGTGGTTGGTGTTTTGGTCGGTGGTATTATTCATATAAAACTGAGAAAGCTTCATAAATTGTTTTGTATACCAACTCCATGCAATGGGTATATCATTTGCGTGTAACCTTCACTTAGTCCAATAATGCTTGGACTAAAAGCTATTGAAAATGACACCAGAGTAGATCAAACTCTAAAATGTTCCATTTCTTCTTAACTTTTTTAAAGGCACAATATAGTGACATGATGATATTATCATTCACATCTAAATGTATTGGGTCTTCTTAATTTTTTTCATGAAAAATAGTTTTAAAAAAAATTGTTTTAAATGAATTATTAAAAGGAACAAGACAGAATTTCATTTAAAACTACATATAAAATTAATTAAAGATTTTGAAAGAAACTCTTACAAAATATTTTTGTTCCCTTAAAACTGTATCATATTTTGCATTCTTTTCACCTGGGGAAGGGGGGAGGGGTTACTGCTTTACTATTTGTACGGGACATCGGGGGCCTCTGAGATTCAAAATGTCCACCCTTATCTAGCGTTTTTATCCTTTAAAAATGGACCCACATCTCTGTTTTTTTTATTCGAAAAGACCCAAATTTAGGGGTTTTCATTCAAAAACAGACCCACTTCTAGGGATTTTTTCAGTTTAGAGTCAAACCAGTATCGGGAAAACATATCTAGTGGGATCATAATAATTGTTGACCCACATATCCCCCACTTGGGCTTGTCACATGGGTACTTTATTTCAGAAAAAACAGATTTTCCGATACCTTAATTGACTTTATACTATGGTTACATTACATAACAACCAATACTTTGTCAATACTTGTTTGGTAAACACTTGCCTTAAAAATTAAAGACTAAATGAGTGTAAATGCTGTTTGTACTTCAATTTTAATGTTTGCCTCAGATTTGATTGGCCAGAAGGCATGTAAAAAGGAAGAACTGATAAGTGAATTGGCAAATGAAACAAATATTCAAATATACTATTAAAGTCCCCGTCTAAAGTTTGAAAATATTTTTTTATCATTCATTTACTATTTGTCATGACTTAAAAAGTTATTCTAGAGATTTTTGAAAGAAAAATTTTTTTTGAAAAAAAAGTTGTGAGCATTTCATTTTTCAAATATTCAAATTTCCCGCCATTTTTCAAAAAAAGTTGAAATTTTTTAATCATCAAATATTTCTTAATGCATTTCAAAAAAGATTATCTTTTTAACACCAATGCAAAGATTGATCGAAGGACACACTATTTCAATAATAAAATGCCATATTTAATGGGCCACTTCAATGTTTTAGCATATCAAAAATATTTTGCACCATTAGTGATGTCACTAAGGTACCAAAAACTTTTTGAAAAAAATTGAAATTTTTTTTTCGACGTCAATCTTTTCTAATTATGCTAGACTTCAATAATATACCAATGTTGATTGTCTAACCAGGTTAAAAGGAAGAATATATTATGTTTTAGATATCATTGTACCATTGGTTTCTATGAGAACTAGAATTTTTAAATGCATTTTTCTCGGAACCATTTTCATGCACTGATAAGTTCATTTCTCGCTTATTTATGAACCGATTTTCTTAATTTTTTCAGCAAAAAACATGTGAGGATGAATGCTATGCATTGGTATGTGTTGTTGCTAATTAAAAGATATTTGTGACCTCTAAAAGTTAGTTTTAAATAAATTCACAAATTTTGGAACAAAAAGTCTATCAAAAACCACTTTTTGAAATTTAAAAAAAAAGTTTCACATATCACACTTTGATAACATTGGGTAAGACTACAATATAAGCCAAAGTGGTTTAAACTTTAGATGGGGACTTTAATGAAGATTTTCAGTTATAATCAAACTCCTTAATCATACTTGTTTCAGATATAATTTTTGATATTCCATAAAAATAACTTTAGGAAGAGCAATTTATTCATTAATAATTCATACTTTATCACATTGAAAATATGAATGCAGATTGACACTGTTGCATCTTTATTTACAAACATATTGTTTTAACATTTAGTGATTGGTCTGTCATGTTATAGAAGCTAAGTAAATTTTCATGTAAACATGAAATGTAAATGTTTTGAAATGACACTTTATTGACTTATTTTGGCAACATTTGTTTTAAAAAGGTCTGTGTAAACAGTAGGTTATATCAATGGCAAAATGCAGTCTAATTTTAATTTACAAATAAATGGCTACATAAATGTATGTGGACAATGGACACCCCCCCCACAAAAACCCATAACATAAGATCGTACAATGGATTGGAAACGAAGGACCCCTAATGTTCCCATGTTGTGTAATGTGACAATGTCACATTGCAGATTTTGTTTTGTGGCAAATAAAGTAATTCAAAAAATCTATAAACCAAATACATGTACTTTGCTAATTAATTCCTGATAATTACATTGTAATATGGTTTTTCCCTCAGTTATTGATTCTTAATGCTTTGACTTGGTTGTTTTATTGGAATTATGAAAACTTGTTGCAGAAATGTCAAATACATCTGCTGCCATACATTATTTGATGAAATAATTAAAATCATTATTTTAAAATAAACTATGAGCAGGTCTTCTAGTTCTAATACACATCTTCATTTTTATGTCACCAACAGAAGTGGTGACATACTGCTATTGTCTCCAATTTTTTGTGGATATTATTTGGTGGTTGTTTGGTTGGTTTGATGGTTGGTATTTGACAGTCAATGTCTGTAACAAATGGCTGGTGGTGATATCTCGCATGTTAATGCCTTGTTACTGAATATGTGCTAAATATATATATTTTATGTCTAGCTAATTGCAAATATCTATGAAGTAATTTTTAGTCTTTTGTTTAATTTTTAAAATTTTCATGAGATCAAGTTCACAAAATTGTGTTCGCCAAGTAAGTTGCGTGTTTGCTTTTGAATGCATTCTTGAGTGGTTGCAGATTGTAGTTCAAATGTTTGATCAATTACGATATTAATAGAAGTCAACTTCTATAAAACTGTTCATAATTTTATAGTCTAGTTAGTTTGCTTTTGAAGTGTGATTTTAGAGTTGGATTAAAATGTACATCACATGGCGCAAACTATTGTGAGTATAAATATTGCGTGTAAATAAAAAAAATATTTTTGAATTATTTTTCACATAATAATCCATATTTAAATGTTTATTTAATTTATAATTCCAGGACATTGCAAAACAAATCTCCTGGTAGTCATGGCACCAGTGCATCGAAAGAGAATCTAAAACTTGAAGGCTCGTACTCGACTACATCTCTAGATCGCTACTTCTCATCGATTCAGGATATATCATCCAAAAACTCTGTTCATTCTGAAAACTTTGAACCAATCCCCGAACCATCAATTGAGGAAACTCCAAGGATTAGCATTGATCATATATTCGATGAGAAACTAGCTAAGCAATCGCCAATCTCAGATAGCGGGTATAGCTCAAAGGATTTAGGCTCCAGAGAGAAAGTGAGCCGACCCAAGGATGTGAGTGAACCTAACAAAGAGATTATAAATACGGGTATCGCACAGAATGAAAAACAAAACCAGGAGAGCGGAGGTGTAACAGCTAGACTTGAAAAACTTGGGATCAATCCATCTTTATTCATTGAAAAATCAAAAAATACCCTAAAGGATCCAGCGAAAGTTAACGATGACAAAGACATTGTGACGGTCTGCCCTGATTGTCAAGGAGTGAATAAACCCTACGTGACTTGGTGTTTGGAATGTGGTTGTGTTTTGATAGGTGTTGATCCTGTTCCACGAAAATTAAAATCATCACAACGGCCAAAAGTTCAAAACAATGATGTGAGATCCTTGGAAAACCACAATAAGGATGATGTGTATAATTATATGGAAAATGATACACCAGATGAGTTAATCGAAATAGATGATGAGGAAGAAACACCAAACAAAACGTATGAAAAATGCAATAATGTTAAAGAATTGTACAATCAGGATGAGCTGCCGTTAGATAGTGAGAAGTATAATGACATTCAAGTAGAATATAAAGACACAAATCCTGGTGAATATTCAGACGATCAATCTCCAAGATACGAACAAGATAATGAATATGAGAGTGAAAATGATTATGAAGATCAAAACAAATTCCTTGATGAAGAAATTCATGATGAAGAACATAATGATTACACCAAAGGAAAGGACTATAAAGACCACCATGACTTTGCTAGTCAAAATGATTATGAGGGTAGCCATAATGACTATGCTTATCAAAAAGGTTATGATGATAGTCAGAATGATGACACCAACCAAATGGATTATGAGGACAACCATGATGATTACACCAATCAAAAGGATTATGAAGATGACCACAGTGAAGAGGACTATGACTCATTTTTTAAAGACTATAGAAAACATGTCAGAGAATACGAAGAAGATATAGGTGAACCCATGCTACAGGAATATGAAAACAGTCACGACAACCTGGACAATGTCAAACTCAGTAGTAGCTTAAACCAGAAGAACTCCACCTTACCCGATGCCCTACGTGCAGAATTATCACTCACCTTGGAAGATTCATTCACTGCTAAAATCCCTGGTGCCAAGGATAAGTTTCAGAAGCTCTTAGAGGACTCTTTCAATTCAGAAAATGGTTTATTCGGCAAGCATAACAGGACTCAGAGCCAGGAAAGCAGAGGTTCAGAGTATGAGATCTTTGAGAGAGTTAATGATAGCTTGGAGCGAACTACTAGTAGGAACAATTTCAATATACCTATGTTGAATTTATCTGTTATGAGTGATCATAGTGATGATGATGAGGAGTTTGTTGCGGAAGACAGTCCTAAAGTTGATCAAGCTATTGGTCCTGACAATGGAGCTATGTTTATCAGTCCAAAACAAGACACTGAGCGAAGTGCTCAAAATACGCAGACATATCGTGAAGAAGGAGCAATGTACATAAGTCCAAGGCCCGGTGCAGAACGTAGCGATCAAGAGACACAGTCATTCCGCGATGCTTACCAAGAAAACAAACAAGTTAATAGACTCCTTCAGGAAGCTGGATTTAAAAGAGACAATCTTCCGTCTCCAAAACCTCCAAAACCAACCAAATCCAAAGCCAAACCAGCCGTCTCAAGTAAAGTAAAAGAGACAATAGAATCAAAATCTTACACCCGTCATTGGCAAAAATCGAGCACTGCTTGGTCATCTTATAATCCCAGAGAACTAAAATCGAGATCGAGTCTTCCGCTGAGATCATCAATGCCTAGCCCAGTCTCAAACAAATCCAAATCAAATATAAACCGTCCAAATAAATCTCAGGAAAATCGCCCGGGGTCTGCAACCCGCAATCGAGGGAATTCAGCAAAGGCAGCAAATATAAGAGCTCAGAGAAACAAACCAAGGAGTTTTAGGAGCAGCGTGCTGGAGGAGGAGGTCCACATGATTGAAAGTGGTGGAGAGTCAAGAGATCAAGGCTCCAATGAGCCTGTTGAAAAGGGTCAAGGGGACTTTTTCACAGTTGGCGGAGCAAAACTGTCAAAAGGTAATCCTAGCTTAAAACTGAATTACTAAAATGTATGTCTAGGACTTGCTTAGTTTTGATCAAATTCAAAAATGCACTAAAGATTGGATTAGTTACTGAAAGAAAGTGTTTGGAGAAAATAGGAAATAATGTGACATTCTCAAACAATGCTAATAATCCCTTGTATGAATCCTCATTACATGTTAGTTTATAACAAGAAGTTATTCCACAATATTCATTTTAGGTCCAGTATCTGAAATCAGAAGATCTGAAGACCCCTACGCAAAATACATAGCAATGGTGAGAAGTTTCCCTATTTGAAATATATTTAATTTCAGTATGGCAACCATGATGAGAATAAATAATATTCAGCGCATTTTATATTCAAACAAAAATAATATTCATTTAGATTTTAGATGAAGAAAAATTGAATCAGCAGGGAATAAAGCCAAGTACGATATAACTAGTATTAACACTCTATACTGTATAAGTGGTATTTAATCGGAGTGGTTAATTTGCCAAATTGGTAAATTATATCATTTTCCTAATGACAAAAAACTTCCCATTGGATAACATTATGAAGATTATATTTCTCATGCTTATTTTTCCCAACCTGGCAAAATTTGAGCAATAGACAAACAAAATGATTAGGCAAAATTACCATTTATATGTAAATAGTTAAATTCTCACATATAATATGTAAAAGAGGGAAATAGAATGGAAAATCATACCCAGGAGAAATAGTCTTATATATCCGTTTTGTTTGCAGAGTCCGCGAATAGAGGAAGGAGATTTTTCCATCTGGTTATGTTTACCTGATGAGGTATTACTGTCCATATTCTCATACCTTCCCCATTCAGTCCTGGCCAGGTGTGCTCTAGTGTGCCAGCAGTTCTACAGAGTAGCCATGGATGATAGTCTCTGTAAGTAGTAAGATGGGTCAGGGTGAGGGGTTAGGACACAGGTTACAGGTCACAGGTTAGGCAGGTTACAATTCCATGTTAGGGAGTTTGGGTTAGGGTAAGGGGGGCAACTGTGCACCATGGATGATAGTCTTTGTAAGTAGTAAAGATAAGTTCGGGTAAATAGGCCTGTTGCCCTGTTGCAGCTCCCAATTCCATATTAGAGATTTTACATTTTGGCATGCCATCTCCTGATACCTTGGTGAACTAAGTCATGTGATCATTTATATCCAATCAGAATGCATTTCTGCCACATAGTGATAGCATAGTGATCCAAAGCTAAACCAAGGTGTAGGAAGGGTTTATATTATCATATAGAAGGGGTGCACTTTTCTAATTGGCCATGGTTGACATGCATGTTTGCAAACTTAGTACTTGCATCAAGAGCTCTGATTGGCATCCTAACAAAATAAATTCATACTACACTGATGCCTGGGTCACATTTGCTCCGTTTGTTCAATGATGTACTCAATTTTGAACAAAATACTCAATCGGCATGGCGCCGTAGTGAAAATCGGAGCAATCTGCATTCCTTGTACTCAGTGTATACCAATAGCCCATTTTCAGCATAGCAATTTCTAAGAAGGGTTTCCAAAATGCTCCATCATGGAATACCTTGACCCCCTCTTCATACATGATAGACACAGACATGTTTCTAGATGCGATGTGTACCAGAATGAAAGCTCTGGCTTCTTCCTAACTTGGCGGGAGGGTGCAAAGTACTTTCTTGATCATTAAAAATAAATGCCATTGTCACAGGAACTCTGCATTTTATGTAAATCCATTGAATATTTATCTGCATGCTCGAAGTTAAGTAAGTTAAGAAGATCAGATTCTTTATAACACTTGATCCAAATCTATTTGATATTCAAAATCTAAGTAAACCTCTCTTTTTGAGGAACCAACTATCTATCATATTATTCAGATTGGATTAATCAATATTCGCATACTCTCTCTAGTTTGTATGAATGAATGACCCTAAACATCATGTGAAAGACTTCTCAGAAAATGTGCCCAATATATTACTCTAAATCATACATGTCATAGGACCTTTGAAATTTTGAAAAGTTGTCTGAAACAAAAATTGTGATCATAAAAAGAGAATGGATTGCTTTCTCATTTTTTCTATTTTTAGGAATGAATTCAAATTTTAAAAAGCTTCTATAATTTCAAATAATATATTTGGCACATTTTCTCAAAAGTGCAATAGATTCTGTCTGGTGACCTTTCTAAAACTCCAACTTTTAACTGTTTTTGAGTCACATTTTCTGAGTCACACTCCTCTGTGTATACTTTCTCCAGTATGTATGAATCGAAACTAGGTTAATTTCCCATGTGCCTAAACCAATATTTTATTGTTTTATTTACTTTCTGTGTATGTGTGTATGGACAACTATTTATATTTTTCCAGTGTATATATGAAACAATAAATTTTAACTGTGTGTATTGACAAATATCATGTACTTTCTCCAGTGTGTATGAGCAAATATTATGTACTTTCACTAGTTATTTAACCAATACCCTGTACCTGTACGTTCATACACAATGGAGAAAGTACATAGTATTTGTTCATACAAAATGTGTGTTCATTAACAATGGAGTACATGATATTTGTTGATACATACTTGAGAAAGTATATACACAGGCGTGTTGGTTCATATACATGTCCATACTGGAGAAAGAGCGTAATGTCTCTTCATACACATTATAGATATTGTAGTACATTAAATTCGTTCATACTCACTGGTTTAGGTACATTTTATTCGTTCTGACACATTGATTAATTAACAAAATATTGAAAACACGGAAGAGAATGAACAACGTTTTGGTTCATGCACAATGGAGAAAGTACAAATCATTTGCTTACTGGCTTATGCATGTTGGAGAATGGACACAAAATATTTGTTCATACATGCAGGAGAAAGTACAAAAATGTGTTCATTGAAAGTGGAGAACCCAGATTATATACTTTCTCCAGTTTGTATGAACAAATTAATCAATGTGTTTCATGCAACACATTTTAATTTGTAATTTAAGGTGCTATGTAAGTTAACAGAAATGACTAAACAAAAAATGTTAAAACCATGCTGGATTCTGAAATTTCTTTGAACCAAGATAACAGAGTTCTGTTTGGACCTCCAGTCAACTAACTAGTTCAACATATTTACATGACCGGGAACACAAGGAAAATGGTCAGAATGACCATAAACATGATGAAATAACCTTTTCAGCCCTCTGAAATTGTGACTGAAAAATAGCTAAAGGTAGGTGCTCAGGAAAGGTCAATGAACAGAATCTCTTGATTCTTTCAGAAAATTTGTCTAATATATTGCTCTAAATGATACAATCTTTGAAATTTTAATAAATTGTCTGAAACAATAATTGCTGTAGTTTAAAGGAAAATAGATCGATTTTAAATTCAGTTTTTTTTTCTTTTTTTCTTTTTCTGAGAATGATATGAATTTTTTAAAATTGTATCATTTAGAGTAATATATTGGGCACATTTTCTGAAAAAGTCAAAAGATTCTGTTCAGTGACCTTTCCTGAGGACCTACTCTTAACTATTTTTCAGTCACATTTTCAGAGGGCTGAAAAGGTTATTTCATCATGTTTATGGTCATTCTGACCATTTTCCTTGTGTTCCCAGTCATGTAAATGATATGTGGAACTAATTAAACTGACTGGAGGTCCAAACAGAACTCTGTTATCTTGATTCAAAAGATTTTCAAAATCCAGCATGGTTTTGACATTTTTTGTTTTGTCATTTCCTGTTAACTTCCATAGCACCTTAATTTGTATTTCCAAGTAAGATTTTTTAGAATTGTGCCTGTTTGTGAAATTTAGTCAATAAACTAACCATAAATGTCTGCAATAATAGAAAAATCAATAGTGATTTTTTGGGCATTTTGGTAAAGCCTTTGGTTTGTAATGGGAAGATTGTCGTTATCACTAGAACTGTTCTGCATGGGGTCTTTTGCACAATTGATAAATTATATACTATACTAATACATCACTATATAGATTTGCAATGTCTAGGTTTTATTCAAGTAACTGACTCTACTGAGTGTGTATTCAAATGTTGTGCTTATAAAATGTATCGACTCCTATACTACCTTTTGAATGAAAATAAACTCTTCCAAAAGTGATAGGACCTTAGTGCACCCATGCCATGGTAAGGACCTTAGGTTGGCATGCCAAAATGTAAAATCTCTATTAGGGTACATGACAATTGGGGTGGCGTGAGGGGGCAAATTGTGTTCCTAGCCTTAAAGTGTGCGCCTGACCCGGCTACGTATAGCACAGAGTTTATACTGGCGGATTAGACTAGTTCATTTTTTATATGTGTGTGAAAGCTTTCTCTTATTTGCGTTTTTTCGTTTAGTACGGTTTTGTTATAACTGCCGAGGTCATATAACCGGGATAAAACAATGATTATCGTTGACTGCCCACACACAAAACATACGTTGAGTGAACAGTGTTATTACAAACAACAGGCTTTAGAATACAAAGCGTAGTGTGATAATAAGTTGCACACTACCACTGCTGCATGTACATATTACTAATTTACTAGGGCTCCCAAAGAGTGGATAGGGAGGTTGTGTTTGTCACTTTTAAATTTTACATTTCAAAATTGTCATTTTACATGTCATAATTTGTTGGTTTCATTCGTTTAGCCAATCAAAACATTGTAAAACAATAAATTGTCTGTTACGTACAATCAATTTTGTTCAGTTTTGATTAGTTGTCAGAATAAAGTTACGTTCATCTGAATCCATGTATGAAAACAAAAATCCTATTTTCACTTCAAAATACTTCAGTGAGATGAAGGTTCGGAATTGTCACATGCAATAACTTATTGTCGTATTCGTTATTTTATTTTCTCGATAGTAGCATTTAGTCGCACATTTGATGCCAGGTCACCTTGTCGCGTACCTCTTGGGGAACCCCACATTTATGTGTGTACTCATGGAAGTAAATTCCCCGGTGTAGCCGAGAGCCACAAACTTTTCAACAGGTTCGAAATGACCAATTTCTCTCATATATACTCTAAATATTTTATTATTTAGCACCTACAAAGTATTGCTAATAACCATATGTAATTTCAATAAGGAAACTTATCTGGCTACATATAAATTCAATATCAACACTAGCTGTTCTCTCAACACGTCCTGGCTTACCTTGTGGTGACAAACCCTGGGTTTTCGCTATTTATAGTTTATCAACACCTGGACGCATGCGCATTTTATACTTTATCGGGCACTTTAAGGCTTTACCATTTTGCACTTATGTAATCTTACTTTAAAAGTATAAGTTCGCTGAAGTTAGTCATTTTTTTAGACGAGACAAAACCAGTCAAAATAGGTTATAAGTCATTAATTACTAGGAGGCTTGAAACAAACCATTGATAAAATTCAGCATCAACAATGTAATTCTGAATTCTATTTATAATCAGCAACTCAACTTTAGAATATTAAATTGTTTTATTTTAGGGAGAAGTATTTCCCTAGCGAACAAACATAATGTTAAAGATGACTGGTTGGTGTGTATCGGGCAACATAGACCTAGACAACTGAATCTAGCGTACTGCAAGGGGAAAAGAGTCACCAGTAAAGGACTAAGGGAACTTTTCAGGCTCTCTGCTGACACACTTCAGGTAACACTTGCCTTCAGTTAATGGTCTGTAAGGAGAGGTATCTTTTTATAGGACAAAATTCTGGGCCTGAATACCAAGAGATAAACCAAGATTGGACTCCAGTCAGTCAAAAAATATCCTTGTTTGGTAATCCTTGTGTGTTGGAATATAGATGGTATACAGGGGCGTAACCAGCTTTCAGGCAGGGGGATGCGATCGCCCCAAAAATTTGGTTTTCAGTCAGGGGTTGTGATTGTGGCATAAATAAGCCAAAAAATTAAGATTTATCTTGAATTTTACAAAAATTGATGCGATCGATCGCACCCCCCTGGCTTCGCCTATGGTATAAATAAAAATTGTTCATTTCATACTATTTTAGATAAATTAATTGTTTTAATAAGAAACAGTAAAAGAGATAGGGATTATATACTAGATCTTATAGTGCACTGCTTGTATGCAAAATCTTATGAAGCATCAGGCATAAAATTCTAATTTAAAGTTTGAACAAATTTTGAAGATTTCATTTTATTTTCAGGAACTTGACATCACAGGTTGCAATGAAGGTGAACTAAAGGGTGATTCTCTGATCTTACATGCATTCTCACGTTGTACGGAGATCAGGAAATTAGATGCAAGCTGGTGTAATATTGACAACAATCAGCTAGCAGTTATCTGTGATAATGCAACAAGGTAAATGGTCAGACTTCAAGCCCATGTGGCAATCATCCCTTCTGCCATTTTTTGGCTCACACAGTGAGCCTATGGGATCGACCAGGCTTCCGTCTGTCCGTTGGTCTGTCCATCCGTCCGTTGGTTCATCCGTCCATCCGTTGGTCCGTAGGTTGGTCCGTACATCAGTCAGTTGGTCCATCCGTCCGTCCGTTGGTCCGTCCATCCATCCGTTGGTCCATCCGTCCGTCAACATTGGCTGCACAAATTAAAACTGCTATTCGGATCGCGTCATATCCACATTCATTTTATGCATATCCATAATGCCTATTTGACCTATCATCGCCATTTCCCAAGTTCGCCCAGTTTCCGAGAAATTGCGGATTTTGATGTCAAAAAGTCAACTTTTCTGTAAACACTAGACACTTTGTTGAAGTAGAACTTTCAAATAACTTTTAGTAGTTGCTGTATATGCAACTTATGTCCTCTGAAGATTTCAAAGCTCTCGGAATTACAGTTTTTGGTTTTTACTCTATAAAATTTGACAAAAAGTAGGACTTAGTCATTTTCAAGAAACTTTCTCTTGTATAAAGTCAGTGGCAGGTTTTGTGATTGACAAGTTTCTCAAAGTTTGCCTTATACTTGATCATTTCTTGCAATGAATTACATCATTACTAGATTTAAGCATTCCCTACATATTGCTCAATATATGTCAGCATCAAATTTTTACCGTTTTTGAGATATTTGACGTAAAAAAACAGTAAAAATAAGTTATTTTTCAACTTGCTTCAATTTGACCAATTTTTTTTTAAATCATCTACAAGTTGCCAGGAGTTCAAATCTGACATTAGATTTTTGGATGTAAATTTTGGTCAGCTTAATCACAAAAGACCTTATTCACAGGCTGGTATCGAAAGATTTGTCCGCTGTGACGGAGCATGCTATTTTTCATAAAAACACTAAGAATGCTTCACGATTTATTTTTTAACTCATATGTCTCGTTATATCAAAGATAATTACTCACTCCATGCAATGGATATATCATTTGCGTGTAACCTTCACTACTGTTTGAAGTCCAATAACGCTAGGATTAAAATCTATTGAAAACGGCGCCAGAGTATTAAACTCTAAAATGAACCATTTCTTTTTTAACTTTTTAATGGCATGATATAGTGACACGATAATATTAACATATGTTTTCAGCATATCTCTGAATGTATTAATGAGATATTAATGCATTGGGTCTTTTTAAATTTTTTATAAAAAATGATATTAATATTTTTTGTCCGCTGTAACGGAGCATTTTCACAGTTTACATTTGCAACTGCTCCGTCACAGCGGACAAAAAAATCAAACATTATTTTTTATAAAAGAATTAAAAAGACCAAATACATCAACATCTCATTTATACCTTCATAGTTATGCTGAAACCATGTGTAAATATTATCGTGTCACTATGTCGTGCCATTAGAAAGTTAAACAAGAAATGGTACATTTTGAAGTATGATACTCCGGCGCCATTTTCAATAGATTTTCTTCCCAGCGTAATTGTACTTCAAACAGAAGTGAAAGTTACCCGCAAATGATATATCCATTGCATGGAGTAAGTAATTTTGTATGGTATAACGAAAGATATGAGTTAAAAAATAAATCGTGAAGTATTCTTAGTGTTTTTATGAAAAATAGCATGCTCCGTCACAGCGGACAAATATTTCGATACCAGCCTGTGTTATTGAGCTCTGAATTAGTAAAATTTTCAAGGTCAAAGGTCTTCAAACTAGGTCAGACAACTGTGCTATCTAAGTTTCTCAAAGGTCAAGACTACAAATCCAAATCAATATTTTTGTTTGAAAGTCAGTATATACATTCCTCCGAAGGTTCCAAACTGTGTGAGCACAGGACCATGGGTCCTTCATTCTAGAAGGGGAAGGTACAATTTGGGTGAAGCAGGGGGAGGGGGGTCTTAAGGTTTAGTGCAAGACAATAAGTATGTGCTGCGCTATCGATATAGCTTATTCACAAATTTGAAACATGCTTCCCCACCACATAGTGTGGGGCCATATTGTCGGCCTAGGCGCGTCCGTCTGTCCGTCCGTACGTCCGTCCGTCCGTCTGTCCGTCCGTCCGTCTGTCCGTACGTCCGGGAGTTTTCTCCAAAACCGCTACAAATATCACCTTCAGATTTTCAGGGATAACTTATGAGTGCATACAGATGTGGATGAAAAAATTTTAACTCGATACCTACTTCCTGTCGGCCATTTTGAAGTCAAATGCTAAAATCCTTGTCTGCAAACTTTAAGAAAAACGGCTTCACAGTTGCTTTTAAAACTTTAACATCTTGTTCAGCTCACTTCATTCTAGATCTGATTAGGTTTTGGACCTGTTAGCTCAGTCATGTCAGCCATTTTGAATGTCTTAAGAAAAGTTAGCGCACGATAATACTTTGTATCATATTCAATGGTGTTTTTGAGTTTTCATACTTTAACTATTTAGTAGCTTTATAAATGATTTCAGATGTACTTTGTTGTAAAAGCCTATGTAATTGTTAACAGTAGTTATATGTGATAATTTTGTAAGAAGAAATCAGTAAAAACACATAATCACTTTTTTATTGTCGGCCATTTTGGATTTTTCCGTCCTAAAATCTTGTCTGTGAAGTCTTGTCTACGTGTTTTTAGGTGAACCGTTTGGTGGATCAATTTCAAATTTTCAGGGATGATTCTTAGTATAAAAACCTAGATCTGGTTTGTTTTTTGGCATTCTGGGTAAATGTCAAGGCAGCCATTTTGGATTTTCCGTCCTAAAATCTTGTCTGTAAAGTCTTGTCTACGCGTTTTCAGGTGAACCGTTTGGTAGATCAATTTCAAATTTTCAGAGATGATTCTTAGTATGAAAATGTAGAACTGATTAGTTTTTTGGCATTCTGGGCAAATGTCAAGGCAGCCATTTGGGATTTTCTGTCCTAAAATCTTGTCTGTAAAGTCTTGTCTATGCATTTCCAGGTGAACCGTTCTGTAGATCAATTTCAAATTTTTAGGGATGATTCTTAGTATGAAAATCTAGATCTGATTAGTTTTTTGGCATTCTGGATAAATGTCAAGGCAGCCATTTTGGATTTTCCGTCTTAAAATCTTGCCTGTAAAGTCTTGTCTACGCGTTTTTAGGTGAACCGTTTGGTAGATCAATTTCAAATTTTCAGGGATGATTCTTAGTGTGAAAATCTACATCTGATTAGTTTTTTGGCATTCTGTGTAAATGTCATGGCAGCCATTTGGATTTTCTGTCCTAAAATCTTGTCTGTAAAGTCTTGTCTACGCGTTTTCAGGTGAACCATTTGGTAGATCGATGTCATATTTTCAGGGATGATTCTTAGTATGAAAATCTAGGAACAGATTAGTTTTTTGACATTCTGGGTAAATGTCAAGGCAGCCATTTTTGATTTTCCATCCTAAAATCTTGTCTGTAAAGTCTTGTTTACATGTTTTCTAGTTAACTGTGTCACTGATCAATTAACAATTTTCAGGGGTGGTTCTTAGTTTGAAAATCTAGAACTGACTAAATTTTTGGCATTCTGGATAAATTTTAAGGTGGCCATTTTGGATTTTCCGTCCTCAAATTGTGTTGGTAAAGTCTTGTCTACTCATTTTCAGGATAACCATTTCATGGGATCACCCATTGGTGGGGACATTTTGTACACATTTGTGTTCTTGTATAACAGCCTGTTGATTATCTCAGATTCAACTTCTGGGCTGTTATAAAATATATGCCAGAGATTTTAAATGTTAAGTCTTTGTTTATGAAATATATTTAGAATTTTTTGCATTGAAGCCTCAGAGTTGCCAGGCCGGTAGCCATGCAGTTTTTCACTATGCAGTTTTTCACTGGATTTTTTTAAAAGGTAAACCCCCCCTTGGTAAATCCTTGCTACAGGTCTGGTCACTCTTCATCACTTCATCACTTGTGATCAATCAATATACTGATTTAAATGTATCTATTTTCAGGTTAGAGAGTATAAGTCTAAAGGGCTGTCAGAATATTACTGATGAGGGTGTGGAAATGCTTGCCCTAACTCATGGCACAAGGTCAGTACAACTACTAAATAATAACAAAACTTGGAGTTTCAGCTTTAAACTGCAGATTATAAGATTATAACTAAACTAAAGGACTGTTTACCTAGAATATCCAGATTTATTGAGTGAGGAATAACTTTAGAGTCCTCTCTGGGTTATCTGCCATTGATTTGATCCAGTGTGTCCCAAAGTAAAGAATTTGGTTTGTTTGATATGGCATGTTTTCTGTCTGATATACAATACTTCTTTATGCTACACTCCCTACATGAAGAATAACAGTAAGCAATGATACCTCAAATTAAGAAAAAAATAAAGTTTACATTTTCTAATTTTTCAGCCTTGAATCCCTGGACTTGTGTGGCTGCATACAAGTGACCAATGAAGGCATCTACAAACTGTCTGTGAATTGTAAAGGTTTACTGAGTCTTAGTCTCGGGGAATGTTACAAGGTAAATGAATCTCTTTATTTGGCTCGTTTTCTGATGTAATACAAATACCTAGGGTGTATCTTCAACAGTAAAAATAATTTTGATAAACAAATATGCTATCTTAAAGAACAATCTAGAAAAGCTTTATTCAAAATAAAGCAACAATATCACAAGTTTAATGACATTCCCATATCAGTTGCCTTACATTTATTTGATTCACTTGTCCAACCAATTTTGATGTATGGTTCAGAAATATGGTCAAGTAAAAAACATATCAAGTCACTTGAAACTATTCACCTGTCCTTTTTAAAAAGCATTCTTGGTGTGAAAACATCAACTGCAACCCTAGCAGTCTATGGGGAGCTGGGTCGTTTCCCCCTTAGTTTGTGCTTTGATATTAATCTTATTAAATATTGGATACGGCTTATACAACTTTGTCCAGATAACCTCCTTTATAAAGCATATCTATATGACTATGAAATGTACAGTTTAGGATTTAAAAATACTTGGTCAAGTAAGGTTCATAATATTTTAAAAGATTGTAATCTTGAAAGCACTTGGAATGAACAAGTTGTTGATGATGACTATGTATTCAAAAAGAATCTAACTAAAACATTGCACCAAAATTATAAGGAGAAATGGAAGTGTGATTTACAATTATACCCAGTTTTAAGAACATACATTAAATTCAAAACAATTTTCGAAAGAGAACAATATTTAAGCCTTCAAAACAAAAATCACAGGCAATCAATTTCACAACTGAGATTAAGTTCACATAAATTACAAATAGAACTGGGTAGACATGTAAAACCACGGCCAAAACCTGAATATGAAAGATTGTGAACTTTTGTGGGGAAATAGAAAATGAGGTTCATTTCATGATTAAATGCCAAATACTAGAGGTGTCAAGTATTAACCGGTTAACCGGTTAACCGCCGATAATGCCTTGACCGGTCTGTGTTTTTATGGGTGGTTAGTTGACCGTGTATAATACTGTTATTTCCCGCGCTTATATTGCATGCTAATCTGTTTTGTTTTAAAGTGTCAGTTTCACGTAACCTACTCACACATGTCATAAGTCCTATAACTCCTAACACATCCAATCAGCAACTTTAATCCCTGTCACATTGCTTTCCCGCGCTAACTTTTTATGTTAATCTGTTTGTTTTTCAAGCGTCAGTTTCATGTGAGCTACTCATACATGTGATAGGTTCGATAACTCCTTACAAACATCCAATCAGCAACTTTAAATCCCTGCCACATTGCTTTCCAACGCTTTCTTTGCATGTTAATCTGTTTGTTTTTCAAGTGTCAGCCATGTGTAATCAACTCATAGGCCAGATAATTCCTTTAATTTTACATCTTGCAAAACAATTTATTAATAAATAAATGCATTTTTTAATTCGTCAGTTTTGTGATTATTGTTGTCTATCAACGTCGCCAAAATGTCAAAGGTCAAAGCCTCGCTTTGGTAGTGAGAAAATTAAAATTAAAATAAACACTAATCAGCTGCAATTCTCGTTGTTACGATGCGTTCGTGGAGATTCCAAGGGTAAACCAGTGTGGTAAGTAATTTAGAGGTAGTCAGGTAGTGTGTGAAGAGAATAGAGTAAAGCTTGACGAACGTAAAAAATAAACGTCGATATATCATTTTTGCAATTTGTTCAACTTTCAAGATCGAAGATGAAGATTTCATCTGAAATTATCAGTTCAAATTTCCCGCCGGTCAATCGACTTTAACCGGTAAAAACACCCGGTTAACCGGTTAATGCTCAAGCAGTTAATTGACACCACTACCAAATACATAGAGAAAATAGAAGAATATTGTTTGACAACATCACTAGCAAAATTAATGTTGATCAACATGATCCTGAAAATACATTCATTATGTTAATTTCTTCAAAAGATAAATATGTGCAAAAGCAAGTTGGAAGTTTTATTACGAAATCATTCAAAAACTTAAACTTGCCTGGGGATTAACATTTTGGATGCATCACACCTAAAGTATATTATAACATATGTAAATAACAAGTTTTTTGTATAAATTGTATATATTAGTGTAGTGTAGTGTAGTGTAGTGTAGTTTTTGTAAAATTTCATTTTGTAATGACTAATATGTCAGGTCATGACATCTAAAGAGTCAATAAAAGATATATATATTGTCATTAATCATTATAAAAATGAAATGAAATTAACTGATAAACTGAGGTTTAATGCAATTCAGAGACTTGGTGCAAGACTACTCCTATAACGTAAAATCCAAAATTCAAAGAACAAAGAAAATATATTATCATAGGAAGTGAAAAAAGAAAGCCTTGCAGCACTTATGCGTGTCTTTATCTATTTCCTATAGTATCTCAGGAATGGTATTAAAAGGAATTGCATACCTTCTTTTTTTAGAAATTATCAGATTTCTGTGAATAAAATTCACATTCAGTCCTTTATAATCTATTGTTAACATTTAGTTTTTCTATTTTTGCAGTTATCTGATGTATGTATAGGCCAACTGTCTATGAGTCTGTGTGGCCTAGAGGTGCTAGATCTTAGAGGATGTAAACAGGTAAAGACCAAGTACTTTTCTGCTTGTTTCAGTTCAAAAGGTTTTCCCCAAGGGTTAGCTTGAATGTTTTTTCTTTTCTTTAAATGCTGAGATAAGACTCAGGCCCGTAGCCAGGATTTGCCAAGGGGGGGGGGGGGTTCAGTTTTCAAAGATTTCCAGGGAGGGTTCACATTTGACAATTTTGGGCCAAATATGGCTAAAATCACTTGAGAAGTGCTCAAAATGGTGAAAAACTGCATGATTTTTAACCCTGCAAACCCTCCTGGCTACGGGCCTAAGGCTCTATAGATAAATCATTTGGTTTTAAAGGGGTTTCTAATCTCTGCTACCAGGGTCAGACCAAACTTTGAAAAAGCTGCTGAATTGACATCAGTTCGCCCTGATGGGTTTTCTTGCATCTGTCTATCTTGGTGGATGGGCAGGTGCAAAGTAAATTTTGTAAATTCCAAGAGAACTGCTTGTCCGTTCACCTTGAAATTCTTACAGATGCAAAAGCAGACAAGTGCCAACATCTGGTTATTCAGACCAAATCTGAGAATCATATTTGTTCTGTTTTTAGATCAAAGATGATTGCATAAGGCGTGTGCTGAGGAACTGTCTGAGAATCATATTTGTTCTGTTTTTAGATCAAAGATGATTGCATAAGGCGTGTGGTGAGGAACTGTCTGAGAATCATATTTGTTTTGTTTTTAGATCAAAGATGATTGCATAAGGCGTGTGGTGAGGAACTGTCTGAGAATCATATTTGTTCTGTTTTTAGATCAAAGATGATTGTATAAGGCGTGTGGTGAGGAACTGTCTGAGAATCATATTTGTTCTGTTTTTAGATCAAAGATGATTGCATAAGACGTGTGGTGAGGAACTGTCCAAGGCTGAAGTCTCTAACTCTTGGAAGTTGTCCTTATATAACTGATGGTGCTCTAGTAGAAATTGCAACATATATGACTGGATTGAGGTTAGTGATTTGTAATTGTACCTGTCGGTTAATGAATGTTTAATTAGCTTGTTTTAATATCACCCCATTTCATTGTTATGAAATTCGTAATTTATTGTACATTTAGTCATTTTATGTACCCTAAAATGTATTTCAAAGATCTAATAAGTTCAGATTTTGATTTAATTAGCTAATAAGGGATCAAATTTAGATGAAAAAAAAATGGAAACACAAAGCCAAGAACACTAACTCAATAAAACAATAAATCATAGGAAAGTAAATCCTTAGTTACACAAGGCAAAACAACGCCATGTCATTGGAGAAATCTATATATCAAATGATAATCTAATGATTCTGTTTGTAGACATCTCGATGTACGTGGAAGTAAAAAAGTGACAGATGTTGGTATTCGAAACATTGCACACAATTGTAGGTTCTTAACTGAACTAGATCTCAGTTCTACGGCTATCACACAGAAAAGGTACAGTAGAATAAATTGAACAGTTTTGATCCACCATAGTCTCTTGTGAATTAAAACGTCAGGGAAAATTGAAAAGGGTCAGAGAAAATGTTTTGAAGAATTAAGACTTTGAAAATCTTAAATAAACATTTTAATCAATTCCTAGATTACTTATTATTTAATTGCGCATAGTATGCAACATAGTTCTCTATCTAGTATGCTTATCATGGTCAAATATTCCTTGTTCAACAGAATATTGTTTCAAATTGCCGTTGTTTCTTTGGAAATGTGTGAAAACAAGTGATTGGTTAGCGAAACATCAGAGATTTCATCATTATTAATAATATTGAGGGGCCTCATTTCTGTTTGGTGTATTTCCAGTGTTTTTGCCCTAGCAAGCTACGCTATACAGAGACTAGAGGTGTTGAAGTTGAACTTCTGTAGGGACATCACAGAAGGAGCACTAGCAAAACTAGCCAAGAATTGCAAAAGGTAAACAAAAAATATTCTCTAACAGTATTGATTACAATAAAGGATTTAAGCCTAGTAGGAAGCCCAGGTGGAATTATTGAATGGACTGTTGTAGGGAACCTTTATTATAATATATGAGACTGGTAGGCTGAGATAATATTGCTAGCATAAGGAATGAGTACATTAACACCTAGCAAGAGATTTTGAACAGTTTAAAAGGAAATGAAATCCAGGCCCGTAGCCATGGAGGGTGGGGGGTTCGAGTGAATCAATCATTCTTAAAAATTAAAAAATCATGCAGTTTTTCATCATTCTGAATACTCTTCAAGTGATATCAGTTGACTTAAGTGAAACCCCACTAATTTTTTCTTGAAACTGAACCTCATTGGCAAAAGCTGGCAACAGACCTGAAAATCCAATCAGAAAACGTTTTGTAAGGTCAGCATTTTTATCTGCATAAGCAGCTGTTTTGCTTATCATTATAAAAACTATTTGTACCTGATTTCAGATTACACATGTTAGAGCTGTTTGGTGGACGAAGGATTAGAGATAACGGTATTGCTAGGATACAAATGGAAAACAAGAATCTAGTTATCAAAATGTGAATATTTTGAGACTCTGGAATCATATCCTACATACCAATGAAAACAAAATTTAGTTATCGAAATCTGAACTCTGAGACTCTGGAATGGTGTCCTACATACCATATAATGGGTAGGGGGCTCCAAATTATATACAATATCTGTCTTAGCACCTTCCCTTTACAGCTTAAAGAATAGACCAGGAGAAAGAGGAGGCAGCCACCCAATGTTTATCCCAAGTCACTTTGACACTTCTAGGCAGGCCTTAGTGATGTAATAAACATAGGCCAAGGGCGATAGAAATAATCTTTAAATAAAGATGGCTCTTAAATAGGATTCTGCTGCGGTCATCAATCTTTATATTGGCCCAAAACCAAATTGGAATAAAGTGCAAACTTAATGACATTTTATTCATGTCATGAAATGTTTTGAGCGAAAATATTGTCAGATTGTGACCATCTTTGAGGAAGTTTCAACTCAAGTCTATGACACAGCTTAATCATCACTTAATCCATGTTCTGCACCTTTATCACCAATGGTGTTATATGATACAAGCTGGAAATTGATTGAGGTGAATATGGGATAAAAACTGTGATGTATAAAGTCTGCCCATTTCATCATGAATAAGTTGCATCCAACTTGTAAGAAATTAAAAAATTGTAAAACTGATGATTGTCATGGAAAACTAGATGAAATGTAGTCTTGGAAGAAAGAGACTCGAACAAAACATTGTATTTATTAAGAATGAAAGCTTAGTCTGTTGCAAGCACAAGAAAACACGACCAGTTTGATAAACATGATTTACTACTGTACATGTACATAAGAAAACTGTACAGCTACTTTAATGCAGATGCTGATTTTTCTATTAAATTATTGACCAATTATGCTTATTTTTGAAAATATGGTAGATTGAAGTTTATATTTACATAATTTATAAGATGGAACTTGTATATTACTTGTATAATATTTGTACATGCATATATGCAGTCATTTTAATGTATCGTAGAACTGTGATATGATACATCAGCTGTAAATCATTCAGTCTGACATAGACATTAGAGAGATTTTGTGACGCAATTACTGTACAGCATGTTTATAACTTATAAAGTTTGTGTTCTATGTCATCATTTATTGTGCAGCTCTATCCGTCCATAAATATGGAGCCATTGCTTGTAAAACATTGTTTACAGTGGATAAATCCTTATCTTGTGTGGACATATTTATTGACAGGGAATCATATTGATACTTGGCATGAAATTCATATTATTACCAAGGAATTTAGAGAAGAAAGCTATTCATTTTCGTGAAAAGAATGTTAGAATTGATGGATAAAATATACATTTCTAAACATATAAATACATGTTTTTGTGAAATGCAAAATTTCGATTCACTTACACATAAGTTATACTTTCACTTATGAGCCAAATGATCTCTAATAATTGTTATCTTCCACTTATTTGGCTGTTTGATGGTCTCTTGTTGAGTTACCCCCACTCAACTACAAGTCATAGGTTTACAAGTCCAAAAATACCCATTCTTTCTAAGGATTTACTGTATACTGAGATTGTTGGGTTTCATTGAAAGGCATGCCTTTAATAGCTGTGGTTAAAGTAGACTTATGGACCTTTTTTTCTGGCTCACTTAGGGCACTTTTGTCACACCTTGGTGAGTTTCCATATACAGGGTGTCCCGAAAGTATGGGGGCCCCCCTAGGCAGACATATTCCAGTGTCCTCATAGTATGTATCATATATCATTTTAAAGCTTATCCAAAGTTACATTGATTTGCCAAGTATTATGGTTTAACTCCCAAATGGGAAAAAGTTACAGTCATTTTAAAAGTTAGTGTTTTGTCAAAATAAAGTTCAATTTTACACCACACTACTAGTGTATGAGACCCCCCTTGGCTATTGTAACAGCAGCAATTATTTTCAAATATGACCTCAAAAGCCCTTCAAAAAGGGATGTGGAATTTCATAACCATCTTAAAACCTGTTAAGGCTCTTTAGAAGAGTTTCCTTAGAGTTTCTACCCTCACCATTCTCTTTTTCCAACTCAATATCCATCCGACCCGAAAAGAATTGCTGCTGTTAAGATGGCCTGGGAGGACACATTGACTAGTGATTTGGTGTAAAATTGAACTTAATTTTGACCAAACACTAAATTTTGAAATGCCTGTAATTTTTTAACATTTGAGAGTTGACCCATGATACTTGGCAAATCAATGTAACTTTGGATAAGCTTTAAAATGATATATGACACATACTATGACAACACTGGTATATGTCTGCCTAGGGGGGGCCCCATACTTTCGGGACACCCTGTAGATGTCTCATTAGTAGAGAATTGAATATTATGCTAATGAATCTTGCATTATAATTAAAGATATTTATTTATTAATACCGACATGTGAAATAAGTTATAATGGGTACATATTAAATTATATGAATATTAAATTTATTATATTTTGATATACCTGAAATAAATGCTTTTACTTTACTCCATCCTATATATCAGTGTTTGTCTTGATGTATGAATGGAGATTTGAAAGTACTTTAAAGACACACATACCTATTCATTCCTGTGTAGGTTGAAAAATTACTTTAAACATATAAACATGTGCTGATTTTATATAATTTATAAATCATATCTTTTAGTTTATGTTTTTATGTCCACCACCACAAGTGTTGACATATTGTTATAGTCTTAATCTTTTTTGTGGATGGTGTTTGGTGGCTGGTGTTCAGAATTCGGTGGTTGGTGGTCGGTGTCTGTAACAAATGGCAGGTGGAGACATTTTGCATGTTAATGCCTCATTTTTCATATTATATACACTGAATTCATATTATAAGACATAGGACATTGTAAAGGCTCCCTGGAGATACAATTGTCAGCCCTTCATTAGCACTCGGTGAAATCATTATAACTCCCATCTACAAATATAGTAGCATATGATGCATCAAATTTTGCAGTCTGTCGCAACTCATATATATTCCTATCTCTTCTACTGGCCACACTTCCAATAAAATAATCGACACTGGCAAGTATCTCAATATCAATAATTTCTTTTTTGTTTTCATCGAAATGCCAAATTATTTTTGAATGATCACTTAATAACGTTAACTCCTTGTGTTTCGTTATTAAAAATCTGTGCTGTTCTGTTTTTTTGGAGAAGTTCAATGAGATATAGATGTTGCACGATACTGCATGCATTCTGTGGCAGTAAGTAGATGCATGATTCAGCGCAGTCTGAAAGTACTGAATGTTGTTATGATATAAATGTACACTTATACCAATCGATGGTTTCACTCCTATGCAAAATTCCCTTTTCAACTGGTTAATCTTGACTCTGAGGTTTTGATTCAGTTGAAAAATGTACGAGAAATAGTATCCTCTGATCAACGCTTTTGGATTGCTGTGTATAAAATAAAGTTTAGAAAGAATCCATGACGGTATATTTGCATGAACATCCCCGAGTTTTCTCAATTCTCGACAATCTAGAGGAAGGTTGAATTTCAGCTTAAAAGCTTCTTCAATCGTGATTGGTTGTGTATTCATCACATGACCACAGCTTTGTAATCTGATTGGTTTAAGATAGTGAGTCCACTCAGCATTGGCGATCAACCATGGTGATTTAATCCATAACCTCATTTTCATATTTTCTGCTACAGATAGGCACAAAGACGAATAGTACAGAAACTCAATTATATTGTCAACTTCAATTGAGCAGTGTAGCTCGGAGAAGTTTCGACAGCTCCCCAAATACTGGTTCTTCTTTATCTTGTACATTAGTAACTTTCCGATATATCTCAGTATCCTTGTTGATTGTAATATGTGTCTCTTCCCAAGTGGCAATGATAAATCGTCAGCGTTATTCTCCGCGAGGACTCTTCGCTGATATTTATACCATTCTATCCCATTAATGTTTGGTTCCTCTAATCTTGAATAAGTATTTTGTTTATATTTAGTACTATCTCTATTTGGTGCTCCTTGGAAAATGATACTCGCGACTAGGGTACAAAAGAAAACTGAAATCAATATTTTTGTGCTCATCCTCTTTCTATTGTCCACAAATCTGTAAAGCATTTTGATCAAATCACTCTTGGTCTTTGAATAAAATGCCCACATTTAACCTTTAATTATTGGAAGATGTGATTACCAACCTATGTACAACCAATCCTGTAAAATTACCCTTTAATGGATGTTTCCTATTAAGATTAAACTAGGGCTTAGTAGTATTGATTAAATGTTCATAACTTTTTATGCTTTCAATTGTTGGCCAACATACAGTAAACCCCTTTTATGAAGTACATTTCAATATGCTCTTGTTTAGGAAAAAAAACACAAAAAACTTTTCAGCTAAATGTAACGAAAGGGGCTTCATTATTATTTACACTGGACTAAAACTAAATATGATCTTTGAATTATTCAAACAGTCTAAAGGATTTAAGGGTAATTCACACATACTTACAAACTGGAATGAACCCTTGTAGACAAAGGAGATTTAAAATAATCTGATTTAAAGGGCCACTTCCTGTAATTCTGATCCTAACCCCAAAAATATTTTAAATTAAAAATCAATTGTAATTTGTAACATCCATCAGTAGACATTTATCAGTTTATAAACTTTCTTTTCTGTCGTTATCAAAGCTTGAGAAATATAAAAAGTAAATGGATTCCTTTTGAATAATGTAAAAGGTGGGAGTAGTAAAATTCAATTTGGAACTTGTTATGTTGCTTACTAGATAGTTTTTTCTTGGTTAGACTTAAAGTCAAGGTTACCAGTAATCATGGTAACAAGTACTCAAGGCTACCAGTTATCATGGTAACAAGTAGTCAAGGTTACCAGCAGTTATGGTTGCAAGTAGTCAAGGTTACCAGTAATCATGGTTACAAGTAGTCATGGTAACAATTAGTCAAGGTTACTTGTCATAGTTACAAGTAGTCAATGTTATCAGTAGTCATGATTACAAGTAGTCAAGGTTACAAGTAGTTGGGGTTACTAGTAATCATGGTAACAAGTAGTCAAGGTTACCAGTAATCATAGTTACGAGTGGTTAAGGTTACCAGCAGTTATGGTGCACACTGCGCAGACATTAGAACAAATATCTCTGCATAGTTCTAATAAAAATACAAACATCCACTTAATACTTTTAATGATTTTTATTTCATTTCTTCATAAATTTTGCCAAGCAATCTTACAGGCTCTAGCAACATATACATAGATAATCTTGTAGATTTATTTACGTTGGGACATTATTTATAGCCCGTTTTATAAATTACCATAAAGCACATGATTCAGAATTCAAAATATATTTTTCATTCAATATTGATCCTCTAGACCATATATTTCATGAAACTAGGTTAGAATTACATTACACCTTAGATACAACTTTAAGGTGGGCAGCTTCCATGATGTCAGCATGCAAGTGTTTTTATTAAGGTAACTAACTCATTCACTTCGGAATACCTTAAAGACTGTTACATATTACTGTTTCCAACAATCCACAAAATGCAACTTTATCACATGTGATATCGAAATGAAGACAAAAATAGACTAGCTATAATTTATTATCTGTTAAACAAAATGCACCAAAAAGTACCAATTGTAGAATTAAAAAATAAATAGATAAAACATCATTTCTTTAATTTGGCCATGATAATCCCTCAAGCATATTTCCTGAACATCTGAGCAATTCATTATTCATTAACACTTTTAATTAATTTCAATTCATTTTAAAATTTCAATTGTATTGTTAAGAGCTTGCAAGCACAGCATGCTGTTTTGCATATAATGATTCCATGTTTGCTTCTAAGATCAAGATGAAAAGAAACTGGATGGATCAATTTTCTGTATCAAGTAATAAGACTAGCTATACTTGGATGAAGAGGGGGGAGAACCCAGAATTCAAAGACAAACCCATCTTCATGAAAAGATGAATGTCTAGATTCAATTTACATGCAGGTGAATCCATCTTTGAATTCTGGCTTATTACCTACTCTTACTGGGATTGGACACATTAAAAAGGACCTTAATACAAGCCTTACAATAATGTAAAGACAGTAAATAAGTTAGACAACTACAGTTCTTAGCCAGGTTTATTAGAAAGAATCCATGCAAATATATCTTGTGTACCGGTGTAAAAGGGTAGGTGGTCCTATCAAATTTTGGTCCTACTCTCTATTGATTTATATGGTGACCTAATCACAATTATTTTCCTTATTATTTATACACAGTCAGGGCCAGTAAGGGCCGTAAGGAAAGGGGACCATAATCCCCAGGGGACCATAATTTCTTTTACACCAGTATTTGGTTTAACTCATGATCCTTCTTTCCTTCAAATTACTTATCAAGTTTTCTGATAATTTTATATTTATAGCATCCCTACTCCAAAATCTGGTTTGCATGGCAAAAAAGAATTGAGTTTCCTTGCCATTTTAAATATCGTTTTAAGTAAATATAAAAGGCAACATGTATTAAATAAATGTCATATACGTAGGAAATGCCATGTTTAATGTCCTTCCCAATAAACTGGGAAATTCATATTCAAAATTCACCCATTTTGACCAAAAAATATTCAATGAACTGGGTGCATCTCAACTGGGTACAAATTGGAATTTCACACTGGGTACATTACATAATATAAGAATTTTCAATTTATCCATATAAATCGTCCATATTGAAATTTTGTTGCTGTTGTCCAAGTTGTCCCATTTGGCCACCAGTTCCCATCATGCTTTGGGGGGCTGGGGCTCGAGGTCGTTGACCCATCATTAACTGTTGTTGTTGCTGTTGTTGTTGTAGTCTTTGCTGTTGTTGCTGCTGTTGCTGGAAACAAATTACGTAACATTTGTAATGTTTTATTATGCAAAATTCAGCCAATATGTACAGTAGTTCTAATCATGGAGTATTTGTATCGTCAAGGCAACTAGAGTTGCATGTTATTCTATCCCCAAGAATACATAATCAATTATCAATTAAGTCGACAAAAACTTTGTTTTGCCAAAAGTTAATTTCCAGATGAAAATACATTGATCGAAATAACCATACAGTAGTTTTAACTTTCAAGTGTTCCGTGTAAGCATTAAAATCATATCAACCTTGTCTTTATTTTAGTTCAAAGCGCTTGTTGTTCAAATATCATAGTAACATCCTTCAAAAGTTTATTATTTACCTCAGCCTAAATACATATACATAATTATCACTAACCGGATTCATTAGTATATTCCTCAGTTGCTGTGGGTTCTGCTGTGAACCCTGCAGCTGTTGCTGCTGCTGTTGCAGGTGTTGTAATTGTATCCTCTGCTGCTGTGCAGCTTGTAACTGCTGCTGCTGTTGTTGTTGCTGTAAACGCTGCTGTTGCTGTTGTTGGGCTGAAAATTAAACCAAAAGTTTCAACTTTCAAATCCAAAAACCAACAAAAAGGCTATTTGTAAAAGTCGATTCTCAAACAGGAGATGGGGAATTATGAATCTAAAATATTATTTGCACATATTCGTTTTTATCATGTTAACTTAGAATGGGTAGATATAGGGTGTCTTCCACCTCAACATGTATTTTCCATTGTATTATTGGAAATAAATAAAAGACAAACTTTCATTGATATTTACTTTTCCCCATTAATATCAATGTCAAAGAAAGAGGCCAAAGGTCTCAACTTCCAATTGTCTGCAGACAATATACGATATTTGGTAAAAGGTGAGCAGCTGATATTTCCCATATTTTAGGTTCCCCTTCTCATTTCATTCAAAATCTACACTTTTAATTTTTCTATTTTGTGTGAGAGTGTCCAGGAAAATATTACACCATGACTACAGTTGAATTCATCATGGGCTTTTTCTTGAAAGCCCACAAATTCGTGAAAAGCAACTTTACTCCTCATTGCCCAACACTCCACCTTAGTCTTTAGCATGAGATGGCAGCACCTGTACCAATCATACATACATGTCTTCCTTTTTGATCATAACAACCCATGCTTTTCCCATATCATAATCTCCAAATTCCAAAACCACCACCAAAATTGCTCCATATATTAAGAATAATACACATTTGCATCACACTGCGCTTGGTTCATGTACATTCTATTAGATACATACTTAACAAGTGTATAGTGCAAGTGAATAGTGTATCACCTACATGTACATAGATTAATATACATACATTTAATTTTATATGTCTATTAATTTCGATAGTTAAATATGGTAAATAAGGCACAGACATGCAAAATGTCACCACCTACCATTTGTTACAGAGCTGAATGCCAACCACCAAACAGAAAAAGTTGGAGATTATAAAAATATGTCACCTCCAACATAAAAACAAGAAGTTATAAAATCTGCACCTATGAGGATAAATAAAATACCAATTAAAACCAAAATACTGTACAAATCTATTTAATTTATAATACTAAAACATAATATAATTTCCTCATGCCCCAAAAGTAAGATTAATTCTCGAATACAATACCTAGAAATTCATACTCATAAGGCCCATAAGGGGGGCCTATAGGACCTACAATTCAATATTAGTTAAAAGGCAGTTAAATTAAAAAGATCACAATAAATGTAAATGACACAAAATGTAAATGAGAGAGTGTGTCAAATTATTTACAGTGTTGTGGAAGAATGGTGTTAATTTTGTAATGGGGAGGGGGTAGATGAGGGTTTGTTAGCAAAGCGTGTTGATTTTTCAATATTCAAGAGAAAGATAAATCAGCAATTTTATATAAGAAGGGCGTGGGGGACAAACCATAATCAGGTGTTTCATTAGCAGCAGGCAACAGGCGATTCTCACCAGTTGTTCTCACAAAATCGCCTATTGTTTTAGGGACTTTTCAGCTTTCCATGTTAGATTTATGATTTCCATTAATTTTGCCTGTTGTTTTCATTTATTTAGCCTGTTGTGAGAAATTCTAGTGAAATTCCTGATAATGAAGTTAACTTTTGTTGATCATTGATAATTGGACACCATCCCTTACAATACTACATTTAATTAACAAGCCGTCAACATGAAAATATCGCACCGGCTGTTTGCAAACAAATGCGTACAGGGAAAAGGTATCCCAAAACTAGTATATTGATCCCTGCAAAGGCAAATGTAGGACTTTGGGACTTACAAAGTAAAATATCAGAAAAATGAACATATACAAGTATAATCTAAGGTTTACTTTTTGAGCAATGGATCATTTCTTTAATTACAAACCAAAAAATCTCAGACATTAAAGGTATAATTGAGAATGTCTAGTGAGGTTACAGAATGTACATGTGAGGTTACAGAATGTATATTTGAGGTTACAGAATGTACATGTGGGGTAACAGAATGTCTATGTGAGGTTACAGAATGTACATGTGAGGTTTCATAATGTCTGTTTGAGGTTACAGAATGGACATGTGACATAACAGATAATAACATAACACATGTAGATACGAACGCCCAAAATTAAAGATCGATGAAAGAATTTGCGAGGTTTGCAATTTAATAGAAAACGAAAAACACATAATGCGTTCATGTAAAAAATACAGTATATATAGAAAGCAAATGCTCGATAAACTTGTATCACACGGCAACCCAATTAAACACCTTTTCAACATGGAGGACGATTCACTTTTTTTCCAATATTGTATGACTTGTGAAAATAAAGAAATTGAAATTGTAGCAGAATTTATTCATAAATGTAATATAACATAGAAGGGTGTGATATATGACATAAACAATGGACGCGTATCACAATCACCATTCATGTGCTTATCCATGATGCATATTTATTTGTTCATTTATTTACTTATTTATTTATTATGAAGTGTTAATTTTGTGTGTTGTTATATATACTGTTTTCTGTTGTATTGATATATTGTAAAATTAGTGTTTACTTTGTGTACACTTAACCTTTTATGGGTATGAATGTGTAATAAAGTTCATAAATCTAAATCTAAAATCTAACAGAATGTCTATGTGAGGTTACAGAATGTACATGTGAGGTTACATAATGTCTATGTGAGGTTACAGAATGCACATGTGAGGTTATATATTAGTCATATGACAGTGTGAGAAAATAAAAAAAGTTCATGTATGTGATTGAAACCATTTCAAAGTGGTTTTAATTCAAAATGTGTCTTACCTAATACTCTGGCTTGTTCAATCGACTGAATCTGCTTCTCTTTTTGCTTGGCTGCTGCTAGCTGTTGTTCTAGATCCTTTATATGTTGCTGGAAACAATGCAATGAAAATGGCTTACAACTAAGGATAAACAAGGCATCAACATACTAAATGTCACTGTCCCATTTGTTACAGATGCTGATCACCCATCGCTGACTGTCACCAACGGCAGAACACCAACCACCATCCACAAAAAATTGGAGACTATAATGATATGTTACTACTTTTGCAGTGACATAAAAACGTTATTGCCAAATTTAACATAGCTTTATTGGTATTCAGTAAGCAATCAATTTTTCCAAGTTTATTGCTTGAGGAGTCCAGTGAATTTTAGTGACTGCCACTGGCAGTCAGCAGCTATGAGTTTCGAACTTTGGCATTGATATTTTTTGGTGAGACAAAGTTATAAAGCGTATATAATGGTCTCAGCTTTTTCATTTGATGTTGTTTCATAACAGGCATTGAATATAATCATGTCAAATTTCAAGCTTCTAATCATCAGACTGAAAATCAATGAAGTTTCTCATTTCAAAACACCAAGGCCTTTCCTTTGAAGGTGATGGTGGACTTTTGCCTATAATAATTTAATGCTTCTAAATTTTACAATAAAAATATTCAATATCTATATAATTTTATATTCATTGAGGATAATGGGAAACAAGAAAAAGAAAGTTTCATTTATGGAGATCTTCCGCTTTAAGAGATTTTTTAAATTATCATGTTAATGTTTCAAGGTCAAGTGACAAAATCATCGCTAGAGTTTAATAATAAGTATCAATTTACTAGTATATAGTTTAAATGTTAAACTTACTGGTAAACCTACCATATGAGCTTGTTTGTCAAAATTAGTAGGGGTATTTGGGGGAGCACCTCCAGTTGGTGCCGTCTGCTGTGACTGTTGCAAAGCATTCTGGGATGCTCCCATTTGCTGTGTGGCAACATTTGGCTGTGAGTGTATTTGTGGGGCACCTTGGGATTGAACACCACCCTGTGATTGGATGCCTTGAGACTGTTGTAATGACGTAGGAATTGATTGCATTGATTGAGATACAGTCATATTGCCTTGTTGAGATTGCAGACCACCCATTGGTTGTTGTTGTTGTTGTTGTTGAACTGTACCCAAAGTACGAGCATTGGGCATTTGTTGCTGCAAAATAAATAAACATAGGTAAGAAATCCAAACTTCAGACATAATGTTACAATGTACTAATGCCAGAATGCAAAACCCAGAATGAAACATGCTAAGAGCTTCTGAAATTCAAAAAATAATTTTAAATGTGATTTTCTTAAACTCCTGTGACAGAATTAACATTTTAGAGATAAGGAAGAATAACTTGGCACATTTTCTAACCTGCTGTTGCTGCTGTTGTTGCTGTTGTTGTTGCAGCTGTAGGTTTTGTTGCCCACTTGATACATTAAGCCCTCCCTGTTTAAAAGATATTTAAAGTGCTGTTGAATATGAGAAAACACAACAGTCAAGTTTTCATAGAAACATGTAAATGACGAGTAAACTACATGACGTATTAAATCATTAATCGAGGGGTCATTAACAGAAACGTTTGCAAAGTTTCTCTTACTATAACATCATCTATTAATTTAGTTAATAATTCCTTTAGACATTACGAGCATGTGTGATGGAAATTTGTTAAACAACAGTACCTGGGCTGTCTGTAAACCCCCAGGCCCAACCTGTGTATTGCTGCTTCCTGGGTTAGTTATATTGTTCAGCAAGCCTGCACCCCTTCCAGCTGGGTTCATCTACAAGAAAAAAACTCTTGTTAGAATCTCCTAAAAATTGTAGGTTTGTTCTGCCATTATGTTTTTCTGTCATGTTTTGTGCCATAATGATTATTTGTGACATCACATCAATCAAAACTTGAGAAAAAACTCCAGCATGAAAGTCTCTTGCTTTGTTAACTTTTAACCAGTTTATTTGGAAATGGGTATGATAAAATGTCAAATATGGAATGGAATTGTAAAATTGAAGACAACGCAATCCTTGTGACATCATAAATGAGTTTAAGTCACAGTGCTCTAGTTACTCAAGTTATTCAATTGAGTTCCACTCCAGTTACTATGTACTCAATTGCAAGTACAATAGGAAGAAGCTATACGTATTTATAACAATGTTCTAATAAAAAGGAATGAGCCTATAGCTACAACCTTTAACTACCACCAATGCATTATACACAATATCAGAAGCCTTGAAACTCACACGTACATCGAACAACTGGTTAGAGAAAGATAGAACCTCAGATTGCGTCATAAATGGACACGGGAGTAGCATATAATTTTCACACTGAGAGATGTTCACTTTAAAGAGTACTTCCAGCGTTCTCCACGGGATTTCTTTCTCAAGTGGGTGCAAAATTCTCATTTTCACAATTCAGACTGAATTTGGTCAAAATATGCATATCTTCAAGATTTTTGTTATTTTCAAGTGGGTGCAAATGAAATTCAGGTCGGTGCAAGCCTATTTTTAAAATCTCAGGTGGGTGGGTGCTGCACCCACTTGCTTTAATGGTGGGGAGATCACTGACTTCACATATCCAACACATTTTACATGATATATAATTTACATAATATAAGGAGCAATGGAACATTTGAAGCCAACATGTACATTTTCAGCAAACAAACAAATTGAATACATTTACCAGAGTTTCTCACTAATACACATATTGGACATTTATTTTGCATGGGTATTAATTTGGGTATTAATTTTCCTGTCTTCTAGAAAACCCTAGAAAAGAACCACATTGGGTCTTATAAAGAAGCATGGCTGCAACTAACGAAAGGAGATGTTCCTATATCGAGGAAAGTCCACTGTGCAGTAAATCATTTTGTACTTAAAGTACTTAAAGAGAGCACCCATGAGCTTTTAAAAAGAGGAAAATTGTCTTTTATAAAACCCCTCTATCGAATAAACACCTTTAGGTGAGAGACTCTGGTTATATGTATCAACAAGTAGCACAATAACATATTGTATTAATTACTCCCTATGTAGTCCTTTAAAATACATCAAGCCTCTAAGTTGTCTAACACTGCAATATTAAACATAACTTCAACTCACAAAAATAGAAATAATGGCAACTCTATGGAGTAGCAAATCCCAATGAATAAAAAATGTTTTCTAAAATAATTTATTGAGATTTAGCACTTTTCTTGAAAAAACAGTGCAAATATGAATAACATCCCATTGGTGGTTTTACTTTTAAATACCTTTCCCAATAAAAGCAAAATATTGAATTCACCTGATATTTTAAACCCCATTAATATAATATATGCCAAAAAGATCAGTCCCAAAATCTCTTGAATGTTTGTTCAATAATCATGTTTTATAAGTCCATAAAAATGGAGTCCATTTCATTGTCCATGGGTTTTGAATTACAGAAGGATTGATAAATGGTGATTTTCACTATATCCCCATCGAACTTCATTCATTGGGATAATTAAATCTTACGGACACTTACTGTACATGGACATTCGACACTTACGTTTACCTTCGGGTCTTTCATAATGACCATTCTAAAGACTTTAATGAATTGTTGTTGATCGTTTGGGATGAGACCAACAAACTGTTTTTTACGAGAGCTAAACAGCATCATTAGAACTTTCACGTCAGCCGTCGCTAAATTGCCATTGAAATTAAAACAGCCAGCCTGCAATATAAGAGAGTTATCACTCATAGTACTGTATAAGTGGTAATTTTGCCTAATCATTTAGTTTGCCTATTTCCTAATTTTCACCAGGTTCGGAAAATTAAATGTCGGAAACATTGTCTTTATAATGTTATCCAATGGGAGGTTTCTTGTCATAAGGAAAATTAAAATTAGGAAAATGATGAAATTTGACCATTCGGAAAATTAACCACTTGGATTAAATAGCACTTATACAGTTTACAGTACAGAAAATGTCACCAACACCAATGGGATAAAGTGCTACTTCACCGAGGACACGGAAAAATTAACGGAGACATTCAATATCTCTTGTATCTTGCCATGTATATTGAATTTTTAAAATAAATTAATTTCCATTCTTAATTCTATCCAAATGGTATTTTGAAAATACTTGGGTTAACAAACAAAATGGAACAACTTACAAATCCCTGTGCCATATGTTTATATAGACTCTTCATAGCCTCTATATCAGTGTTAGCAAAATGAAATGTCACGGTCCGAGAATTTTTGAACATCGCCTGAAGGGGGGTAAGTAGGGTCTGTGGAATAAGCTGTAGGAGTAACTTCCGAGGCCATGTGGTTGTATTTCTATGAAAAACAACATCCACATTTATTTAACAGTCATACTTGGTTCGCGTTGTTCCCTGAATTTTTTTCTCACAAGTAAAAAATTCTCAATTTAACTTTACTTAACTTGACTAAAAACAATTTTCAGTATACTGTAATGGAAATTTGGATTTAAATCCTTTTTTCATTTGGGAGGGGTATCAACCAGTTTATTCTAGAGCTAGTTTCTCAAAAATATTCAAGTGTTCAATATTGCTGTGAAATTCATATTTGTCTTTCACAATACTGCCACATAATTACATCATATATCAAAAATAAAAAATACAGGAATCAATACAGGAATCAGAATATACAATGTAACAGGAATCAGTTCTCTAGAGTATATATATAATACATATATACTTTGTATACATTGATTAATGTTAAGGTAAAAACTTACATATCTCCATCTGATGTAGCAACAGTACACTGAAGATTTCGAACCTTTTTCTGTTGAGGGTCCCTATTTTTATCTTGCCATTCTACAATCCCTTGCCATATCCTTCTTTGAGGTTGTTGCGCCATCTGTTGACCTTGGGGCCCGGTCTGGTTGGGCACATTACCCTCGAGTAAAGGGTTTCCAGTGCCACCTATATCCATTGGTTGCTCATTCATGGTTGGAGTGGGGATTGGATTGGTGGCAAGGCCAGGATTCTGGTTGGGAGGGCCTAGGGCAGCTTGTGAGGTATGAGGGTTCTGACCCAGGGGCCCAATTTGTCCTTGTTGCTGGGTGGTAGGAGGCATTGGTTGACCAGGTTGATTCATTTGACCTGGCATTTGGGGTTGTTGTTGCTGTTGTTGTTGCTGCTGTTGTTGTTGTTTCTGTACAAGCAAACGTTGCTGGTTTATCTGATTCTGCAACATCTGTGTTTGGGTCAATTGTTGCCCTTGTGTGGTCATTGAAGTTTGATCTTGAGGATTCATACCCTGACCTAAGGAGGTCATTGGTCCTTGACCTTGAGAGGGTATACCTTGACCTAATGATGTCATAGACCCTTGACCTTGAGAGGACATGCCCTGTCCTAATGAAGTCATTGGGCCTTGACCTTGGGAGGGCACACCCTGGCCTAATGAAGTCATAGGTCCCTGACCTTGAGAGGTCACATTCTGGCTTAATGATGTCATAGGCCCTTGACCTTGAGGGGGCATACCCTGGCCTAATGAGGTCATTGATCCTTGACCTTGAGAGGGTATATTTTGGCTTTGTGATGTCATCATTCGTGGCTGTTGTTGCTGTGTACTGTTTATCTGCTGGTTAAGTGCATCTGGTTGGCCCATCCTTGGCTGTGCCATTCGATGTCCAATCATTTGGCCACCTATCAAAAAAATCATTTTTATTGATGATTTAGAATCCATGTATGCTATTTTAACTTGAAAATTTTTTGTTTGTTTGTTTTTTAACCAAAATTTTATGTAAATTATAGACGAGAAAAATATGAATGAAATACTTCAGAAATACCTAGTTTTCCATATTAATCTGGAATACTGAACAAATAAGCCAAGATATTTCAATTCAAAGAATTTTTTTCACTTTGGAAAGGGGTAAAACCCTATTACAGTTTTTTAATGTTAAATGATTTTTACAAGAAGCTTCATTTTTTTTTAAAAAAATTGATAAATATTGAGTTACACTTTTGAGTGGTAGGGAACAAGTGAAAATGTAAATACATAAATGTATTTACTATTGACCAGGTCAATAGATTTCTTACCTGGGTTTAGTTTATTTTGTGTATTTTGCGGTAACATTCCTCGAGTCTGGGCAATTTGTCCCAAAGATGGAGCCACTTGTGACTGTGTGACCGCTGGTGTTAACTGGGGTCTTGTTGCCATGGAAGCCTGTGGCGCTGGATGAGCTCCTGGACGTGATGGCAACTGGTTTATTCCAGTTTGAACAGCTGTTTGGGAACCTAATTTATAGAATCTTTTTGTTAAAACATATTAGAAGTACAGGATATTCCTATAAATAATGCATCGATGGATACTGATTGGGATTAATATTTAGATATTTACTTTAGTGTCGAGATATTGAAGTTCCAAATGACCTATTATGAAAGTTAGAATTACAGTTACCATATAACCATAATTACCATATAACAGATAAGTACTGTAATTCCACGAAATATCCCAAATCAAAGGATCAAAAAGAGTGAACATTTGAAGGATTTTTCCCATGAATCACTTAACTATTTCCAAAGGTTCTATTTTAAAAGTTTTTTTTGATCCACAAACCTGGCAATTGCTGAGCAGATGGCGCTGTACTGATTGGCACTTTGAAGTCACCACTGACATTCAATGGGCTACCTCTCTTTATGCCCGAACCAGCTTTTGGGCTACTTGCTATGTTGGGTGCTGTTAATACAAGTACAAGAATGGTAGATTTAATGTGGGAATTTCCAGAATTAAATGACACCTACATCTCATTGGTAGGATATGGGCAGATATAGGATATCATTTTTATCCTCTCATAGCAATCTCCATTCATTCATTTTTCAAAATGTCACCACCTGCCATTTGTTACAGACATAACAAAAAATCATTTTTATTCTCTCTCAACTCACTTGCTCTTCACGCGGGATAAAAATGATGTTACTCAAAAATCATTGGATGTTTTCTATCTTAAAACCAATCTAAAAAAATTAAAAATACCCACCAGTTGCGGAACCTGGGCTTTGCTTGGTAGGCAGGTTCAACTGAGGCTTCAAATCCAGACTCATGCTTGACTTTTCAATACTTGGACTGATTGGCCGCTCTGGAAGTGAATGCATATGTATACACTTGTTAAAAACTTTGAATCTCCTGGATTTTCTGAAAGAGCAGTTACAACACAATGGTGTTTGTAGCATCCTTCTCAGCTCAGCAGACATTGTCAAGTGAAAGAGGGCCTTGGCAATGCCTTAAGCCAAGGCCACCATGACATGATCTTTCCATCAATTGTGCAACAGATGTCATTGATAATTTAAATGTTCAGAAAATCCCTTCAATTTCCCAAAAATAAAATGATGAATTCCCCAGGAACTCATGAAAAATAAGACAAGGAGGCTATTCATGAGAAAAAGTCTTGATTTGAATATTTTCATATTTTGAGAAAACTATTGAACATTGGGTGAATTCTGCTGAAATTTCTCAACATTTTAGAAAAAACTAATACACGTAATCATGATTCATTTATAACAAAATTGTTATTAGTATTGAATCAAAATTTTCGAAGACTTAAAAATAACAAGCTTGTTCTTTAAAACTGTCCATTACCTTGTAAGGGGATGTTCCTCAAGAGTACCAAGTGCCTCATGTCAACAGCATAGTTCTTCATTGTAGAAGTTTTAACATCAGGGGAGCCCTACACAAGTAGAAGATTTATAAAAGATAATGTAATGAGCGATTTTAGAAAGATATGGAGTTTATCTTCAGAGGGATGACTATCATTTGGTTCCCCTTTAATAAATCTTTGTCTTACCTGGTCAAATATCATTTTTAGTGATCCTTTAATAAATCTAGGTCTTGTATGGTTAAATATCATTCGGTGTTCCTTTAATAAATCTAGGTCTTATCTGGTCAAATATCATTTGATGCCCCTTTAATAAATCTAGGTCTTACCTGGTCAAATATCATTTTTAGTGATCCTTTAATAAATTTAGATCTTACCTGGTCAAATATCTTTGACAAAATTGGTAGCTTTCTGGGGGATATTACTGACAAAGATACTCCTTTCTGAAAAATAAATAATATAAAATATTGACTTCCTCAATTTCTAGGATCTTAATTAAGGTCTTCAACAAAGGGAACAAATCCTGTACATCTACTTTTGGAGGTCCTTGTGCTTTTAGCTCTCAGTGTATGTTTATTTTTGAATGAGAACAGAGAAAATTAGGTGATGGGAGGTAGGGGGCAACCAAGGTGCTTTCAGAATGAAAAAATCAGCCCAATTTGGGATGTAATAGCCCCTTTGCCATGAGGATTTTTTTAATCAAATTCTCAGTGTACATTATAGTACATGCATAAATACATACAGCATATTATATATGAAAAGTGATAAGAATATTTAATAGCTAAATTTCATTGGCCTAGCCTAAATCCAATCAGAATATTACAACGCAATTTTTTCATGAAAGGCCAATGGCCATGAAAATAAAAGGCCACAAGAGCTACATCTGAGATTGTAAAATGGCATAAACATAAAGTAATTTATATGGCATACCTCCCCAAGAATTGCAGCCAATCGTTCACAGTAGAATCCAGAATAGTTTAAACTTTCTTGACTCTGTACATTGTATGGCGGTGAGTTGCAGATCAGTATGCAATGTTTTTGACTAGCAGCACTGAAGGAATAAAACATAAATGAGACAGGCTACAGGAAAGCGGGTCTCATCACAGATCTTTTCAATATTCTGATTTTTTGTTTATCTCAAAAAGCACAAAGAGACCATTCAAATAATTAATATGCAAAATGTCACCACCTGCCATTTGCTACAGATGCTGAATGAAGACGGTCAAATGCAGAACACCAACTCCAACTGAAAATTCCTTCTGTTTGATGCAGATGACTTTCATGGCATGTGACCAAAATTTAACCAATCATAACATAGCAAGCTTGACAATGATATAATAAAGCAGGTTATTACCCAGGATTCCTCAGGGCATCATAATCATCAAATGCTTGAACAGCTGTGCTTAGACCCTCAGCTGTGTGACTGCTCCCACTACACCCTCCCCCAATAAATCTAGAACATCAAGAAAAATATATAAAGCATATTAATTTCACATTCAGGTAGAGCTCACTAAAATATGGTGATTTAATAGTCTTATCACTAAAATAATATAGTAAAATTATATATCCCGAAATCATCAGGATTCAAAATTCTAAATAAATTCATAACTTATGGGATTTTCATTATTTTATGAGTGAATAATTAATGTTGGAGATAGCATCACTTTTACGGTCAAAAATGTATGGTCCTCATCATAAATCAGAAAAATTGCAATGCAAATTAACAAAACTTTTAATGTAACACTGTTATCTGAGTGAGTGTTTTGAGGGGCCTCGGCTATGACATTGGCATTTTCCCCAAAATATCCACATTTCTAGTAAATTAAATAAGAAGGCCTGTTTAACAGATGATTGAGTCAAACATTTCCAAGGACATTCAAAGTGATATCGCTCATTGACATGCTTAACACAAAATGAATCTTACTGAATATTATCAATCCAGTCCAGGACTCTGTGGGTGCTACTGGTGGGCTCCATGCATGTTGAGGCAGGCTCTGGGGCACAGTCAGATGAGAAATATGTCACCAGGCTGTACAGGGTACAGGTGTACTAAAGAATGATATAAACATACAAGAGTGTTATCAATTACATATTTTATTTGTCATTCAAAAATTAATTTTTGAGTCAGTAATATGTATAGAAAATACCATTTTCTCTAAATTAAAACACCCAGTCTTAAGTTTAGTCAAGCCTGCCCACTATATCTTGACGTCAAATCATTTCCTGATTCCATGTGATCATGGAATATGTGTGACTTGCTTTGTAATGTAAGATATTACCCATAGGAATATCTACAATGTACTTACATCACAGCCATAGTCTGTCTCATCAGGTGGACCTCCACTAAAGTGTCTGAAGAAAACCAGAAAGAACATGAACACTGGCCCTACTTATTACAAAGGTTGCTCATAAGTGGCTTCTTATATTTATTTGTAATGTGCTATACTTCTTATTAAACAAGGGTAATTGAACACTGATCCAGGGAAAAAAATTCTCAAAATGTTATTGAAATTATTTGAAAAAAGATGACGATCGTGAAGTTTAGTTTACATCTGTACTTACTCAAGTATGGGTAGAATATAAGACTGTTTAAGACTCTCGATATAAGGTCCTAAGTTTGATGTTGCTTCAACAATAAAAACGACATCAGCAGCCTCCATCTGGCTTGCAACCACCATTGTGATTCTGAAGAATCAGATTTTCTTCTGGAAAATTTTACTCAATAAAATTGTCCTTGGAACTAATTCAAAAACATTTGGTTATCTTGCAGATATAACTTCATATATCTATTTATCATATCTATTTGTCCCCATTATTTTCATTATTGATCCATTTCAATTGTTCTGACAATTCTTTGTTCATTTGTAAAGAAATGATCACCTTGTAGTAGCCTGAAAACAAAGTAAAAAGCATATCAATAAAAGTTTAATTAGACTAGATTTACAAGTAGCAGGCCTATAGTAGATAAGTACAATTACTGTGTATTTCACCATGGACATATATGGTATACGTCCATGATTTCACAGCCTGACTGCTTCTCTAGAGTCTAAAAAAAATTAGGCTGAGCTAAAGAACGAGACTGTCACTTACCTTCCAGAAGTAAGTAAACATTCAGATGTCACTGCACATAGACTTTAAGGCAACCAGTGAGCACAAGCACAATATCCTAGATATATTAAATTAGGTATAAATAGACTCGCTCCCTTGTGAGTTCCGGAAGTTTTGATATCTATTGCCATTACTGAACACATGTGAAGTTCAAGTTTTGGTTCGCTTTATTTTGAGCATGCATACATTTGTGACTAATAACTTTAAACTATATTTTTACATGTAGATGGTGGTGAGATCTTTGAATGAAGTCTAAAAATAATAATTACATTTATTTATTGCAGATACTGTGCTTATGCTTCATGATCATCAAAATAAAGCTGCTAGAGTTATATTCATAAACACAGCCATTGGAACAGATAGTAAACATGTTTATCAAAGTAACCCCCCCCCCCCTCCACTCTCTGTGTACTGAGTATTAGATTATATTTTTCTTGTTATATACAGTGTTTTGTTTTTTTGTTTTTTTTCTACTTTATTTATTTCACTTCATTGATTTTACATAATAAACAGTACATATTTACAATACATTGTTTTTACATCAGATTAGATCATATGATCATTTTCTTGATTCAATTGAGTAAGTATTAAGCTTAAACAGATTTTAGAGCCCAAGATTTATGATTGTCAGCGCTTTTTTTTAAATTGATGTGATATAATTAAATTAGAAAAAAAAGAAAAAGTTACTTATCTATTCTTGGAAACAATGTGTCTTTCACACCACCGCCATTTTTTTCTCCATTCACTCATTCATACTACTTTTCATTATTTTAAGCATATATTATTGTTTATTTAGAACATTCATACCAAAAAAGATAGAAGTGTGTATTATACGTAAAAGCCTTTGTTGTATATTTCTCAACTTGTCATGACTTACAGAGTATGTTGCTATTTCTACATGATGTTGAAAAAGTAATTTAAAATCAAAATACAGTAAAACCTGTCTAATCCGAACACCCATGGGACCAGCCAAAAGCGTTCAAATTGGCAGGTGTTCAAATTTCGAGGATATTGTTGGTCAGGGGGGGGGATTTTCATTGTTCAGTCCACTATATTGAACACTTAATACTTAGTCAGAAAACAATACATGTTGTTGATGAGTTTATTCTACAATAGGCCTATAGCCTACATGTATATGCTATGTTTTATTTACATTTTGAACAATTTAATTATTTTTGGAAAAATAACTCTTTAATTTTGGCAAAAACTTTGTAATACACTGAATAAGTATATGATAGTCTTGTACGAAATCTTATGCTTATTAAATGACTTATCTCATATAATGGTTACATAGCACTGCTTTACTTTAGCTTGAAAAAGTCGTTCATTGTTGTTTGTTTCTTGGCACTTTCAGCATTAGCAATATTTGAGGAGATACCTTCTTCAATTAAAAAGAATTTTTAATGAGTGCTCATTCGAGATGATGCATAATCTTTCAAAATATCAAGTCAATATCTCACAGATTCTCACCTTTCTCTTAATCCAAATCAAAAACATCCAGGTAATTTCTAATAATGATAAAACAATAATAATCTTGTCTGCAAATGTGTCTGTGTTGTCTCTGTGATTATAAACATTTACTGATTGAATCCTAGCTATCATAACAGACCCATGGGATATAAAACAGTTAAGACTTGTTCATAATCCATGGCGTAGAATAATGGAAATAGCGTCATGAATCATCCCGGGACAATGAATCTTGGATCCTGTACGTCATTAATGGTCGAAAATCAAAATATTGACAAATTTATAACCTAAAAGGCCGAAAGATTATGCGGCAAATATTGAAACGGGGGTTGTCAACATATAGTATTAGGTTTGATCTCTTAGAATCCGTTGAATCCTAAGCGATTGGAGTTGTTTAGATCACTTAACGAATGATATGAAATGATGAGGATTTGGGTTTTTTCAAAGTCTATAATGGCGGCCAATGGGGGATTTTAGCAAAATATCCCGAAAATTAAATCATTAAAAGGCCGAAAGATCTGTGGATGGATTTTGCTGTTTTATATATCAAAATGAACACTTCGTTGGGTCTAACAAGGATTCGTTGAATCCTAAGAAAATAAATTATTTGCTAAAAAGTTATTAAGATTTTAAATTTTGATGAAGACTGCTCTCCATTGAAATCTTTGGACCATGAAATGTCGATTTACGCGCATGCGTTGTGACGTTATTTCCATTATTCTACGCCATGCCAAATCAAAAACATCCATTTAATTTAAAATAAGGATAAACCAATTATCTCCCAGATTCTCACCTTTCTCTTAATCCAAATCAAAAACATCCAGGTAATTTCTAATAATGATAAAACAATTATAATCTTGTCTGCAAATGTGTCTGTGTTGTCTCTGTGATTATAAAACATTTACTGATTGAATCCCAGCTATCATAACAGACACATGGGATATAAAACAGTTAAGACTTGTTCATAATCCAAATCAAAAAATCCACTTAATTTAAAATAAGGATAAACCAATTATCTTCTTGATTCACACCTTTCTCTTAATCCAAACATAAAACATTCAGTTCTTTTCTAATAGGATAAACCAATTAACTCCCGTATTCATACCTTTCCTGTTGTTTTCCACAATTAGGGATGTCATTGAGACTTAAATAAGTTAATTAGGACAATATTGGTTCTTTGATTACATTGCATATATAAGATAATAAGAACTATAACATTGTCTCAATATGTGGCTATTATTGAAATGTCCAGACATTTGATTTCTGACAAAATGTTCAGATTAGACAGGTCAGTTTTTCAAATTTGATTGTTCACTGTTCAGATTAGGAGGTGTTCAGATTTCAAGGTTTTTTTAACATGGGAGTCAATTGGAGGAAAAAATGGGACCGAAAAAAAGTGTTCAAATTGGAAGGTGTTCGGATTAGCCAGGTGTTCAGATATACAGGTTTTACTGTATGTTGGTTTTGTTTTGTTGAGAAAGCTGGTGTATAAATAAAATTTCATTATTAATATTGTTAAATTGTATTCCTTATAGTCATCTTCTTTAGGTTTGTGCCCATATAAAATATCTTTATCTGAGAGTTGAATAATGTATCGAACAATGTTGACAATTTGCTGTTTGTTCTACACCCATAGCTTGTATCTTTTCCTGACAAATTAAAATGTTATGAAGAATCTTAAATTGAAATTCAATTAATTTTGTGTCTTTTGTTATTCTTCTTGGCATCATAAAGTAGTCTTTTATTTCATCATCGTTTTCTATGTATTCTTTTATTTTTTTTAAAGCTGTTGGTGGTTGGAATTCTTTTTCATTTAGAATTTTGTATGCTATTTTGCATGTTATTTTGTTTGCCTCAATTGTCTTATCTTGTTGTGTACTTGTAGTATTTGGTTGTCTTAGCAATTGTTTCCAGCTTCTCGGGATTGCACTTATAATAGAGTTATACTTTAAGTCTTTTAATACAATGCCATATTTTTGTTGTAATTCTTCTATGTTGTAAAAAATGCCATTTGCTTTTATAAGATCTCTAATTTTGTTTATACCTTTATTTCTCCATGTTTTTATGAATATTGATTTATTTTCGATTAGAATATTTTTGTTATTCCATATATACTCTTCTTCGACCTCACTTTTGCATGTTGGATCTTCACAATTTTTAACTTGTTCCCATCCTTTTAGCATTGTTTTATAAAAAATTGGTAGACCATTTATATCGATTTTCAATTGTTATATACAGTGTGGGGGGTTCTTCTATCTGTCACAATGCCTGTGTTCATGTTTAAACTTTATTCCTAAAGGTAAGTTACAGTTTCATTCTTGAGCTAAGTCTTTTTAATTCTAGTGAAGCAGTCAGGCCGCGAAATAAGACAGTAGCTTGAACCTAGGCCTATAGTCTGTTATTAATCTGTATCATTCATAACAGTTGAGCCTAAAATTAAGAAATCTAAATACTATTTTGCAATAATATATGGACTAGACATCGAATTACATTTGGGCACAGTAATAATCTGAAATAAATGACGTTCGTGTGCAGTATGAATATGCTTTTTTTCATATAATATTATTGCACAATGGTCGAGTTCTTATTCTTTAGGTTCAACTGGTTATTAGGTAGGTTACAAAGCATAGACCTGGGAACATGTATAAAAATCAAGTGAGATCAAATAGATTAATTATTGGTGTATTCTACTGTAATTTTTTATACTTATTCCCGGGCCTATGTTACAGACCAGAGGGGGAATAACCCCAGAGTTCTTAGTTCATGTTATCGCGGAAAAATGGTTTTGATGGATTCAGAACTTGCAACAAAGGAAAGAATAGTAAGGAGGTTAAACTCAATAACGAGCCAAGAAAATTCCTAATAGTAAAGAACGCCATTATTGAGTTTAACGAAGATGAACTAAGCTCTTCGACATTTAAGAAGTTACTTGGCTTTTTTGCAAAAAACCTTCCAAAAGTAAGGGTCGCATGAATTCACATTGTCATACTTACAAATCCACCACCTAACTTATGCACCATCGCATTGGTAATATTGTACACGTAACTATTAATAATAACGGTATATTCCCATAGAAAACTGGGATTGCTTTTCAACATTTCAAACGAAAATTCTCTGCGGAGCTTTTGTTTTTCTGACGTAATTTCTTCTAAGAAATCGGTCACGTGACACGGTTCAGTTTATCTTATTTCTAAGGGGTGTCATCTATCTAGAATATTTATTTTCATCTTGTCCAGTCCTATATACAACCTGCCCTTATCTTTTTTCGCTCGTAAAACAGCGTAGTAATGTTGAAACTATGAAATAGATTCTCTTGAGAGTGGCGACGTGTCTTCATCTTTTCCATCTTGCATTTGACACCCCTTGTTTTGGGCGAGTCCAAGTAAACCGCACATCCAGGTGATCAGAAAACGGACATTTTTAAAAAAAATCGAGCGGCAACAAAAATACTTCTGCTCAAACTGAGTTTATGACAAAATTTATGAAAGAATCAATAGAAAGTGGTATACATTAGGCGGATTCCAAAAATTAAACGTGGCGCCAATTTGATACTGCAGAATGCTTTCTGTGATTCAAAATCACAAAAAAATCGAGTAACTTTTTAAATGTCAAATAGCTTACTAACTACATAGTCTCTAGATATGTATCCCTAAAATTTGTATATTTTACATTTTGTATACTCTCATCATGGGCTTCTTATTGAAAGCCCATGCTCTCATCCATAGGCAAAAGGTAAAGTAATAGTAAGCCGTATATAGAAGAGATTACTTTACCCTTGGCCTATGCTCTCATCCACTGATGTATGGTTTCTTGAAAATTCTCTTATTCTTAAAATGGGGAATCATCAATCATCACTTCAGCAAATCCATGAGTCATTATTTATGTTCCAAACTGCAAACCCTATACATAATAGCCTACTTTTAGTAGAGAAGGCTAGAAAAAAAATCAAAACGAAAATGATTTTCAAATTTCAAACAATCTAACAAAAATCTGAACAAAATGTTGCAAGGCAATATTTATTTGGTCAGCTATCCAATCTTGAACATATTTTTCGATGGTCAAGTAATTTTAATCCATGATATGCTTAACATGATGGTAAAATGATAAAAATAAAATTTACCTTGATATTTACCAATTTTTAGCCGGAAGTGCCCAAGAACGAACAATTTTATGCGTCATAGAAATTAGTGCAAAAGAAAACTAAGTTATGACTTAGTATAGAAGAAAGATTTGATTGTTCAAGCATGTACAAATTATTGAAAATATGTATGAAAAGAGAGAAGACTTATATTTAAATAATATAAACATTCAAAAAGACATAGAATGAGCCGGCTAACGCGGAGGACTAATTATCATTTAATAGCGACACCTTACATCCAATCTACAAACTAAAACACAATGACAAAATTGGTTGTGCTGTTCAAAAATTGGAAAAATTATAACGCGGTCGCTATTATCTTTCTTAAATGGGTTGTTTCTTAAATCGATTTTCAGTCGGGGGGGGGGTGCGATAGTGGCATAAACGGCAAAAAATTAAGATTTATCTTGAATTTTACCGGCAGTGATATGCAACTTCCTTCAAAATTGAACTACGAGAAGCTTCAAATAAAAAGCATTTTAAAGCTCTTTTTCTTCTATCTCGTGGTTATATTTTATTGGCTATGGGGCTATATGCCTATCCGGGATGCCTATGCGGTCGGTATGTTCTCAGGTCCGGTATGTTTAACCATAAGCCCATGGTTTAACTCCGAGAAACATCACATGTCACCGGGTATTTCATTAAACTAATTACAGGGTGTATTAGTTATTAACTACCAAACTTTGAACTTTGATTAAGAATCACGCATGCTTAATTATTCATAGTCTAGACTATAAGAAGGATCTTTATAGACAATCATCCGCAGGCATCAGTGAAATTTGTAGTAATGGCAACTCTGGTGCCAACTGCAACGGTCAGAAAAAGCACCCTGGAAAGGCAACTAAAATTGTCAACACAAATTAGAATGACTTCATCGACAATTTGCGATGAGTTGCAATCATCGTTTCCATGCAAGGTTTTATTGCAATGATCTGAAAGCATTGCAAAACTTATCTGAACGGTAATTGCTCAATGATTTCAAAAGATTCTTTATAAGGGCTATTTCATTTCCAGTCGAGAATTAATATCAGAGGACAGTTAATTTCCACTTCATTTCCAATTTGATATTTGCATTTGACATAAGCTTTTTTAATATATTTGATCCTGTCTTCATTAGGCTACAATTATAGATATTTCCTCTGCTGCTGTGTTTTGGTAGTACTGCTGCAAAGTAAATGCACGGATCGAATTTATGCAAAAGAAGTGAACGAACGGCAGAAACAAGCTTATAAGATGTTCGCTTTTCAACAGCATCCATTTTGGTTGTTTCATTTATTTGTTTATGTTGTCTGCAATGTTGTCATGGTAAGAAGCATAGATTTTAACGCACCAGGTAAGTGACCCATTTTATGTCACTGCTCTAATGCAAAAGCGCAAATTAAATTGTCAGGTAATACCGCAGTCCAATAACCCTGATGCATGTAGAAATAATCTTGATTTACGTCATTAAAAATTCAAAATTCAGTCAAAGTAATATCATATTTGAAATCTACATCTAAAATTACATCTAGAAATGTGGTTTTAAAAAGTGTTAATCAACTTTGAAAAATTAATTTTCTTTGAAAATGTGACTTCTAGCTCGGGGAGATTCCCCATAGACCCCATGCTATAAAATCACTAAAAATGAAATATCTTTTCTTTTAGTGGACAGATAATATTTTGCTTTACTGGACATATTTTCATTAGTATAAGTATCAGACGCATAAGGGTTATATGAAAATTGAGCCACTTAAATTGATAATATTCAAGTTTAAGGGAACTTTCTTGTATACCTGCCATGTTAATTGACCCGAATCAGCCACCTGGTGGTGAAACTGGTAACTACCTACTCGCATTTGGGTAATTGGTCCATCCATATTTTAGTTCTAGTAAGAGGTGGAACTACTTCCATAGGATTCTTGGATGTTTCAAATTACCCTATTTTCCATTTAAAAGGTTGGAATCGATTCACTTATGAATCTGGGATATTCCTGTCTTAATTTGTTTTATGGTGTTAAGGAACATTTTTTCCTTATTTCTTCAATGTTCAGTAGGAATGGTCTCGATGACACAATGGTTGTATAATTGGGAGATTGTTTTCGTTTCAACTGTTTGTAAGATTTGAAAGTTTCTTCTCTATTGTCTCTTGTTTCATGATTTTCTTTGGTAATTATGTCACCACCAGAAATCGTGACATATTGTCATAGGCTCACACTTTTGGTGTGGACGGTGTTCGGATTTTTTTGATGGGCGGTTGATGTTCGGCGTTCGGCTTCTGTAACAAATGGCAGGTGGTGAGATTTTTATGTTAATGCCTTGTTACCCTTTACATTTCGCTTGTGCAAAGGTTGTGCAAAAAAGTAATGAATGTTTGTACATTACGTTATGACATTGTATTTTATTTTTCATCGTATGCCCGATATACAGCACAATGTGAACAAGGGAATCTTCATAGTTCACGCAAATGGCACGGTGCAGGAAATCGATGTTATTACATAGGAGATTCATTCGGGTCTTATACAACCATGGAGAGGGCGAAACGTTTTTGTCGTTCTAGAGGAGCAGACCTAATGTTGCCAGATAGTGAACGGGAATTTAAGTATTTAGAAGGTTCGTATATAAGTACCACGTTTTTACTTCCTGCGAAAGCTATGTGGATTTTGATATAATACATAAGTTTCAAAATCTAACATGGCTCTCGAAGTGAGTAACCACGTTTGGTATTCGCTCGGATCGCTAAGGGCACTATTTTGTTCGTGTGGTTGGAAGTACTGCCCAAGACTAATCCGATGTTCATTTTGAAATACAGTGCAAATTGTAATTTGGCAACATTTAAGCATCGCTTAGAAATTATTAAAGACAAGACTGGTGAACACGATAGAGTCAGATGATGAAAATTACAAAGAAGAACTTGAATATGACCGCTTCGCCGTAAAAAAATAAATTACGATCCTAAAACAATGATGACTATCCCATGTTTATAAAAATAAATTCATAATATGTTATGTTATTAGACAGGCTATATAAATACTATAAGTTATTGAATGATTTGAAGTGCAATACAGGATCCTGCTCGAGAAATTCCGTATTGGAACGAGACGAAGTCGAGTGCCAATACAGAATATCGAGACAGATTATATCCTGTAGTGCACTCAAATCATTCAATAACGTTTTTATCGTGTGGTCCTCTGTATTGCTACTGAGATTGTCCCCTCCGTACCAATATTTTCTGTATTGCGACGGAGGTGATCAACGGGGACAATCTCAGTAGCAAAACAGATTGGTACAGCACAAGAACTGACCAATCAGAAGGCTTCATTTTACAGATTATACGATAAAGCTACTTATTGAATAATGTAAATATAATATGACTACTAATTATAATAGGTTTGATGGTTGGAAATGGTTTTTGGTCATCGTGGCTTAACATGAAGAGAACACGTGGTGGATGGAGAAACTTAAAAACAAATAGAAAACTACAATTCACTGGTATAAGTTCTTGGTGTGCCCATTATTATCCAACGCTGCATTGACAGTGGCCGACTCTACCAGCCGACGTTCATGCAACTTCCTGAATCTTTTAAACACGGATGCATATGGAGTTACGAGAACTCATAACATTCCAATTCTTTTTTCATAGGATTGAAAATTATGCATTTTGATTTTTATCATTCAGTTCTCAAAATAAAATATTCTAAACTGGAAAAGTAAAACTTTTTGGACTATCCACGTATATACATTACATACTAATCATAGAAAAACTGATTATTACACGATTAACTTTTGAGGTGATCCCTTGTTTCAAGTTTTCAAAATTCATAAAAACATTTTCCAGCTTGGAAGTCATTTACACGTGAAGGGACCAGTGAACCTACGAAAAAGTGTGCCGTGATGTCCATAAAAAGTGGGTTTGAAATGAGAAAGCGAAAGTGGTTCCAATATGATTGTAACTACACGTTTGGCATTACGTTTATTTGTGAGAAACCGGCCATAGGTGCCGCAGCTATCGTTGATTATTCTGAGAAGGGTAAAACTTTTGAATAATTCATTGTTAACACAGTTCTGCTTTAAAAAGATGGCTAAAAGGACCAGTAGACACAGTTCTGCATCAGCATGTCAAAAGATCAGTAGGCCATAGCCACGGCAGTCTATGATTTTGGAATATATGAAATCCCCGTCCACACCGTCTGTAATAATTCCCCGGGAATAATTCATCCGCATTGGTGTAAATTCAGCTAACTGCAGTGGGCAGGAGGATTGGTATGGTGTTGGGGATACCTGTTATTTCTACGACCCACTTCAATCAAGGTCTGGAACTACATTTGCCGAAGCAAGAGAAAAATGCAATGCCCTGGGTGCAGACGTAATGTTTCCAAATAGTGAGGATGAACACATCTTTTTGATATGGTACATGGAGACACTTGAAATATGGCCGAAAAAGATGTGGCTTGGAATTAAGAGACCGGATGATGACGTGACATGGGAGGATTTGAGAAAGGACTTGAGCTTTCAAGGTTGGTAAAAGTGACATAACAGGGTGGTCAAAAATGGCCTACCGCTATTTTCCTCATATCTTTGTCAATTGTACCCTGATATTTGGCACATTTGTAAATTATTTGATTTCCCACCAGCTCACCATATTTCATGTCCATCAGCCTGTGATAGTCACAACGTTACAGTTCAGTGGCCACTTTCGCGACACACGTCGTCCATAATGTTCCTACTTGACTTCTACCTGTTGGGATGTGCCCTCGGATGGGCCAAGGATAGAGTGTATGAGAATAACCCCATAACAAATGCAAACTTCAAACCTGTGTCATTCGGACCATATCTCCTGAGGAATAATGTCGGGTCATTGACAACTTTTCGCGACATGTGCAGGTTTGCCTCAGCGCGATGATGACCAAACCTGGAGCATGTTGTTTAAAAATCCACAACATTGTGACTTTCAGTCTGATGGTTATATTATAAAATATTGTAGGATGATAGGAAATTGTATGATGTACACATGTGCAAAATCAGGGAGTAATTTCCTGAAAATGATCGCAAAGATAGGAGGAAAGTGTAGGGTTTCCATTTTTTAACCACCCTGTACATGGTGCAGTGAACTGAGTTGGTTTATGATTAGTCTACCTACAAGCCCATGTGACGCCCTCCCCATTATTCATCGCAACAACAACAATGTGAAAAAGTGTATCGTCAAGTAGAAGGGGGGGGGGTCAGGTGGGCTTGTAGCACCTGATGATATAACATTTTCGTTCAACGATTTCTTGCATTCTCCATCCCTTGTATAATTGTTTGTATTTTAATGTGTGATAATCTCAAAATGCGCGTTTTAGCTTGGAAGGATCAACAACGCAACCAAGGAGATAAGTGTGCATCCTTGGAAATCATATATGAACTGTGGACTATTAGTAAGCATTGGGTTTATCAAGCCTGCTCCAGCAGATTGAGATACATTTGCGAGAAACCTGCCATGCTGACCTGAACAGGAACGTACTGAAGATGTGTAATTATACAAACTGTATGAGCCTGTATGTATTGATGAATAAAAATAGTAGTATGCTAATATAATATGTTAAGTTTGCACTACTCTTCTCCGTTTTACTCGAGACTATCATATCGTGCGCGCCATTAAAAAGATAAAAAGAAATGATACATTTTAGAGTTCATATGTAATTTTCTTATGCACAATCAAGTATTACGAAATGTATTGGTTAAAAATAATTTGTGTGAAGTTCTTAGTGTTTTTATGAAAAATAGCCATGCTCCCCACTTCAGAATTTTTTTCGATCGCACCCGTGATCATTGTTTAACAGAATGTAATTTGAGTGGGTGGGTCCATCCTTCTTCAAAGGACTTCATTTATTTCAGCCATATACTTGTAAAATACCCTTGCAGCAAGGATGGGGTCGATTTCGTGACCTTTTTCAGCAAATGTATGCCTCTTTTTTGGGAAAAGGCCTTTTCGAAAACGGGCCTGATCTTAATTGGGCCCACATCACTGGCAGATCCAGGGGAGAGGGTATGGGGCCCAGAAAAAATCTAAGGGCCCTTAAAGAACTTTGGGCCCAAAAATTATTAAACAATGTGCCTCAAATTATCCAAATTTTGGGTTTTAAGGGCCCAGTGAACTCAGTGAAATCTGCCCCCCCCCAACTTTTAGCTCCTGGACCCACCAGTGCACATTTTCAAAAGGTGAATCCAAATGACCAATTGACGTATTGCAAGAGACTTTACACGGTCATATCTTTCACCATGAGTACTTTCTGGCCACAAATACAGTGGTACGGTTTCATTAAACGTAAAGGGAGACAGTCGGTTTATTAAAACAATATGTTTTCTTTCAAGCGAAGTCCCCATGATAGTAAAATATCAATCCAACTCTCTGGGAAATTAGTGCCTGGTTGAGACCCCACCTTGGCACTTTTTTAAAAATGTTAGCCTTATTTTTCTAAGAAGAGGAGTTTGTTCTTCTCAATTTTAACATATCAAAAAAATCTACAATGTGTTAACAATTCCTGATAATGAGGTGTTTGAAATGTGCTAAAGCATGTTAATTTCCAGTAGGGAAAACTCATGGTATCCATTGTTTTCAGCATAATTTTGGTCATCTAAAATTGGTATCCTCAATACTAGACTTTTAAACTATTTTGAAGAAGTTTAAGACCATTTGTAGAATAACATTCATGCAATAAAAATCAGAAAATCGTTGACATTTTAAAAACTCTGCCCTGAAAGTAATCGTGGTAAAATATGACTGTCTTAAATCAGAAAAGGGCCAACAATAAAGCAGGATGCCCATCAGCAATTACTTTACTTCCTGCGAAAGCTATTTGGATTTTGATGAGTTTCAAAATCTAATATGGCTCTCGAAGTGAGTAACAATTACTGTGATGGTATGGTCTTTATTAATCCAACATAGATGTTTGTTTGCCATACCTCATCAGACCCCATGCGTCAGCAACCAGGATCTTGCTTAGCTAATCCCTCCCACCCAAAAAAGCATTCATTCATAAACCACTAGTTCTCTTTTGAAAGTAATGGGTGGCCCTGAAAAAGGCCTTTGGGTTTGTTGTTTTAGCTTGCTAGCGTTTATTTCTTGGCTGGCTTCTTTGCTGCTGCCTTCTTCTTGGGAGACTTCTTTGCAGCTGGCTTTTTTGGTTTGGCGGCCTTCTTAGTTGGAGTCTTTTTTGCTGCCTTCTTAGCTGCTGGTTTCTTGGCGGCCTTTTTTGGGGTCTTTACTTTCTTTGCTGCTTTCTTTGGGGTCTTTACTTTCTTTTCTATCTTAGCCACTGGTTTCTTTGCCTTGGGTTTCTTGGCAGCAGGCTTCTTCTTGACTACTTTGACCTTCTTTGGCTTCTCGACCTTACCGATCTTGAAGGAGCCAGATGCGCCAGTACCTTTAGATTGCTTGAGAGCACCATTCTTCACACCAGCACGAAGAGCCATCTTCAGGTGAGAGTTCACAGATGCATCACCACCAAGGTCCTTGAAGTTGGCCTGGATATACTTCAGGATAGCAACTCGGCTGGATCCTGTACGATCTTTTAGAGCACTGATTGCTTGCTTCACCATCTCGCTGTATTTGGGATGATTGGCTGGCTTCTTTGGCTTTGTTGCCTTCTTTGCTGCTGTGTCTGCCATTGTAAAGGTTGTTGTAGGTTGGTGTTGAATGTCTACGAGCTGTTTGGGTCGTTGAATCTGAGTGTATGAAACTTCGACAAATATTTTGTGGATTTATACAAATCGCACGGACGTTAGAGAACAAACTTCCGGTTTTCATTGAATAAGAATCAAAATGTCTGATGTGATTTTCAAAGTGTGCTTGTCGACCTTTTTCAAATATTAATTTCTATACTGTTTGGCCTCAGAATATATGACTTATTCAAATATATAGAAAGCCATGATACTATGTTTTATGAAAAAATAATATTGAAAGCAATATATTGATTGTTTAATACAAATTTTACTGTTTGGATGTATTTTGTTGATCAAAAAATCGTCGAAATTCTACCTTCACAAGTGTTTATCACAACACAACTGAAAGAAAGACACATACATCTATTTATAAAAACAATTCCAATATGTATTCTACAAAATGAAACCAAATTGACATACTTAATGTTTGTATTACGGGTAGAAATTAATTATTGAATTTGGGTAACAAACACACTTTATTTCGATCGGTCGCCATGTTGGTTTAACAAAGATCGTAAAATAGTTCGATGTTTTCCCTTTGAATGCACTTTGAATCACGTTAAATAATACATAAAAACGATAAGAAAACAATAAAATCATAGCAGACCTTTATAAACTGTCTAAAGTACTAGCTTGCTAAGTAGGCAAACGTACAAAATAACAGACTACGTTTTTCTCCTTTGAAATACATTACGGGGAATCTAGGTCAAAGAAGATGCAAGTGCCAAAGATTTACTTTTGAGACAATTCATTAATTTATACCAATCCAGCTCGTCGACTGTGAAAATTTGACTTTTTACTGATGTCAATGATGTATTCCTAATAATTGGAATGACTTTCAATCAACATTTCCAGGTTACTCAAGTATTTTGGGTACCGATTGCGTTTTAACGTTTGGTTGTGCTCTGCACAGTAAGTTTGCAAACCCCAATGCACGGAACATGTCATACTTTCTGAGGATGTGTGGGATCTATGTTTCATTTGAATAGGTAGCCCAAACCAAATCTCTCACTTTCATTAAATTACGTACACTGTGCACAAATAAATTTGCATTACAACCAGTCACAGGCTTCGACCTGGGCCGGGCCGCTTACCGAGCGGACCGCCGACGCCCTGGTTCTGCTTTTTGTTTATCTGCCTGTCCGAGTATTATGATTTGTAAGATTCGAAGATTTCGCAAGAGTCGAAGACATTGAACATTGGAGTTTGATTCATTTGTCTAAAAATTACCTAAAAACTCAGTGGACTGAAGATGCTTCAGAAAAAACCACGCCGTACACCCAAACAATTTGCAAATTGTGTTAGAGTTAGTATAGCCCCCCACTACTCATCCAAATCAGACTCATTTACTCATTCAACTGAATCATTCACTCATTTGATTTACTCGAGTCAACAGTCAATTGAGTTAATCACTCAATTCAAGTCTTGAGTTACTCATTCGGAGTCGAGTCCTCAATCTACTCATTCAAGTCGGACTCAATTCATAGCGACTCCAAACTAATCTAAATTACTCTTGGACTCATCAGATATTAGTGCAGTTATCCAATCACTAATTTGAATCACTCACTATTTTTTCATTTGCCCATTGAGTGACCTCATTTAATTCAATCCACTCCAATAAAGTTTTACTCGTTTGTTGGCATCTGATTAACTCAATCACCTCCGATTTTATTCATGATTAAAATGACCCAATTTACTCACTTAAGTGACTCAATTTACTCATTCAAGTGACTCAATTTACCCATTTGATCCACTCAGCTTTCACACTTCCACTCCAACAGTTTGTTTGTTGGCATCTGATTAACTCAATCACCTCATTTTATTCATGATTAAAATGACCGGCAATTTACTCAATTATGTGACTCAATTTACTCATTCGAGTGACTAATCTACTCATACGACTGACTCAATTTACCCAATGGATCATCCACTCAGCTTTCACACTTGAGTCATTCAACTCATCTGAGTGCGGACTCAATTTATTCATTTGAATGTCTCAATCTACTGACCGATTTTGAATACTGACCAAATAACTCATTTTAGTGACTCCATTTGCTCATTTGATCCGCACTCTCAGGTTTTCAATAGAGTCGAAACTTACTCAGTCAGTGCGCGGCACCTTCGTCACTCAACATAACTCAATCTCCTCTTTAACTCAAGTAACTCATTCGAATAACTCAGCTACTCATACGAGTTACTTAATTTACTCTTTCTTCGCATCTTGATTCACAATTTCGATTGTTCCTACCTCTAGACCCAGTCAAGCGACGATGCTTTATTCGAGTCACTGAGGTAAACCGCAAGGTGTATTTTTCTCAAAGTACAAAAATTGCCAAGAAACCATACGGACGAAGACCATCGGTTGAGGTGCCTTGTCAATGACTCTAGGAATTAATAATCTAATAATTCGCCTCTCCGGACTCCGACAACCATGTTGTCTGCTGTAAATGAAATAAGACGAACGCAAAATGACGACTCATTAGTGGCGTTCATATAAATGACGCATTTATAATTGATCTGAGATTTCTCGAGATGTAACGAGACTTCATAAATTAGGAATCTGATTATCGAATTCTTTGTCAATCTCTCTATTTTTTGAAGAAATACAAACATATATACATCAAAATGTCGATGTCTCAGATCCAGGCACTACAGAAGCAGGTAACACAGCTGAGATTGGAAGCTAGTGTACAACGGATACCCGTTTCACAGGCAATCGAAGAGTAAGTGATCCAAAAATATTTGAATTGATTTGAGTTGAACTGAAGATCTGAATATTATTTCAGTTGTCTTGGTCACAAAATCGCTATTTCAGTAGCGTAGCCAAGGTTTACCAATCAGGGGGTTGTATTTTTTCCCAGTAAGTTCTATTTTTTCCCAGTCAGGATTCATTTTATAACGAAGGGGGAGGTGGTTTAGGCAAAGACAGGTGGAAATGGGTTCAGCAAATCAATTAGAGTCCATTTCACTGCTTCATTTCGTCAGTAGAACGGCAAAAATAAGAAATTGGGAGACC